GAGATTGAGAGATTTTTAAAAAGTTGGCTTCTTTAGCCTTGCGCAGCCTCCCGCGGCTGGAGAGATTGCACAAGGCTTTTCTAGAGGAGGGAGAAAGGACTGACTGACGGCGTCAGTCCCTTCTCCCTCCTGGGGAAAAGCCCGCAAGAGCCGCACGAAGCTTGTGTGTGGCTCTTGGGGCCTTTTCCTGCCTGCCTCCCCCCCTGCATTCGCTCCATAGGACGCACAGACTTTTCCCCTTAGTTTTTAAGACTGAAAAACTGTGTCCTATGGTGCGAAAAATACGGTACATTGCCAGTTTGCACAGAAAAAGCCCAGAAGTGTCATCATGCTAGCTTGGAACTGGGTCATGGAAAGCAAAGAATTTGCAATAGGCAGAATTTGGTCATGTTAATTTGAATGCCGACACTAAAGTTTTGCTGTTCACTGTTTTTCACCGCTTGTGATATTTGTGTGTTTTTTCCAGACCGCCAGGACCTCGAAGAACCAGCTAAGGTAGATGAACTACAGGAGCCATTGTTGGAGGCTCTCAAAATATACATCAGAAAAAGAAGACCCAACAAGCCTCATATGTTTCCAAAGATCTTAATGAAAATCACAGATCTACGCAGTATCAGTGCAAAAGGTAAGCTAGATTCCTATGGAATAATGACTCTTGCTTGGTAGGGAAACATTTATGCTCTGATCTCCAAATGGAATTTATCTAGAGTCCTGTGCCCAGCTATTGAATCATGTGACCCAACCATGGATGAACTTGATTTGCCATGCCGTTCGAGCGGCGATGGGCTTGACCCATGGCTGCTTTCAGTGCAGAGGGGCGTATGCAAACCCCAGCGCTATGCACATGCATACCTATCTCCAAGAACAGCCCCTCTAAATGTAGAAGCACCTTCTTGAAAAAAACCTTCCAAGTGATTCTAGCGCACCATTATTTCTGATTATTTTTTCACTGCAGTCATGCCCTGATTTGCCAAAGTGCAGCTAAATAAACTCACGGTTCAGCACATAATTATGTGGACCAGAAGTGGCGCATGTCTAATTGACACATTTTCCTGGCAACAAAGCTCTGATGCGTGGGACCAAAGAAACAGACCTACAAAGTTTCTAAAATCCATTCATTCAGAGTTGTCCTTTGACTTTTGTGGCTTCCATGCTGTTGAACTGTTTATACTCATGCAATCATCCTCTATTTGATAGAGGCTACATTGCTTTATTATACCAAATTATTACAGAGAGCATAAAGGATAGCAGTATATATATTTAGCACTGCATTAAGCTAAGAAAGTTTTCCAGGAATTTCTAACAGTCAATTTATATTATTATACTTTATTGCAGGAGAATGAATTCCTAACACCTGGCAGCTGCCTGTGTGTGTTTGTTTTCCAGGCAAACCTTTCTTGTACCTCTCTGGTTTTACAAGAAATGGTCTCCCTTTGATATGAAAGCTGCCTTGAGTGCCTAAATGTCAGAGAAATAAATGTAACATAGTTTATTCACCAAAGAGATTATGGCTGTTTAATGTGTCCGCAGTGTTACACCCTCCTTTCTTTGGGGCTTTTCCTCCTTCCGCAGCAGTTCCTTGGAGATGCCTTAAGTGTATAAACTCAAATAACCTTGTATATAAGGACAAACAGTCTCTAGACAGCATGGTTACATCCAAATTCACTATGTCCATGATGAAACATCCCTTCTGCTAAATTGCAGTATTCACCACTTCCCAAAAATCCGTTTATGTAAATCACCAATAATAATAATTTTGCCATTACAACTTAACCAATTTTCCCATTTTGCTTAGCATCATGTGAGCAGCCCTCCCATTTATCAATGCATTATAGCCACAACCCAACAGTGTTTGTCAATTAGTATAGGTAACTCTTTAACTTTTCATAAGGTTATGGTTAGAAATTATTCGCTCCAAACCTGGTGTCCTCACATGCTTTTCAAATTGAAAGTTTTAAGTGGTAGGTAACGTGTTTAAAGGTCTTAACTTACTTGTAAATGTTTCCAGTTATGTTTCAGCTTTGGAGCCTGCTGAGATATATGTGAAAACATAACCCACCAATTGTACAGAGAGGCTTTTCTCACTCTCTCTGTGACACAATAATTTCACTTTCACGTTAGGCAGAAGTGATTAAAAGCAGCCTACTGATTCATTAGTTTTGTTAGTAAACCAATTTATAAGAGGAAGTTGGGGGTGGTTATTTGATTTCTGGCAAATAATTGATCTTTCAGCCTCCTCCAGTACTCTCCACTACTGTTTGTCCTGAAGCACTGAAGATACAGAAATCGAAGATAAATTGAACGGGTTTTGACTTTCCTTCTTGCCATTCTATAGCTGTTGCTCACGTCTTCCATGCAGAGAAGTGTATGGAGCAAATGCTTTGCACTGTCTAGAGATGGGAAGGCCTGGAAAAAATGGGGGGGGGGGCAGATTTTTTGTGGGGGTTTTCCGTAAAAATTGAAAAAAAGTTTGATATCATTTGAATATTCCACACACTTTTTCTTCAATTTTTCTGGGGGAAAAACGGGAGTGAGGGACTGGTTTTTCCCCAGGCCTTCACATCTCTATATGCACCTATGGCTTTTAACATATTTAGGGTGGAATACTAGGACTACTTACTGTATGATTACCACTTGAAGCAGCCCTGTGTTCCTTTATAACCTGTCCCTGCAGTCAGCCAAGTATTATTGTGCTTCTGAATCTTTGGTTAAACGTTTAAGTCTTAACCTAGACTCTTTGTTGTTGCTGCAGTGGACTAACAAATTTATTTTGGCTTGACACTGTCATGGACTCAAACCCGATTCAGCAGATGCACAAAATGAAATCTTAGTTGGCAGATATTTAAAGGTGAAAATTCTAAGGGGGTAGTTGAATGGGAATAAAATGCAAAAATTAGGCACTGGTGACGAGAGCTTAAGTATTTTAGACGTGCACCCCTTTATAGTAGCAGATTGGTTATAATTGCTGATGTATTGATATATTTAATGGGGGAGGGAACCATTCACAAGAATCGGTCATTGATAGCACAGCTATAAATAACCTGGCATTGGTAAGCTAAATAACTCATGTAGCATGATAAAAAATATTTGGGCAGCCAAAGCAGCAGAGGCCTACAGTAGCCTGCTGCGCTGTGTGGCTGATTACAAAATATGGGTTCCCCTGACATGTAAGAGCTTTTTGTTTTTAAAGTGACCCCTGAAGTAAGTGACCTGTGACTCCATTCTTAGTATAGTCTATTATGGCATGAAAAGGATGTGTTTTTCAGCAGCTTTGAACATGAAGCAGATGCTTCTACCTGGGCAAATGTTGCTTCTGAGCACTTTCTTGTGCATACACAGAACTGGCTCCTGGCGCTCGCAAGCCTCTCTTCCGCCTGAAAGAGAGGCTAATCCTAGTCTCTGGGTTTCCTGTCCCCTGAAAGCTGTGCATTTTCCTTTAAAGAAACCTGACTTGATAAATTTAAATCTTGTTTTTGTTTTTTGTCTTTTTAAAAGGTGCTGAACGTGTTATTACACTGAAAATGGAAATCCCTGGCTCTATGCCGCCTCTCATCCAAGAAATGTTGGAAAACTCAGAAGGACATGAACCACTGACCCCAAGCTCAACCGGGACCACAGCAGAGCACAGTCCTAGCATCTCCCCAAGTTCCGTGGACAACAGCAGCGTGAGTCAATCCCCACTGGTGCAATAAGACGTTCTCCAGCGACATTCCTAACATTTTATAGACAGGGATGAGACGCAAGAATAGTCTTTGCTGCTGCTCATTTTCTGGACTTATATATAAACACACTAAAACCCAACAAGGACCAAGAACTTTTCATGTGTACCCGTATTCTATGTACACACACACATACCCAAACAGATGCCTTGCAGCTTAACTTGAAACCATAAACTTTTGAAATGCTAAATGAACTAGTTCATGAAATAATAAACTAGTTAAGCTTCAATTGTTTCTGCTGGAAATCCAAGATTGTATGGTGACAAGACAGATCTCAAACAAGAGGTTAAAATTATGGTTTTTACCCATTTCTGATGACTTTGTACATAAACAAAATATATGGGCCTGTACTTTCTCAACTGGATGTTTGGTGCTTTCCTTTTCTCTTGCGTACATGAAATGACCCAGACATCATGCTTACGAAATGGACCGCTTACATGTCCAGGTGAAAAAAAGTTCTGAGAGAGACATTCTAATTTAGTTAGGATGAAACCTTGTCTTTGCTCTTTTTTTTAATGGCCTCGGTTTGTATTTCTTTCTTTCCCAGTAAAAGGAGACAAAGAAATTCACTGCACTAGCAGAAGGAACTTCTGTATACATGTAACTGCCAGACCAGTTATTTGGATGTATTTTGTTTTACTGTTAATGTCACTTTAAAATTTACAAGGGGGTTTGTTACTTGGCTGACTTCTCTGCATTTAAAAATAAATACTAAATTTTTAACTTCAGTTATAGCCTTCAAGGCAGAAACACTTTCCAGTGTTAATGTTTTTGTTTTGTTTTTCTTGTTCACAAGCTGTTAGGGGGATATTTGTGGGCTAATAATGACCAGGCATACTCACTACCTCTGAATTGGTGACACTAGTGAAAACAAATATGGAGAAACTGTCCCCCCCCCAAAAGCCCCACAGTCCTCCTCTCTGGTAACAAGGGGCTGTCACTAGAATACCCAAAAGCAGAGATGAGAATCTGCCTCTTTGACTTTGTTAATCACCATAAAACAGAGTGGAAAATGTGGTAGCGTGGTTACAATTTTTAAGTGTCAGTTTCTTAGGTTTCATTTTAAAGCACTAGTGAATTTTTTTTTATATATTCTAGCAAGTCTGTGATGTACTTTCACTGGCTCTGTTTGTACATTGAGATTGTTTAACAATGCTTTCTATGTTCATATACTGTTTACCTTTTTCCATGGAATCTCCTGGCAAAGAATAAAATATATTTATTTTATACCTGTGGTCAAAAGCAGTGTCTTTTTAGTCCAAGCCCCCAAACGCAAGGAAATGGTTTTTATAATTTTTTTTAATGTTTAAACTTCATTTCAAAAAGCAGGTTTGCAGTTTGCAACCATGACAGTTAAAATGTGTGCTTTTGCACAGCTCCCTAGAACATTTCTACAAGCCGGTCAGACAAATACATGACATTTCAATGAGTAAAAAAGAGCATAAAACTGTCGGTGTAAGAACAAAATGTTAAAATGCCTACGCACAATAAGAAAAAACCATCAATTACATCATCACATAAAATAAGTCAAATGTACAAAAAGTCTGCGACAAAAAGGGACAAAAGGACAACATAAGATATTTGTTGGAAGTTTGTGTGCTCTTTGGGCACTTAATTAAACATCGCAAAATCGTCATCTTCATCAGACTCTGCAAAATATTTCACTTCTTTTCTCGCCCGTCCAGTCCGCGGCCTGGAGGCTGCTTCAGAGGCAAACTCTGAGGGGAAGATGTCTACATCTGAGTCCTGATCAAAGGAGGCTTTCTTCGGTTTCTGTTTGATAAGGATTTTTATTTATTTTTTTACAGTTAGTGAAGACCACACATGAATTGTTCTTTTAACATTGATTCGATACTTTAACTGTTATCTAAAATCCCTGCTTAAGGCAACCAAAATCTTCAACATACATGTGCTTGTAGTCTAGGAGTACTCCTGGTTTCTCAAAGCAGTTTCTGTGACTTAGCCCAGTTTGCCAGCTACAGCAATTCCTGCACTGCGACAGTCTGGCCTAGTTGTCCATGCTCCTGCCTGGCCTACTGTAATGGACTCTACATAGACATTACCTCAAAGTTACTAACAGTTACTAACGCGAACGTCGGCAAACAAGGATAAAGTAAGTCCGTACTGCAATAACGAAATCAAGCTCTAAGAGAATAAAACAGCCGGCCAGAAGCAAAGCAAAATACGCGCTCGCCCAAATCTAAGCCCCGCAATACTTCCCTGGTTCCTGCAGCTAAGAAGACGATCCTGACTCGCGACGGGACGACGAAGAGTGAGGCCGAGGAGGGGCTGGCGCCGCAGCATTTAGGCTGCTGTACACGCCCCCTCAGAGGCACCTGCTTGGGTGCCTGCCGATGGGCGTGGGCGCCAGCCAGGTGAGTGGGAAGCAGGGGGCTAACGCCCCCTGCTAGAGGCGGAGCTCGGGCTCCCAACCACAACTACTCCCAGGAGGAGAGTCTTTGTCCATGCTCCTGCCTGGCCTACTGTAATGGACTCCACATAGACATTACCTCAAAGACCGCACATTGCAGCTACTGCAGAATAATAATTATTTATTACATACCCCGCCCATCTGGCTGGGTTTCCCCAACAAAAGATTAAAAATATATTAAAACATTAGTCATTAAAAACTTTCCTAAACAGGGCTGCCTTCAGATGTCTTCTAAAAGTCAGGTAGTTGTTTATTTCCTTGACTTCTGATGGGCGGGTGCCCCTACCAAGAAGGCCCTCTGCCTGGTCCCCTGTAACTTGGCTTTTCGCAGTGAGGGAACCGCCAGAAGGCCCTCGGAGCTGGACCTCAGTGTCCGGGCTGAACGATGGCGGTGGAGATGCTGCTTCAGGTATACTGGGTCGAGGCCGTTTAGGGCTTTAAAGGTCAGCGCCAACACTTTGAATTGTGCTCGGAAACATACTGGGAGCCAATGTAGGTCTTTCAAGAATATGTCCGCTAGGCTGGTAAAGGAGCAGCTTGATGAGACACATGTGTCTTCACTTCTGAGAGCATTGCATTGTCTGCCAGTGAGCTACCAGGCCCAATTCAAGGTGTTAGTACTAGCATATGAAGTCATAAACAGCTTGGGACACAAGCACCTAAGAGCACATCCCTTATCTCCAGCTCTACAACCGGCAAGGGAGACCCTGTTGAGGATGGCACTGTTGGCACTGATCCATGAAAGGGTGTTCTCTGTGATAGTTCCCCATTTGTGGAACTGTCCTCCCTGCATCCATCTCTCTCTTTAGTAATGTTCAGGAAGAACTTTAAACATTCCTGTTGACTCAGGAATTTGATGGCTGAAAGATACTGTCCCTGGAAACCTTAAGGTTATTAGGTGTTAGGGTTTGTAATTGTTTTTAAATGTTTTGTATTAATGTGTTGGTGTTTGCCGGCAGAAATTTTAAATTATTATTATTAACCTTCAAACTGACTATTGTATTCTCCAGGAAGAGAATGTTTATGTTGTTGGAATAGAAATAATACAAGTCAGAATAACTTGTTGGTGCTGAATTTACCTTGCTTGGCGTAGACTTGGGTGTTTTCTTCCCTGGGTTATATTCACCTTCATTTTCAGAACCAGATGCTTTCCTTTTCTTTGCTCCTCTGCCTTTTCCTACTAAAACATTAAAGAAAATATATATGCAACAGTTATTTATATGTTTCATAATAGCAAACTGGATTATCTCAAAGTTATTTGACAGTTTTAGTAGAATAGATTGAATCAAGCGGAATTTTTTGACCTATGATTCTCTACAGGAATTTGTTTATGTGTATTAATAAAACACATTAGAACTGAAATTCCTCTACAAAAATAAAGGTATTAAAAATACTTCCCAATACATGCTCCATACCTGAGCATCAAAAGAAATGCAGCACATTCTTTTGCCTCTTCCAGAAACGTCAGACCCAAATTTCCACAACCCAAACCTTTGTACTAGTGCAAAATGAAAGCTAATGCTACCAATTTAGCAGCTCAGTATCTTCTATCATCATCAAACAAGACATTAATTATGGAACTCAAATTCTATTTCATTTCACAGGAGTCTCATTTTTGGGACTAAAGAACTGCGGAAGAAGTAATCCTTTGATTGCTAAGACAACCAATAGTTACATGAAACTTCCCTTTCTTTTTGCTGACTGATTACAATTACAAAATCACTTGCCATTGTTAAATGTTCATTCACCATTTGTGGACTGATTTAATTATTACAATTCACCACTTAGCACAAGAGTTGGGAACCTTTCAGGTGCCAGATGTTGCTGAACTACAACACCCATCATCCCTAGCCACTATCCATGTTTGCTAGGGCTGATGGGAGTTGTAGTCCAGCAACATCTGGAAACAAAGGTTCCCCACTCTTGCTTTAGCATAACTTCATGGGCTTTCATGCTCAGTAAGGGCTACGGACACAGCTGCATTCACAGAAAGAAAAGCATTGTGTTCACTATAAAGTTTATAGTAATAGCACAGTGTGCCTTGCAGTTCACAAACTCTTCCATTTAAAAAAAATACTTTCTCTTTAAAGTGTATTTTTGTTCTCTTGACGACAACAGTTGAACACAAGATTTAAGGTCTGCTAAAGGTCTGGGAAGCGGGTGGCGCTGTGGGTTAAACCACTGAGCCTCTTGGGCTTGCTGATCGGAAGGTTGTGGTTCGAATCCCCACGACGGGGTGAGCTCCCGTTGCTTGGTCCCTGCTCCTGCCAACCTAGCAGTTCAAAAGCATGCCAGTGCAAGTAGATAAATAGGTACCGCTCCGGCGGAAAGGTAAACAGCGTTTCCATGTGCTGCTCTGGTTCACCAGAAGCGGCTTAGTCATGCTGGCCACATGACCCGGAAGCTGCACACCGGCTTCCTCGGCCAATAAAGCGAGATGAGCACCGCAACCCCAGAGTCGGCCACGACTGGACCTAATGGTCAGGGGTCCCTTTACCTTTACCTTTAAGGGTTTGTGATACTACATAACAGTTTGTGTGAATGTGACTCTCCAGCTAGGCTATCATAAGCCCTGAATCTGATTCCACATCCTGAGTATATTCCGTCCCATCCTCAAAGCAGCTTCGTGCATCCTCTCTTCACACTGCCAGTGTGAAGAAAGGCAAGCCTCCACAAGGGCATGATATGTGTGACCTGCACCCACAGCCAGATAATGTACATCTTGCTAAAAAGTCAGTTAACAGCAAAAACTGGAAAGAAGTGCAGCAGCTCATTTGCACTCCACCCCTGCTTCATTCCAATTAAACGATCTTCATTCCGAGATGAAGAAAAAAATAATTGTTATTCCCTACTCACACATTGCTACATCAAGTGAAAATAGGCAACATCCAAACTGTTACCTTTGGGAGTTGCAGCCTTCTTTGGGATGCCGAATTCAGGTTCTGAATCAGAGTTTATTATTTCCATCTTCTTGGGCTTAGGAGGTCTTTTCGGTTTAGAGGGCACATCCGCCGGCAGTTTTGCTGCTAATTATATTAAGAAATACTACATTACCATGAGTACAACAGATTCTCCCTACAAGTACGCAGAGCCCCTACAAAGAAATGCTCTGTTTCTTCCCTACGTTTTATTTTTCACTTTTAAAGGCTCAAGAATGACTTGTGATTTTCTGCATGTGTGGGTTCAGATATCCTTTGTGTTCATTGCAGTCCCAGCCACCCACAAACTTACTTGCTTTGTTCAACAAGGAGGAAAGGATTAGAAATCTGACTTTGTTAAAGAAGATTTGATGCAAAATCATGTGGGTGGGAAAGAATTACACAGGACTATGCTATCTGGAATATTCCAAAAGTTAATTAAAATGCCCATCTTTCTATGGATCTGTCTTGCTGATTATTTGATATTCTTTCCTGGTATCAGTCCCATATCTTCTGCAACCGTTTTTTCAAATCTGAGCAACATGTAACTCTGCCCCTATTAGCAATTAACTGTACATCAGTATTTTCTGCTTCCGATTTTAATATATACAGAAGAGTAATTGCAGTGCTTCTTGAAGTGTTATATTGTGTGTTGAAAACTAAATTCCAGATTTGATTTTTTTTTTTTTTACACAACTCATATGTAGATGAATTTTGGAAAACAGATGTAGGTATGCTTGATTTATTATAGGAAATATTAGTGAAATTCAGAAATGGGATGCAATACCCTTCTGGTAATATAGAATATCGTTTTAGTAATATACATTATAAGTATTAGTGCCCGGGGTTCTGTTGCGTATTTTGTTATGATTAACATTATCCCTCTGTGATACTATGGATTTATCTTTTTAAAAAAATATTGGAGCACTACGGAAGAATTGTGCTAATATTAACAACAACGAGAAGAAAATATGTAGACAAGTTTCTCCTTGATCTTCTTCCCCTTCCCCTTAGCACAGGCAAAGTTTACGTAGAATAGGCAGTGGGCGTCTGACTCCCATATTTTGCTTCAGTCTTTCAGGTTTCCCGTAATCTTAGTTTAGGCTGAAGTGGGAGAATGTAACAGTGAAGCAGGGCTTTGCGGAGGCAATATATGTCCATGGGACTCTCACCACATGCAACTGCTGTACTTTCAAAGGGTGAAGGTTCATTATCCATAAATGTAGACAGCAGGCAGTTATCCTTTCATGCTGGAACTGCATTTCACTCATTCTCCAAAAAGGAGGTAAGAAGAAAAACTTGCTACGTCCAAAGAAGTGAAATCATGGATATCTCTACTAAGTAGTTTTAAATACAGTGGTACCTCGGGTTAAGTACTTAATTTGTTCCAGAGGTCCGTTCTTAACCTGAAACTGTTCTTAACCTGAAACACCACTTTAGCTAATGGGGCCTCCCGCTGCTGCTGCACGATTTCTGTTCTCACCCTGAAGCAAAGTTCTTAACCCGAGGTACTATTTCTGGGTTAGTGGAGTCTGTAACCTGAAGCGTATGTAACCCAAGGTACCACTGTACCTTGGTGAATTTTTTTTCAGACTGAAAGGTATATATTTTCTTAGCTGTCTATTAAAAAACATATTAACATATTTAATTAATAATACTATGAACATTAAAGGACTTGGCAGCCAGAAAATCCTATTCCATGGGTAGGTAAACTAATGCCCGGGGGCTGGATCTGGCCCAATCGCCTTCTAAATTCAGCCCACGGACAATCAGCGAGTTTTTACATGAGTAGAATGTGTCCTTTTATTTCAAATGCATCTCTGGGTTATTTGTGGGGCACAGGAATTCGTTCATTATTTTTTTCCAAAATATACTCCAGCCCCCCACAAGGTCTGAGGAACAGTGGACTGGCCCCTGCTGAAAAAGCTTGCTGACCCCTGTCTATTTAGTCTCTGCCACCTGCAGTCTGAAGGGTAGCAAAACAGGGGAAGACCCTCAGCTTGAGACAGTAGACAGACCTTACCAGTCAGGGTAGACAGTTTGAAGCTAAGTGGACCAAAGGTATCCCCCCCCCCCAAAACCCCCAATATATTTATAGGTGGATTATGGAACTAAAAGGCTTTGGCACTGATGCTTAAAGAATACAGTGGTACCTCTGGATGCGAACGGGATCCGTTCCGGAGCCCCGTTCACATCCAGAAGCAAACGCAACCCGCGTCCGTGCGTGTCGTGATTTGCCGCTTCCGTGCATGTGCGTGATGTCATTTTGACCGTCTGCGCATGTGCGAGCGGCGAAACCCGGAAGTAACACGGTCAGTTACTTCCGGGTCGCCACAGCATGCAACCCGAAAATACTTATCCCGAAGCTACTTCAATCCGAAGTATGACTGTAGTATTCAGGTCATGGCTTGCCATGATATTAATTTGGCTCTAGTTAATGCTACTGGGACGCGGGTGGCGCTGTGGGTAAAACCTCAGTGCCTAGGACTTGCCGATCGTAAGGTCGGCGGTTCGAATCCCCGTGGCGGGGTGAGCTCCCGTCGTTCGGTCCCAGCTCCTGCCCACCTAGCAGTTCGAAAGCACCCCTAAGTGCAAGTAGATAAATAGGTACCGCTTTATAGCGGGAAGGTAAACGGCGTTTCTGTGTGCGGCACGGGTGCTGGCTCACCAGCTGCAGCTTCGTCACGCTGGCCACATGACCCGGAAGTGTCTTCGGACAGCGCTGGCTCCCGGCCTCTTGAGCGAGATGAGCGCACAACCCTAGAGTCGGATACGACTGGCCCGTACGGGCAGGGGTACCTTTACCTTTACCTTAATGCTACTACTTCTTTTGCTGCAACACAATAGAGCATATTTTAAATGAGCAAGCTAACCAGCAAATCCAAATACTTGCCTTTTTTAGCAACTACCACTTTACTTGGAGGTTTCTCTGTCTGTTTCTGAGTAAAAGAGGAGGAGAAGACTGGTGTTGAATCTTCGTCATCACTGTCAAACTTGGATGTATCTAAATAAAAGGTTTTAACATGTCATGTCATCACCCTTTTCACAGTTAGGCTAAATATAGGAACACTCTCTACTTCCTCACATTAAAATTAAACTTACCCCCTCCACACACACACACACACATAAGATCTTAAACAATGTTTGAAATATGCTACCTCCCATTCAAGCTTACCAGCATTCACTTAATTCGAAGATTACAAAGTTTGTGCCTTTGTATGGGTGACTCCTTCCTGACCCCCACAGTGGCAGATAATGGATGGGTACTTAATGGGGAGAAGTGGTCGGCTTGCTCAGCACTGGATTGCACACCAAGTTGTCTCACTGAGAAACCAGTGCAAGTTATTTTTTATCATTATTATTATTATTATTATTATTATTTACTGAATTTATATACCACCCTATATCCCAGAGGTCTCAGAGAGGTTCACAGAACAAGTTGAAGCATCGTGTAGTTTATACAGCACTGTCCTGGTCTTCTTAAAATCTAGCAACTTTTTTACAGCTTGTTACATCTCAGGGATAGACCACAACAGGGCAGACCTACCATTTTCCGGGACATGGGTTCTGTGAGGGGGTTGGCATCTGGAATGAGCACAGTGGCAGAGCTTTTTCAGACAGCTTCTAAGCTTTTTGGGAACAAGACTAGCACATTGCATACTAAACATCTTTTGCTTCCTTAATGCTCGTACAATTCAAAGTTTTGAAATCTTGGCGGCTGACTGCCTGACTGGAAAATGATCACTCCTTGAGGTATGCAATTTGAGGCAGACCTAAGGAATTCATATATTCCAAGCACATAGCTATCTTTGTAGATATATCAGAAATACTCACTATATTAACATATATATATATATACCTACCAATATTGGCTTTTCGGGAATAAGAAGGAAAGGTGAAGAGGTTGCCAAAGTCTTGATTAGTCTTCTCTGGGGAAATCTTCCTGTTATAAAAATGAAAACTTAAGTATCTCTTGCACCATGCAAACCATTAGTTTGCATTAACCATTAGTTACTTTTACAAGGGCAGAATCTGCACAATCTGCAAACATGTAAGCCCAGTGCAGGTTACCAGTCATGGACCCTGATTCACCACTTGTACCAATTCATAAGCACTATCTGATTCAGCTTGGGGACTGAAATTACTGAACCCTTGCCCACCCCATTCAGTAATGGGAAAACTAAACTAGATCCAAAGGCTTGGGTGCTGTTCGCACCTGAATTGTATCTCTCTATCTCTCCCCGCTCCCCCACCATTACAACCAAAGAAAGAAACCTTTTTTTTATTTTTGGCCAGAATTATATTAAATTTGCAGGCAAGGTTTCTCTCCTTCTGATGGCTTGAATCTTGCTAAAATTTCAAGATAGCTACAGTTGTTGTTTTTTCTCAAGAGCAATGGTCACAGTTCTGGGGTGTGAATCACTTAATCTCTCCTACCATTTGGGGGGCAGCTGGCCTGAAAATTGCAGCCATGAGAGAGGTGGTATTTGGGATTCATCCAAATCCAAGGCACACCTTTTTTAAGACATGCCTAAATGGGGACAGGAGTTGTCAAGCACCTGACAAGCCACAGTAGTTGGCTGTTGGGTATTAATAGTGCAATACTGGGCTATTCTACAGAAAACACATATTAATAGGTACAGATGAGAATCCAAGTTTTTAAGGCAAAGTGGGTCGTCCACATGTTGTGGACTACAACTCCCATAATCTGTGATCACTGGCCATGGTGAGTGGGGTTGATGGGGGTTGTAGCCTAAAACATCTGAACAGCACCAAGGTGGCTTGTGCCTGGTCTAAGGATTTTTATCAAAGAGTGCCTCAATGGCATGTATCTTCACATTTCAAAGGACAATAAGGCTAAGATAAGCACACCAGGGAGGACTGGCCACTTCTTCAAACAGGTAGATTTGTTCTTGCATATTTCTCAGACACACTTTCCTGAAGTTACTGCACTTACTCTGGAGAAGGTTTTGATTTGACTGGGGAGAAGTCATATTCATCCTTTTCTAGACCATCCGAGGGCTCAAATTCATCTTCTCTGTCATTGATGATGGGAGATGTTTTTATTTTCAGTTCATCTAGATCATTATTATTGTTAGCATCTTCGTCACCCTCACCATCATCTTCCTCTTCCGAGAAATCAAAGGTGTACTTCGGCCTTTCAGCTGTGAAGACAGATAATGGTATCAATATTTATTTGTGAATTTCTACACTGCACATTCTAGGAAATGTCAACCCTAAAGTGTCTGATGCAAGATACCGTGCATACCTTATGAAAACGACAAAACGTGGAGGGTATGGCAGCTTAGAGAAAGATGAACAAGTAACTTTTCCCATAAGGAATAAAGACTAGCAGCCCATCCATAGGGAGACACTAATGATCTGTAAACAACAAAGAAATGAACTACACTGCAATCTCCTCTAAAGGAAAGCTACCAGAAAGCTCTCTAGTAAACGGACATGCAAAACTAAGCAAACATTCCTTGATGGAACTGTGTCATCCATCTTTTGCAAAAAGCACCATCTCTCCTCATACAAACCGATCCAGACCCTGCGCTTGTCATCTGAGGCCCTTCTCTATGCTCCCCGATTGTGGAATGGTCTCCCCAGAGAGGTTTGCCTGGCGCCATCACCACATGTCTTTAGACACCAGACAAAAGCATTCCTCTTTACCAAGACCTATGGCTATTAAATAATCTATGGCCTGTGAAAGTGGGGGGACGGGACTGTTGTTATTATCATTTTACTATTAGGCCATCCATCAATATGCTTTTTACTGTTTTTATCATGGATGTTTTGTATCGTGTTTCTAATGTACAACACCCTGAGATCTTTTGATAAATGGCGGTATATAAAACGAAATAGTAATATTTCATAATTGTTGCATCAGTTTGCAAAGGACTGTAAGGGGTCGAGGGCTTGAGGGTTGTGCATCTAACTCTGTCAGCACCACTTTAGTTTCTGGTGCTTCCTCTCCTAGCATTGGCTTATTTGTCTTCTTTATTCCTTTGGGTTAATTGATCTAGCTGGGTGTTGCTTCAACTGCTCTGGATAGCGCTCTAAACCAATGGTGTGCTTTAACTGCTGGCCAATTGCTAGTGAGATGATTTTTTGACTATCCAATCAGGTTTTAGCCTAGGCCAATTTACAGTAAAGGGACAGAGACCACTCCCTCAAATCACTTCCACCTTCAATAAGCTTGATATTTGGGTTAATAAAATGTGATTTGCCTCTTTAAAACAGGTTTTGCTAGTTGCCAGGGTGAGATAGGCATTTTCTGCCCAGGGCACCAGAACGCATGTGAAGAAAAATAAAACTCAGACAAACAATAAGTAGTTTTGTGCTGAAGGCAGCCCTGTTTAGGGAAGTTTTTAATGACTGTTTTAATGTATTTTTAATCTTTGTTGGAAGCCGCCCAGAGTGGCTGGGGAAAGCCAGCCAGATGGGCAGGGTATGTATGTATGTATGTATGTATGTATGTATAAATAAATAAATAAATAAATGGTAGTAGTAGTAGTAGTAGTAGTATTAACTTGCCATTCATTTTGTTGCACCTGGTGGCAAGAAAGCACCTCCATAATGGCCCCCTGAAAAACCACTTCTGTTTTTAGACACAGGCTAAAACCACTGTAATCTATAAAGGCTTTTAGTGGGGTTTTGAATCCCATGAGTATATTTTCTGTTAGTGGTTTTACATGGAATTTAATGCTGTTGATGACTATTTTGTTTTCTGCTATTGCTTTCTTTTGGGTTTTGACACTTTTTTGTGCGAGTTGCTTTTGCAATTTAATCAAATTGTAAGCCATCTTGAAAATCAAGCTTAAGAGTACACACACACTCACACACACCCTGTATTGGCTGAGTCCTGGAATACCTGCTCCCTGCCTTGTAGGCATTTTTCCACCTGGCTGGGAGGGTGCGGCTGACTCCACCTACGAAAGTAAGTCGCTGCTGAACAGACTCTTAGACTGGGGTGTTGCAGAGGTGGGGGTAGTTTGTTGCTGTTATTGATATTTTTTGCATCTTTATTTTAGATCTTAGATTTATGTGGAAACTGTTCAATTTGTTTGTGTGCTTTTTTGATATTTTATTGATTGTTTATGACTACTTTTGTTATGCTTTTAATTATGTATTTTTCTCATGTTGTAAACTGCCTTAAGCATCATTTTAACTATGGCAGCATACAAATAAAATTACGGATTCTGTATATGTGTGTACACACTTATAACAGGGAGGTAATAAGATTCACTCAAAATCATAGCCTTGCCAAGTGCCAGGATGAGGAAGTGTCAGTATCTTGCCCACTGAGCATCTATTATCAAAGATAATTGTCTCTATGGGATGAGTGATATTCGCTTTGGTCCTTGGCATCTGAAGTTTTAACCAGCTTGCATTACACCTATTTTCTCTTAATCCTGCCAGTGAAAGCATGTTTCCCGGGTGGGGGTGGGGAGACTTGTTTCTGCATGTTTGGCTTGAATTCCCTGGCTAATTTTACCCAATTAATCATTCAGTGGGTCACCTACCTTTAAACATCTGTTTTAAAAAGTCCGTAGTTTGTATCCTGAGACCAAAGCTATGCAAAATATAGGGTACATTTTGATGCCGTGATAAACCACAGGTAATCATGGAAATAATACACCACAGCAAGCTTTAGGCTTGTACACTTTTCTCCTTGAGCATAAGCTGTGAAGATGAATTTGGAAGCTTTTACTTCTGTCAACCACCCAATAAACTGTGGTTAATTTTAGCTGTGGTTTGTTTGAAACCATAGGTTACGAAGCTGGCTTTTGAGAGGGAGGAGAGTCAAACCTAAGGCTGCGGCTCATACCCCATGGTTTGCATGATGCCCAAACAGTCATCTGTTGTGCAATACCGTACATTGCAAGGAGAAAATTATGGTGAGCCTTCGTGAAGGTATATCCAGTGGAAACCCTGTGCATGCAAGCAGGTACAGCGGGCAAGTATCCCTTGAAAGGAGCAGTAACCCCCCCCCCCTTTAGCTAAATAGCTCTAGAAGGCTCTCATTGCATTCTGCACATAAACTGAAAAACACATTTTCATTATTACCTGCAGCTCTTCTAAGTAACGAGTCTCTTGGAATAATCACAGGTTCATTTTCCTCCAAGTCACTTTCAGATTTAGATTCATCATCTGACCACGGGTTCCGTTTCTTCACTTTCTTCGCACTGGACTTTGTGGCGGAAGACGGTGTTCTTCTCACCCTAGGGCCTAGAATAAAATTTAATTCTCAGTACAGTAAAGAATCTTTTATTATACGTACTCCTTACACAGTTTTTTTAATAATCTGCATTAAAGCATTTTCATTTTCCAGGTTAATTATGTTGAAACACATTACCTCATTAAGCACTCCCAATACAAAATGCAGGATGCCAGTTTTGAAAATCATGTCATATAAAATGGTAAGATATCTACAGGAAACTTGTCCCCTTTGCTCTTCACTGAATCCAAAAGAACTATTGCATTTGGCAAAACACCTGGGCAATTCACACCTTTCACGAGTCTATTAACCAAAGGGCAGAGCAACAAATAAGCCACACTAATCAGTATCAATGCTTCCCTGAGAACCATGGAGACCACTTAACATGGGTCCCTTTGACTTGAGCACATAGTCCCAACCAATCTAAACCATGCGCTTGTTCAAGTTCTTTCAGAGAAGACTGCCAAAATACAGAGCAGCTTCTTAAACCCAAAGTCTTTGGCAGCCGTGAAGAGAGGAAAACTCTGGGTACCCAGAAAGTAGCTGCACACTGAGATGTGCAGTTCTTTTTTTAAAAAAACCATCATATATATGTCTATATCTATATCTGCAGCATATCTATGTGCTATTGCTTCAGGCATTACAGAGCAGTTCTGCACACTGAGTATTTGGCTGATGATGATTCTTGGAATAAGGCACTGTGAATCTAGACCCCACTCAATTGCTCCACATGAGCTTTCCTTCTGATATACATGAATTCAGCTAGTAATGCTTCTTTGTGACATCCAAAGTCACTCTCTGTTTACTTACCAGGCTCTTTCTTCTCTCTCTTGGGCTTAGGTGTTTTGGCCACTGGGCTGGCCACTGGGCTAGCCACTGGGACAGAGGTATTAAGCGAATCTTCACCAGCACCTTCCACTGGTATGCCACCAAACTCTTCATCAAATTCCAGTTTTATTGCTAGAGTATCCAGTTCTCCCTGGAAATTTAACCAAACTAATTAAGGTCAATGTAATGGCTGGGTGTAATAAAGTTTGCTGAGCTGATACAATATTCCAGAGTGCTTCTAGGAACTTCAATTCCTGCAGGGCTCTCTATCTGGTCCTTAGGACTCCCCCAGGTCACAACTGCCCTTGAAGTCTGCAAACTTCAATTGGACAAGGCAGCTGCCCGTGTTTTGCCTGAGGTTACCAGACTTGATCATTTTATGTTAATCATCTACCAGCTTCAGTGACTGAATGGATTCCAGAAACAAACTGGCAAAGTTCTGGTTTGATCTTTATACCCTGATCCCAGGCCATTCAGGGCTTTATCAAGAATTGCCTCCTCCCATATGAACCTGTCCAAGTCACTTAATTCAGTCTTCAAGACCTTTTCTCTGTGTCCCTTTTAGCCAATGTGTCAATGGGCCAACATGAGACATAGGGTGTTTTTGATTGTAGTGCCCAAAATTTGGAACAGCTCCCCTTGACAGGGATGTCTGGCTCCTTAGTTGCTAAGGTGTCCACTTCTAGATGGGCACTGAAGACAGGCACCATGGGCATTTTAAGTTTTTTCCTCTTAATTTACTTTTGCTTTACCAATGCTTTTAAATCATATTACATTTATTGCTGTTGGTGTTTTAAATTTATGTGTTTATTTAGCATTTCTGTAATTGTCTTTAAGCTGCCTTGAGTATGTTTGATATAAAAAGCAGGGTATAAATTGTACAAAAAAAAATAATATAGAAGAATCAGGAACAAGAGGTATTGACTTGCCTTCTTCTTTTTTAGCAGTTTCTTACTGGCATCAGCTTTCATAGCAGATGTAATCTGTGGAACTATTCTCCTACCAAATGGCGATGGCATCGTCTCTTCTAAGTGAAGTTTCTTCATCTTGGGCTTACCAACTTTGCCTTTAATAGGTTTTGCTGTCATGCCAGACAGGACATCTTCTCTTTCCTGTGCTTCTACTTTCTAAAAATAAACGCAAATGAAAGAAAAATATAAACATCTCCAAAGAGGAACTATTGCTACTACATATAGAAAATCTATGTCTGCTTAAAAAAGAGAGAGTATAAAAACGTTAAGAGGTTAAAATAATGCTATAACTGCATTACATCATTCAAGACAGGCAATACTAACTACTAATCCTAAGGAATGTTTGAGTAATACATCTGAGTAATTTTGGACAAAGCCTTATGTAAAGCAGATGAAATATTATTATTAACTATTTGTCAGTCTTTGAGGGGATCTATGTAATTCCTCTTCAATTTGAGAACCAGTCAAAAGCTTTTAAAAGAGAAGTATTATGCATGTAATGTCTTTGCCAAGAAACATGGGTAGACCACGTTACGAAACAAGTATGTAGGAAAATTGGGCAATAAATAAACAATTATAGACGCTCAAAGCTAAACATGCTGAACTCAAATGCAAAACCTACGGACTGGTGAAACCCCCTGGATTCTGGGTTTTCTGCCATAGTAACAGCTGCAGCAAATGTATAGCTCTGAAGTGTAAAATTACACAGATCCTCATTTCACCTCTTCTGCCAACAGACTTTGATATATTAAAAAACAACAGTTTTGCTAGACTACTTGCTGAAACAAAAACTATGTTGACAAACTGAAACTGAAACATTAATCCTTGGTGCTGTACATACATCAAGCTCTTCTACAAAGGCTGCTAAATCTTCTTTCCAAAGGTCTGAAGGAGATTTTCTCTTGAGGTCAGCGAGATCCTTTCCCTTCAAGGTGACAAATACAGAAAGGATTTTTGAACAAACATATTCTGAACATCCAAGATAAGCAAGTGTTAATGAAACAAAACTAGGACAGTGACTATACAGTAATCCTCATGCAAAGATCTGTACATATTACCTTTTATATACATATGTTTGATCAATAGCATTGTAATGGTGAAACCAATGAGCAAATTCTGAGACACAAGTTTGGGTTTGGGGGGATAAATTTTAGAATTTAGAATGCAGCTGCACATACATCAGACTAGAAAGTACTTTCAGGTCAGGAACTCTGAAAGATACCTACTTTTGTGTCCCGCTGCTTAATGATTTCTTCTACTTTCTCTTTAGTAAGACACCACAAAGACATATTTAAGATGTAGTTGAAATCTGGGCCTGAGGTAGATCCGGAAGAGTCGGAACTGTCATCATTGAGGTTCTGCATTTCTTCCTCTTCTGCTGCCTATAATAATAATAAAAATAGTTATGCTGCTATTCATATATCCTACGGCTACAAAGGGATACTTAAAGACTTTGTCTTTTATTTAGGTTCAATTTCTACAACACTGGTGATCTACAGAGGGGAAGCTCAAGGAATCCTGGTAGCAGCAAAATAAATAAATAAAATGGGGAAAAAATCATAGCATAGTACCCAGGACACAAAGTTCCAAAGCTGCTATGATATGCAGCTAGAAATACACAAATCTCTATACAATACAGCAGTGGGTTCTCAAACAATCTAACCTGAAATGTTTGAAAATTACTGTGGCCTACCTGTTACACAATGCCCCTGTTTTAGGAGCAGAGTTACTCATGAAATTGTGGCAGATGGAGGCAGAGTTTGGCATAATCAGAAGACAATTATTTACATGATTTTCTACAGACATCTCATTCATCTTTGGAAATTGCTAATTTCTTTGCCAGAGCATTTTCATTGGGAGAAGGAGTTCTGCCACTCAGCTTGAGGTACTGAAAGGATAATCTCCAACTGTTGTCATACTACATCTCTCATTCTCCCCAGCCATCATGGTCAACGGCCAGGGATGATGGGACATGTAGTCCAGGAAGTAGCTGTTTGCTATTTCTGTACAGCTCCATAAACTATGTGGCAAAGACCAAAGCCAACAATGTAATTTCTCTAAGATAATAAACATCCAGCCAAAGCTGTATGTATAGCTTGCATTGGTATAAATTAGTTAACTACTCATAATTTGGGACTAATTTAAGCTAAACATCCGCTCATACAGAAGGAAAGGCCCAAGATTAATATTGTTACATATTTTCCTTAAAAAATATGTTAGAGGGAATTGATCATCGCCTAAATAGTTTACCTTTTCTTGTGCTTCTTTCCAGGCTTTCACCGGGTCAGATTCATAGCCTCTCTGGACTAACATTTGAATCAAATCTCTCTTTGATTTATTCTCTACGTGAAACAAAAGAAAACAAATTACAATTTTTAAAAATGGTATATGTTTCTATTTTCCTTCACTTACATCTTTATCAATTTCATAATGCACTTTAAATTTCACATGTTTCTTACCTATGGTAATTTTCCCTTGTATTTTCTCTAGAATAAAGCGAGCCTGATTGTTAAGCTTGGTGGATTCTGCCCCCAACATCCCTACAAGCCACTCCTTGCGCAAGCTGTAGTAGTTTAATCGTAAGTCAAAGAATTCCTTCAGAATATCTTGCACAGTTTCATACTTCTTCAGACACCCCATGTGATCAAATAGCACCTGCACAAATATAAAATGTTTATTTTCTTTCTTTCTTTTTTAAAAAATAAGGTTTTATTAAAGCTTTTTTTGTAATATAATAAAAGAAACTGATCTAAATAAAAACAAAAACAGAGAGAGAAAGAGAAATGAAAACTCAGGGTCCTCTCTCAAAAGTAACTCTTAACCCTTGCCTAACACGAAAAGTTGTGGACTATCCCAATTCTCACCTGGGAGCTTTCCTTTCTTCTTTCAGTCTCTAACCCTGGAAGGTCTTCCCTTCCCAGCCAATGTTTGATTATTTCAACACTGCATATAGTTAAGTACGTACAAGATATGTGAATATTTTATATGACTGCACATGCAACTAACGTGAAGGTAGTACAGCAAGCCTTTAAAGAATTCTCAATTCAGATTCAATTTTATTTATTTGAAATAAATTTTAACTAAGCTGGTACTGATAGTTTTTCTGGGCATTTAACAGACTTTATGCCAAGTATATATGAATTTTTAATTTTTGTCAAATTCAAGTATTTCATATTAAAATCATTATCCAAGTAGAGAAGGACTTTGGCTTGACTTGCAATTCAGCATTCTATTTGTTTGTAAATAATTCATGCTGTTGAAAACAATGAGGTGATCAGAATGCAATTAGCTACACGTGTTGAGGATACAATTCTTTTTTCAAATTCAAATGGCAATTGAACTCCCATACCCACTTTCAAAGGGAGATATTGAAAGAGTTAAGAGCCCCCAATTTTGCCAGGAGTTTGGAATTCTCAAATCTTGAGTAATCTCTTTAAAATTATAGACCAATCACCAGCTGAGTGAGTCAAAGTGTTTTTATTCTAAGATCACCTGAATAGGCATTGTGCAGGTTGTACAATTTTTTAAATGACCAGATATCAGACCCATCTGTACTTAACATCAGATGTCTAAGAAATTAACAACTATCTGACATTTATAAGACATCTGAAGACAGCCCTGTTTAGGGAAGTTTTTAATGACTGTTTTAATGTATTTTTAATCTTTTGTTGGAAGCCGCCCAGAGTGCTGTGGAAACCCAGCCAGATGGGTGGGGTACAAATAAATTATTACTAATGGGGGGAAAGTACACTTTTTACACCAGATTTGTCTGATAAAGTTTTGAAGTTAAGGTTTACCACCTCAAATTACTATTAGCCCCCTTTTGCTTTTTGTATCGAAGGAAATATGAAGTGAGGCATTTTAGTCACATGGTATACAGAAGATATTGCTGCCACGGCAACAGAAAAATGATTAAAGTGCAATTAGTGCTGGTAGTCAAACATATAGAAAAGTTACCATAGAATTACAAGTTAAACTTGTCTGAAGCTTAAAGACTTTGTGAAGTCCAGCAGCCTCGGCCTGAGCAAGCTTTTCTTCGGTCATTTTCACAACAAATTTCACAGTTGTATCAGTGTGATACTCCTTGTAATCTGAAATTAATGCTGGTGTTTTTTCCGTTCCATTCAGCATCGGCTCTAACACCTGTTCTTTGTAAACCTATACAGACATTTAAAAAGGAGGGGAAATAGTTATTTAAAAGGGGGGGGGGAATTACAAACGTTCAAAACCGAAAATCATCTTAAAAGTACTCACCTGAGTCCATGTTCGAACTGGAAGCTCTGTGATTTCCACTGTGTTCCTGTCAACCACAAATATTTCCCCACTCACTACATATTGGTTCTGACCAAGTTCCTGGATCATTCCTTTGAAGTTTTTGTAGTTTGGAAGCTGTAACGTTAAGGATTATTTGACATATTAGCAACATGCCCCCTAGTAAGCCTTGGTAAAGTTTTCTTTATTTCTAAGAAACTAAAATATTGAGTGATGCTCTATCGGCATTTAAAACTAAAATGATGTCCACCTAGAAACTAGCAGTATAGCATTATTTCTGTGGGCAAGTCCAGTCCAGCAATTCCTCCGTACAAAGCTGCATGTAGGTACCACAAGGAGCAGTTAAAAGTTAGGATGAATCATGGCAGCCATCGTGGCTACACCTTTTTCTAGCAGCCACAGCTGTGGAAACGGCAGAGGTGCCCCTTTGTGTATCACCTTTCCACTCCAAGTCTGAAAGTTACTCTAGAGAAAACCTAGTGAAAAGTTGCTAGCTTTCCTATATGTGAGGACATCTTTGCTAAACATGGATCATGGCCAATTATTGAATCATTTGGTGACTAAAGAACTTCCATTTTAGTTCTGCAAATTTTAAAATTTCTTTGAGAAAACAAATTCATCCACAATAATACCATATTTTGTCAAGACGGAATAAGAATAAAATAAAGGCATATGAGAGGAGTCACAAGTTTGTCTTCTTTATGAAAGCATTATAATATATTGGTCTGCAGTGAACATTTCATTACCATAGGATGTGGGTCCAACCCGTCCAGCATTCTTCTGACGTTGTTCACAATCTCTCTGGTATCGTAGTTTGGAATTTTACATGCCCATCCGGTTCCGATGCCCTCGGCACCATTTACTAAGACCATGGGAATTATGGGAATGTACCATTCAGGCTCCACACGCAAGTTATCATCATAAAGGAATTTAAGCAGATTATCATCCACTGTAGGGAAAAGCAGCCTTGCTAAAGGGCTTTAAAGAGAAAGGAAATAAAGGGGTTTTTTAAGTTAATAAGTTATAAACTGTTCTTTTTATTGCACCAGCTGAGAGCATCATGGTTCCTCTAACATACTGCACAGCATTCTCAGTAAACAATAATGCACTCAACAGGATGCCTGTGCATGTATAAGAAGCCTCTGAAACAGACTTTGAGGTACAGCCTTGTGCATAGTAAAGAATGTTTTTCGTCTCTTTGAAATCCGTTAGTATTAAGTGCACTTAAACTGGAATTTGCTTAACACCAAATCAGGCCACTGGCCTATCTAGTTCCATACCGTCTACCTTCACTGAAAGCAGCTCATGAAGACACCAAAGATTTCTGTCTGCTTATCATCTGAGTTGTCATCGTTATATTTGTTTTAGCATTCAGGATATATTTTTAGCTCAATATTTTCACAGCAGAACACTACTTTGATACCATAGCTCACTGTCACTGCACCTACTAAACATATACCAGAGATATTATGCAAGCAGCCTGTGACAGATAAAAAAGTAATCTTTAATTCCAAATCCTACAGTTCTGGGAAATGTTATTCAAAGTGAAATCAGTATCATTTTACTGGTGCTTGTTCCTATAACATTTCATCTTTTTCTCTCTTCATTCGTTGGTCTGGTTTGCCTGTAATACTTAACTAGGATTTCCTTAGCCTAATTATGGTTTGTAGGAAAACCCAGCAGACAAACATAATTTCTGTTCCACCAACAAACCACAACGTGAAGCCATTGTATATTTTAACTATAGTTTGATGTTAAGTCCAAACCCAACCCCAGTCTTGCTTTACCATGGTTTGAACCAGACAGAGGGCCTTCTCGGCAGTGGCGCCCACCCTGTGGAACACCCTCCCTTCAGATGTGAAGGAAATAAGCAGCTATCCTATCTTTAAAAGGCATCTGAAGGGAGCCCTGTTCAGGGAAGTTTTTAATATTTAACGCTGTACTGTTTTTAACACTTGATTGGGAGCCGCCCAGAGTGGGTGGGGAAACTCAGCCAGATGGGCGGGGTATAAATAATAAATTATTATTATTATTCCAGCACCTGGTCCCAAACCCTAGCAAGTTATAAAGGCACAGGAAAAAGCAGTTGGAAAAGAAATCTCACTTTAGAGAAGTAAGCCATTTGTTGCTAGCTCATCTGTGAGCCAACCTGTGAGCACACCAGAATTAAAACAAATGGCTTAGTGTTTAGGCTCGAAGTCCCAGTGTGTCACCAGGAGCTAAAGATATTAACAAGTAAATGCCGGGGGGGGGGAGGGGACTGGGAAAACTGCTGCAGCATGTATGTATGTATGTTATGTCTAACTTCAAGGGCACAATCTGGCAAAAGAAAAGTCAGACTGCAAAATGGGATTTAGTTGCAAAAAACTTTTGGTGCCTTATGCCCAGTGGATATATACGCAGTGCTCTGCTACAATGTGCGAATGCCAAAACACGTTTCACCCACTGAAGTCAGAGTTTAAGCATTAAACAGCAGAAAGTCAAGAGTTCCAGAGTTATTAAATGCAGGTCTCTTCTTTGGGGAAACAGGAGGTCTTTGTCTCAAACGAAATGCAGTGCACAAACTATTCACTTTTCCTAACCGCTACATATTAGGAAATGGAAGGAATGGAAATGTAATTAGCTAAAAAGAAATCGAGCCACTTTTACATTTAGGCTCACATAGTTTTGTCAACAATCCATGAAAAGTTGCAAGTGGCTTGAAATACTCATTTAGTTATCTTTAGCTATCTCCATCAATCACAAATATACACTGACAATCTGTACCACTTAAATAAGACTAGTTCCACTTGTGCGTTGAACAAAATTTTACCTTAGCATAGTGAAAATGTAACGAGGACTTGCGGCATCCTTGCCACCATGAAGCCTAGTACCAAACTGACCAATAGGCTGCAGTAAACTGACATTGTTACTTCCAACGAAGTTCTGAGCCAAGTTGACAACGGTCATCATCAAAGCTTGCTGGAAGAAAATGTTTAGAGCACTGTTACTACTGCAACACATTTTCCTCACCAAAAACTAACCTGCAAACGAGTGCAGAATAAATTACTGACTTAACTAGCAAATGGCCCATCAAGTTGGGGAAGGGAGCACCATATCTAAAGACCGTCACTGTTTTAGGAACTTTTTTCCCTAACACATTCACCATCCCAGTGTCAGCACAAATAAAAAATGCTAATCTGAGTCCTGGGTGCTCACTGGAAGGACAGATTGTGAAGCTGAGGCTCCAATACTTTGGCCACCTCATGAGAAGAGAAGGCTCCCTGGAAAAGACCCTGATGTTGGGAAAGATGGAGGGCACAAGGAGAAGGGGACGACAGAGGGCGAGATGGTTGGATAGCATTCTTGAAGCTACCAGCATGAGTTTGACCAAACTGCGGGAGGCAGTGGAAGACAGGAGTGCCTGGCATGCTCTGGTCCATGGGGTCACGAAGAGTAACGACTAAACGACTAAACAACAACAACAACAATTCTGAGTCCTGCATGATCTGCAACAAATCTATAGCTTCAGTGATGAAAAGAGTGATGAGAAGTTGGGAGCTGAACTGAGAGTCTTCTATACTCACTCATCACTGAAACCATCAGAGATGAAGCAAGGAGTGAGGCTAGGCCTACTTTCGAGAACTTGCCTTGCCCTGCCACCCCAAACCAACCATTTTGCAAAACTAAACAAGTGATAAGCAAGGCACAGAGAATTTCCCTCCTCCTCTTTTTCTTCTCATACTCACCTCTCCATGATGGTACGCTGACATCTCAGCAATAGAACCAGCCAGCTGAGCAACTTTAACTTCACGCTTATCGTTTCTTTTAAAACAAGTGAACAAAACCTTGCGTTGTCCTGGTTTAAAACCTGTGTTGGAAAATCAAGTTTAAAAAAACATTTTTGGAATTTGTATTCTTTACCAATAGAATAAAAATACCCCGTTCAATAATTACATGCTTGAGAAACAAAGTTTAAAGGATTTCCACTCCTCTTCTTCAAAATAATAGCATCTTCAAAATAAATAAAAGAAGATGCTATATTCCATGAAGGTTCACTTACCATCAACAAGGGATGGAATGGATCGCTCATTGTCTGAGTTGGAGAAAAGAATCAACTCCTTGTTGATGAAGTCATTGTAAGTGAGATGTTTTGTTGCTGTACCATATAGAAATTGCTAAAATAAAGAGAAGCTATTATTACTTTAACATCGACAGAAGTAACATTTGCAACTCCATCTTAGTTCTGTACTGAAACATTACCTCTGGTAATCCATGTAATCGACGCTGTCGTCTATCTTCCATGAAATTTGTCAGCCACTCTTTTCGGTCATCAATTTTTTTCTTACTGAAGGCCTACAAACATTTCACACGCTATAATTAGATAAAGCACAACTAGGGGGGAAATGCTGCAAGCTATAAAAGAGAGACAATTGTGCACATGGCCAGAAGGTGGTGAATATGGTTTCCATGTTAGCTTGGCAGACCTACATTTCTGATCCAGACCTGATATAAGTTAAACAGCCTTCCTTTAAAATAATACTTTTAGAGGGGAATCTTCTACTATCTGGCTGAGTTAAATTCAGTCCAGCAATAACCTCAGACCAGCAATATCATGAAACATAAGGAGTGCAAGAGTCTGCTTTTTAAACAATGCAACATGATTGAAACAACCTCCAAGATGTCAGAGTATCTTAAATATTGGGCTGACTGAACTTGACTGTTGCAGTCTCTCTATGAGCTATTTTATCAATTTTTAATGCCTGTGTGCACTAATTTTCTGCAGTTTTTTCCTGCATGTCTTGCACGCTCTATCAAGGTGATAAAACAGAAATAAGGAGGCAATGAAGGATAAATGATTCCAGTACTAACAAAACAGGTAAGAGTCATGTAACAAACATAGTAAAGTGGAAAATGTTTGTCAACTCTGTGTCTACAGTTTTTCCTCCACCCAACATTACTAGACCTGTATCCTAAACAATTATTGTTTATGTATTTGAAATTAAATACTTTACAAGTAGGAACCAACAGGAGAGGAGAATAGTGAACTAGAAGACTGCCTCCTTCCAGGGGCGTGCCGAGGCCACGCCCCTGGGATGCGTGCCATAGCCTCCTTCCCAAATTATTCTGCATGGTGGCTCCTTACATTGGCTGAGCATGAAGTGAGCTGCATTTGCAAGCCATATAGCCAACCCAATGTCCTCCCCCCACCCCCAGCTTCACTTGTTTTCTACTCAGCAGGTACAACTTATCGGCACACTTACACGCATCTCCTACTGTGGGAACCTTGAAGTCATAGTAGATAGATCAATCGAAGAGTCAACTCAATGTGGTAGAGTATTTTATTTTAAAAAACTGTATGAATTCAGCATTAATAGCAAACTAACTAAAGCAACGGGGCACAGGTGGCGCTGTGGGTTAAAGCACAGAGCCTAGGACTTGCCGACCAGAAGGTCGGCGGTTCGAATACCCGTGACGGGGTGAGCTCCCGTTGCTCGGTCCCTGCTCCTGCCAACCTAGCAGTTTGAAAGCACCTCAAAGTGCAAGTAGATAAATAGGTACCGCTCCGGCGGGAAGGTAAACAGCGTTTCTGTGCACTGCTCTGGTTCGCCAGAAGTGGCTTAGTCATGCTGGCCACATGACCCAGAAGCTGTACGCCGGCTCCCTCGGCCAATAAAGCGAGATGAGCGCTGCAACCCCAGAGTCGGTCACGACTGGACCTAATGGTCAGGGGTCCCTTTACCTTTACCTTAACTAAAGCAACAAGCGTCCTAATGATACTATATATAAATTATATGAACGATATTATATAAATTATATCCAGAGTACAGTTCTGGTTGGTTTCACAAGAGTTAGGAAAGACACAAAAACAGAAATCTAAAATGATCAAAGGGCTGGAATGCCATCCAACATGGGAAAAATTGTTTGGGGCTTTTAGTGGAAAGAAGTTCACTAGACAGAGTTCTATATAATTACAAATGGCAAGGAGATAACAGACAGCAAGAAATTAGTGCAGGAGGTTATTTACCAACGTAATGGCGGCATCATCTTCAGGACCAGCATATCGAAATAAAATTCGATGTCTCTCCATATCTGCAAAATATTCTTTTGCTTCTTTAGAAGTGCTGGTGCCCAAACCTACCCCAGAGACAAAGAAAGAAAAAATGCCAATTTAGTCCATCTTCCATCTCAACCTTTAAAAAAATTAATTTTAAAGCTACTTGAGGACATCCTAAGAGGCAAAAGATAAAATAGTTTGCCACCAGTCAATTTTTACAGTTGAAGAAATCCAAAGGTCAATTTAGCTGAAGTAAGTAACGACTAAGTCTCACTGAATGCACTGAGAGTAGCTAAGTCTCAACTAACTATTCCATTGGTTTTGAGTTGAGACTATGATCCTATACCTGCTTACCTGAGAGTAAGCCCCATTAAACTCAGTTGAACTTACTTATGAGAAAACATGTAAAGACCGGGCTGTTAGTTATTAATAAGTTTAACTGGACTGGATCTCAAAGGATTTGGTACTTGGCTGTTGGGCAAGGAAGTTAAAACACAAACCTTTGTAGTACTTTATTTTCCACGCTTTATGGTTTTCCATATGTTTTTTCCATTCATCAAATTCAGGAATACTATAGAAGGCAAGTTCCTGTTTATTTTTGCTTGCCTTAAAAACAAAAGATTTACAAGTTAGATCCTGCAACTATTTTTTTATTCTAGTTTATGAAAATTACATTCAAAATAGATTGCTGTGGGTGCAGGAGCTCCCCCGCCATCTCTCTCACACATTACAGCTAATGATCAGTACACAGCTCCCATGCCCCCATTAATCCTTCTCTCTTCATGCACCACAAGTTATTTGAGGTCCAGATCTTAAGGAATTGGATTGGGGAAGAGAAGAGGCCTAGATGGAAATATGGGAGATGTGTTCAGCCTCTTCCCAATAATGTCCAGGCAAAATACTTCTTCCAGTGCTTGTGATTTTATTCTCATGCAGCGAATGCCTGTGCCAATGCTAAATAAATCACAGTTCCGAACATATTACAGCATTTGTACAAAGCCTCAATTTGATAAACAAATGGAACTCTCTAACCCAGAGTTCCCTTTCCAAATTCCCCAAAGTCAGAAGAAAAAATAAAAGGCAAGTTAGTTCTACCACTTCTTTCTATTTCAACTTTTCACATTTTTCTTTTGTTGGTATATTCCAAGAAAGGGTTTGTATGTATCTGAGTTTATTCTCTTTCCTTTTGTCACTTTTTGCTTTAGGATAACATTCAACTCAGTAAGGTATCTATTCCCTGAATATATATATTTTTACTACATAGAAGGATGTTGTTTTGAAAATGTTTGACATCAGGAAAGAACATGAATTTTTTGTCCCTGTATGTTTATAATTAGTGTCAGAAGAATGTGTACTTACCTTTACAATTGGAGTGATGAATTCTTCAAGAAATCCATGTTTCAGAAGGGAAGGCCAATTATGATGAATAAAATTGATCAGCAAGCCTTTAATGTGAGATCCATCCTGATCCTAAATATAAAAAATAAATGAAATGTCAAGGCTGAACAAAGGCAGAAGTATTTTTAATTTTTATTTTATTTTAAACTCATTTATACCCCACCTTTCCCCCTGACAGGACTCAAGGGGGCTAAACAAATATGAATGTCCGAATCACTAAGGAGCAAAGAGGGGGTGTTGCCAAGGTGGTGTGAAATAAAGGCTGAGAGGCAGCCAGGCAAGTGATATGAAAAGTAATACAGAGATGATAAGGAGAACAGAATTATCTTCAAAGCAACGTGGCAAAGTGGGATGGGTTGTTTGAATTCTAAATCTTTCACTGACCTGATCAGTCATGATCATTATTTTGCCATATCTTAATGTTTTCAGAGACTCTGGGTCTTCATAACTTTTCTTGTATTGTAGACCTACAATTTTTATGATGTTGTTAATTTCTGCATTTTCCATAATCTGTGTAGAAAGCAGAAATGGAGGTAAGCAACAGTTTAGCATGTATATATTACACAGAGACATACATATGTGTGTTATATGTGTATTATGTATACACTCATCAGCCACCTTCTTAAATGGCTTTTCCTTACCTGTTTGTGAGATGCTTCTCGAACGTTGAGAATTTTACCCCTGAGTGGAAACACGCCATATCTATCTCTTCCAATGACACCTAAGCCAGAGACAGCTAAAGATTTGGCAGAGTCTCCCTCAGTTAAAATCAATGTACAATCCAAGGAATGTTTGCCACCTTCAAATTGGGAGGGGGGCGGGGAGAGAGAGAGAGACAAAAAAATTAAGTTGACGAAATCTTCAGCCAAGACTATATGCAAGAAAGCAACACACAGTTAACTCAATTTTTAAAAAGCAACTGATTGATTGAAAAGGCAGAGATGCATATTTGACTTGATTTGCTTCTTTTAATCAACAATTATATAAGAAAGTGTTTTAAACCCTTTGTCCAGAATTAATCTTTCAGTGGCAAACAATATAAAGAGGAAAAGAGAAGCTTGCTTTAACATAATTGTGCACAGCATGAAGACATTAATGCTGAAATAGGGTCATTTTTACAATGCATGAGGAAAACGTATTTGCTCAAAGGGAAAATATATTTGTTCAAAATTTTGAATATGTGTGTTGGTCATTTAGTCTTTTTATGAAAAAATAAAATGCATATTTTATACAGGTAACTATGCTAGAAGACAGTTTGCTCTTACCAGCGTCATTAGCATCATCGAGTTTTGGAATGCCCTTAATTTTGCTGTGTTTCACTGATGAACATTTTTTGTTCAGCTGTGTTTGTGCCTTGAATTTCACCCAATTCAGGATGCTTTCTACAATACCACAATTAGAGGCCTATAATACAAAACAAAAAAAAATCACAGTCATTCTTAGGAATACAAAAAAAGGTTCACACTGATAGAAATAAAATATACTGAAGTGTCAGGATCGATTTCTCTCCAAAAATGATATACTGCAAATTTATCGTGCGCAAAATAACCTTAATATTTCATTTATTAAAAAAGGTATTTTACAAGCAAAACCAGGAGGACTCTGGTAATTAATTATTTTCTATTCAGCCACATTAACGGTCATTTCTGGACAGTCAACACTGTCATACTAAAAAACCACATAAATCTGAATGTCATAGTTCCCTTCCTTTATGCAAAGAGGATTACATTTCCCATATTTCCCATAAAAATATCAAATAAATATGCAATACTTACTGCTTTGAAAAACTTCTCTGATAACTGGCATTTGGACCCAAAACTTTTAGGCTGAAGTGTCATGTTCTCTTTCGTTTGAGAATCAAAAGACGGGTTCTCAATGAGGCAATTAATAAAAACCCATATGTGGTTCTTTACCTGTTCAAAAAGCAAACACACACACAAACAATAAAGGAATCAAAGATACCGAAATGATAAACCTTTTTATCTGAAACGAGGACAGACCAATATTTTTCTCTGAAGCGAGGATCAACTTGCCTGGAATGGTTTCACTGAAACGCCAGCTTTGTTCTTTTTCTTCACCACCTCTATCAATTTTCCAACAATTTGATCTACAACATAATCAACGTGCCTACCACCCTTAAAATTAAAAATAAAAGGAAGTCAGTAAAGAGAGAGAATTAAACTTTAGAATTACTAATTACTAATTTATCTGTAGTTTCCACAGGAGGGACAAAGAAATAAGATACCCAGAAATGTTTGCGCTCGCTTTCTCATATTCTAACATCTCTAAACTAGTAAAGGTGCATGTGTACACATACACCACAAGCATTCTTTATTTTATATATAAATTATATATCAATTCCATGAACTGCATGAGAGCCTAAGACAGGCATCCCCAAACTCGGCCCTCCAGCTGTTTTGGGACTACAATTCCCATCATCCCTGACCACTGGTCCTGTTAGCTACGATGATGGGAGTTGTAGTCCCAAAACAGCTGGAGGGCTGAGTTTGGGGGTGCCTGGCCTAAGATATGTGGGAGCACAGGATGTTACAAATTATCAAACCTGGAATGCATACCACTGGCATAGTTCTGTCTTCCCAAACTTGGTGCCTTTCAGATATTTTGGATTCAATATCCATCAGCCTCAGCCAATGGTATGGGATAATAAGAACTGTCATCCAAAACACCTGGAAGGCATCAGGTTAGGGAAGGTTGGCATTGTTAAAAAGTGTGAATGTTGCAATAAACTCAAAATACCCTGGATGCATCTATTCATGCCTTATGCCAGTCTCTCACCTTTTTTGTCTACTAAGGAAATTTATTGCAAAATATTTAAACTGAAAGTCTTCTTTAAAAAATTGAACCGACGTAGTGCTTAGGAATTAAATGTTGGACATTTTAACCACAGTAACATGACATTCATGAGTAGCTTAATGCCACATTTCCCTTTATGCTGTTTACCAGTTCAACCACTGTAAATTATATAAAACAACTCACCTTTGTGGTAGCAATACTGTTCACAAAGCTAATTTGCTGAAATCCTTTCTCACTTAAAGTGAGACATACATCCCAGCGTTCATTTGCAAGTTCATGGATAACTTTCAGAGCAACTCCAGTTTCATCCAACTTGTCTTTTACGTAAAGATCAACGTAACTACGAAAACCATTCACCTGTGATTTTACAAAATTAATTACTTACTGTTTTAAAGCACACAAATACAATTATGGAAATAATTTACTAAGCCTCTTACAGGTAGTTTCTTTCCATTAAACATAACTTTGACCCCTTTACATGCTCCTGCCAAATCATAAGCTCTTCTTGTCATTAGGGCCACAGTATCTTTGTCAAGTTTTTCCATCTTAAATTTAGCAAGATCTGGTTGGAATGTGACACATGTGTAGTCATCGCCTTCAAAATGTTTTATTTTGGCATCAGAAGTCTTCATCATATTGTTCATCCAAGTCTTTGTTTAAAAATGAGAGAAAGAGAGAGGGAGTACATGTCAGTAGCAATCTTTCTATATTCTACCAAAAAAGGTGCATAGAAGAATGTTGATTCTTGCAATTTGCAGGTATGTTAAATCTGTATTTAAGGGCAGTACGAAGAGTTTAAACTTTGTCCTTCAAAAATAAAATAAATACCACCCCAACATGATTATAAGCAACAACATGGCAAGTATAACGTAACTATTTACCATGTCATAACTGATACTGCAACCAAATAACTTGATTGTGGGCCACTGCATCATTGATTCAGAACGATTATGGAGTGACTCCAAAATTAAATAAATCACAAAATTATTTTAAAAGTTTGCTAACCCTACAGGAATACTAGCAGTGGAAGTCAGACATAATTTCAGAACAATTTTTGTTTTTAAATTTTCCTGGAAAATTTCCTAGTGTGAATACATAAAAAAGGTAAAGGACCCCTGACAGTTAAGCCCAGTCGTGAACGACTCTAGGGTTGTGGCGCTAATCTCGCTTTACTGGCCAAGGGAGCCGAAATTTGTCCGCAGACAGTTTTTCCGGGTCATGGGGCCAGCATGACTGGAGAAACCAGAACAGTGCACGGAAACACCGTTTACCTTCCCGCCAGGGCGGTACCTATTTATCTACTTGCACTTTGACGTGCTTTTGAACTCCTAGGTTGGCAGGAGGTGGGACCGAACAACGGGAGCTCACCCCGTTGTGGGGATTCGAACCGCTGACCTTCTGATCGGTAAGCCCAAGGCTCAGTGGTTTACACCACAGTGCCACCTGCAAGCGCCACCCACAATGTGAATACACAGAAGTTCATAAATTACAAAATAGATATCAATCAATCAATAGACTTTATTTGCGTAGCCGACAGGCCATAGCATCAAAGGACAAACACCGACAAAAATACATTACAAATACACTTACCATAAAATCTTATGACCTATTAAAACCCTAGGTAGAAGCTGGGTTATCATTCATCAGTGACCCTGATAGATAGTTCAGTTAAACATTTTCATCCTATGCTGCAACATATTTGTAACAGCAGCTTTTAGGTGAAAAAACTATACATGCTGATGCCATATTGAGAAGGCTAGAAATGAGGCTCCATTTTATCTCAAAAGATATGGTAACAACAGCCGTAGCTGTCAACTTTTTCCTTTTTTTTAAGGGAAATTCCCTTATTCTGCGTTGGATTCCTCATAAGAAAAGGGAAAAGTTGACAGCTATGAACAACAGCGGTGAAGAATATTTTCCTAAACCAGGCCAACCACCTTCTTGTGAGAAGATAAATCAATTTACACGCACACTGACCAGAAACTGAATGCACTGAAAAAGATGACACAATAGTAGTTTTTGTTAGTTCTCCACTAGGGTTAAGACAATTAAGGAGAATCACACACGTTTCTATAGTTATATGTTAGGACTTTTTCAAACAAGACAAATATCCTTAAGATGCAAATGGACCAAACATCTTATTGAGCTAATTGGTATTTTCAAAAGAATTACAAATGGATATATTTTGTGCAATATAAAGCTTTTAAAAGGGGGATTTTTTTCAACCAAAGAGGGTAAGTCCAAAGAATTAAAGGGAAACCAGCATACCTGTTTAAAGCTGTGTTTGTACTCCTTGCAAGCAGTTTCAACTGTAAACTTTGTACTGAATATATTACAAAGTTTTGCACCATAGCCATTACGACCACCTGAAAAAATAAGGGAAAAACATTTAGAAAACAATTTATCCCAAAATTTTGTTTGTCCTACTAAACATTTCCTAATGCTACTAAGTGTGCACAAGGGATTCCAGTAAGTATACACATTATGTATTAATGAAGGACTAGGAACTGTCAGCTAGAGGAATGTCAAATTAAATCTTGCATATACTTTATTGCCAACCAAAGTATTTCCCTTCTATCAAAAATAAGCCAAGCATTACAAAATGATGACAACAAATTAGTATTAGTCCTCTAATAGGTCCTGAACAAAATGTTTACCTGTAACTTTTTTCTCATCATCATCATAATTGCTGGAAGTTAACAGCTGTCCAAAGATTAAGGCAGGAACATACATCTTTTCTACCTTGTGTTCCACGACTGGAATGCCTTTTCCATTATTCCAGATACTTATAATATTTGATTCACTGGAGATGTAAATAAATATTTTGTCACACAATGTTGAATTTGCATACACTTACACACACACACTGTTGCTGTCTAATAGCAACAGGGAGAATTCCTCTGTACCAGGAAAAGTGAGTACTGATCACACTGTACTCAATCTCTTTTCACAGAAAAGGTATCTACACATTTCCCCCCATAACCTTACTTTAAAAAAGAAAAGAAAAAAGAAAGCTCAAGTTTCAGGGCACCTTTCAGGCAAAAGATAAAGTGTAACTCATGGATTTCACAAATACAAAGCCATCCTTAACCCAAGCTTACTCAGTTTTCACATTGACTATAGCCTCAAAATACTTTACAGTCATACCTTCGATCTCAAATGCCTTGGCTCCTGAACAAATCAGCTCCCAAACGATCGAAACCCGGAAGTGAGTGTTCCGGTTTTTGAACGTTCTTTTGGAAACCAACCGTCTGATGGGGCTTCTAATTGGCTGCAGGAGCTTCCTGCAGCCAATCAGAAGCTGCGCTTTGGTTTTTGGATTGCCAAGGGGTGGAAAGGAGATAAAATTCCATCAAAAGAGGAGTGGCAAGTTAAACTACTTGAATATATGGAACAGTGAATATGACAGAAAAGATCAGGGATAGAACGACCCAAAAGTTTAAAAAGGAATGGGAGATCTATAGGCAATATTTAAAAGAACATTGTCCCCATATTAAAACTTTAGAATGCTTTGAATAGCTCTCAGAATTGCATATGGTATAAAGAACACAAATAAGATATAATATAGGTTAAGTTTATTGAAAAATAGAGGCAGGTAACAAGGAAACAAAGAACCCACACCAAGGAGGTCAGAAGTCGATAGCTGAAATGTGTTTGTGTTTTCACACTGTACTGTTTTCTTTTCTTTCTTTTGTTGCAAATGATGTGCTATTTTTGTCGCGCGCCCCCCAATGTGTCTGTGTCGATTATAAACCAATAAAGATCAAATTTAAAGAAGAAGAAGAAGAAGCAGCTGAGCTTTGGTTTTTGAACGTTTTGGAAGTTGAACAGACTTCCGGAACGGATTCCATTCAACTTCCAAGGTACAACTGTATATACATACTATAATACGGAAACAAAAGACTGAGCAGAAAGAAACAATGTATTTGGGCTATACCATAAATTCTGAAAGTGCAGTGCCAAAGTAACCAGGGTTGTCTTAAGATTTATACTATATAAAAATGAATAAGGAAAACACAGGCTGTAGGCTATAAACTGTAGCAAGCAATGAACAGACCAGGGAACAAGCTTGTGAAAAGTCTTACACAAGAACGGTTCTGAACTGGGGTCACTTTTATCATGTATTGCTATTCCACCAAGTGAAGACCCCTTCCATGAAAAAATGCTTTCTGCTAGTGGAAATGCACCTTTGGTGTCCCATGAACGTTTTCCGCTTTGAAAAAACAAAATTGTTCGTACAAATGAAAGTCTGCATATGTTGAGTACTCAATGAAGTAATCTCTTAAAAATGTACTCATATCACATCCATAAAAAAATGTACTCATATCACATCCATAAAAACAGGGGCAATTGCCTACTGCAGACTTAACACTCAAAATGTCTTCCTCCTATGACATTCAAAATTCTCCCCACTATTTTAACTGCCTTTTCTATGAATATGCATTTTAACATTCCTTCGCTCTAAGTACTCTAAATAATGCAAGCCAAATTTTACTTAAACATGTCAACTACAAAAAAATGAATGCCCTTTTCTCAGGTAAATTAGAAAAAAAGTTTACTTACGGATCAATTGATATTTTAATACATGTCATATTCTTATCCCTCTGTTTATTGTCTGCTGCATTTACTAAAAATGAATAAACATTTCTTAGTGGCAGTAAAAAAAACTTTACCTAGTTAAGTATCCAACCAACTTCAACTAGCTAAATATTTTTGTATTCACATGCAACACATGATATACCTCTGAGAAACTTTAACACATCATATGATCTTCCTGAAACCATCCACTGAGTTCATTCGGACCTTTCTAGTATGTTACTTATCACTGCACTCATACTTATTTCATTCTGATGTCAATGGCCCCAACTTTATTCTTTTAGTTTTTCTACTTTTTCAATATCAAACATAATGCCAATGGATAGTTCACACATTATGCCAGTACCAGTTTTTCAAGATAAGCATGTCTCCCCAATGCGATGTGATCCCTGGCAACTGAAATGCTGGAGCTCACAAATCTGGAAGTGAAATCTGTGACTCCCGAGTTCATGGATGATGTTCCCAGGCAGAAGAGTAAATCAGTAAAAGGCTACTCAAATGTATCAGTTAATTCACCTTAAGAAATATTAGTCACAAAATACACTACGACACACTTCTAGTTAGTTTATCCAGTTCTTAATGGCATTATGACGTGAAGAATGCCATTGTGACACATACATTTTGTTTAAATTTTTTGCTGTTGCCGTTTCCATTATTTTTCATTGTGATTTAATGCTGCATTTCTTAATTGCTTCTCCCTTTCACCTCCCCTCCACACCAAACACATGGCTATTAGCCACCACTGACCAGCAACTGTGCCCTGTTTCTAGGACAGCAAAGAAGGATATAAGCTGAATTATCCTGTTCAGTACTACCCCATACACATCTATTCAGAAGTAAGCTCCATTGATTTCAATGAGGAATACTCCTAAGTGGTCTGACACGTAGTTTTAGTTACATGATTACAAAGATTTCCATGTGACAGGACATCATACACACATATATAATCCTTCCCTGCCTCTATTAGATCTGGCAATATTAAATTTTAATTTAATTCCCCGAAATCATTAAAACAGTACTCTGGCCCTCTAAAACAAAATCCCTTTACTGAACTAAATATTATGAATTTGGCCTAAATGTGGACAAATCATGTTTTAAAAACTAGACTAAGGGGGAAATTCTCAGCCAATTTGACAGAGCTCCTGTGTTTTTAACAGCTGCACAACAGTCTAATTCAATTTGCGAAACTTATTCTAATAATGCATCTTTATGCTAGGAATTTCCTGGTGAAATTCTGCCTGCAAAAGAGCTATGAAATGTGTAAGAGCCTGCTAATAAAATGTGGTAACTCTACTTGCAATTTAGTAAATTGTGTGGAATAGCATGATTAAAGGACCAGCCATACTTTGGTTACTGAATATTTCTGTGTTGTTGAATGATAAACTTCATAGACCATTTACTTTAACAGAAAAAAGTTGTCAGATATCTCAGTCCTCTTTAGTTATACTACAGAGGTGGTGGTGGGGAATACTATAGGCTTTCAGATGAATAAAATGGTCTAAAATCAAGTATTATGATTCAGAGTGAGGATCACGCTGACAATTTCCCAGCTTTTTAATATGCTTGAATATTTCAGCAAGCATGTGCCAATAGCTAATATGAAATGACAACAAAATAAATAAAATTGTACATGATATTGGTGATGGTACAGTAGTACTTTCACTTAAGTCACTATTGAGCTAGATTCCTGACATAAAATTATTGCAAGCTTGTAAATATCCACTCACTAGTCACCTGTGGCAAGTAATATTTATCTTCGGTTGACCAGGGTAAGGAATCTTTACAAAAGTTGTCATTTTTATCTTCTTAGGTTCACAGACAATCAACCTGGACATGAGCGAATAGGAGGCTGGTAAAATATTTTATGAGCTAATAACTTGTGTTGATTTATTTGTGAGCCTCAGTTATGGTGTTCCCAATGCCGCCATAATCCTTGATCATACAAAATGTAAAACTGAAAACCTCACCAATGCATAGTTCTAGTGTGCCACATAAAATTAAAGGAATTTTAGGTTGCTATGATGGTACATGGCCATTATAATTATGATTAGGAGACAGGGAATAAGTTGTAGGATTGTTTGTTGGTTTCCCAGTCCCCTCCACCCTTAACAATGGTACGGTGTTATGCAGTGGTGAGTTTCTTGAATCAGCAAGAGGTTATACTAGATGACCCTAGAGGTCCCTTACAATGCTGAGTTCTTCAAAAACTACTATGGTTAACTCTGAACTGACTGGACTCCTTATGTACCATTTGGATCTTTGCAAATTCTGGACTGGAAATACACACTGAACATTAATCAGTTCAAAATTAGTATAAGCCCAAGTCATAGTTAAGAGCAGCAGGGGCTGAATGGAGGGAATTTGTAAGCGTATGACCCTGAAAGAAGGGAGCATGCAATCCCACAATCTATTTTTACTCTTTATCGTGGTTGATTACTAACATGTTTTTGCCAGTTCTAAACTCTCCTGAATTATTCCATTGTAAGCACTTTGAAAATGCTGAGGATGGCAGAATATCACAATTATAAACACTTACCAAGAATTTCATCGAAGATCTTGTATAAGCCAGGTACATAGGTAATCTCTCTACAATTCATTCCTATATCTTCATCAAACACCCACATCAGCTACACACAAACACACAAAAACAAGAGTTTACTTTACTGAACTTTAAAATAAATATTTACTGCTATTACTTTAAATATTCACAGAACATATTTATTTTTAATTCTCAGGACTGTTTTTTCTCCGTATCCCTCCCATACATTTGGACTGACATAGGGGGGAAAACCACACAGAAACATTGCTTGAAACCTTCAGTTACAATATAAACACTTGTTTTAATTAAAGAGAAAAATAAAAATTACCTGAGTTACAGGTTCCACTGAACCAATGTATGTATCAGGACGGAGAAGAATATGCTCAAGCTGAGTCTTTTTCTGATAAACTCTCTCAACAGACATCTTCTTTGAATCATTCTTATTCATGTGTTCAGGTTCTTCCTTTTTTGAAGCATTATTCTGATTATCAAAAAGTGTCTGAAATAAAAGGAGGAAAGGTAACCAAACTATACTGATTCATCCCACTCTACAACCGCAAGTAAGAACCTTTTCCATTAATAAAATAACTACAGCTTTCTAATTCTTCATTGTGCAAAGACTTTGGGCTAGTAGCAATGTTTGCTGCCACTAGAGGAAAAGATACAAACCAAGAGGTAACTTTATTGATGCATAGAGGACATGCCTCCATATTGTTGGCTTTGGTAGAAGAGTTTTCTTTTTTTTATAATATGGGAATTTATCTGACCTATTACCTTCTGCACTTTCTACTGGGTCATGTTAAAGATTTCTCTCCACCCCTCTATACAGGAAATATCCCCACACCATAATACAAAACGTTAAAAGTGCCCTCACTTTAAAAAGGGAGGGAGACTGCCATATAGGGTTGGTTCAAAGGTTAACACCAAACCATGGTTTGGCACTGGGTGAATGAGCCTTCAGCTCACACACTCCATACTCCACAGGTTCCCAGTTGGTAGCAAAATGTATATTTTGATATTTAACCCAAAGCAGCACCTGAGAGAACAACGGAGAGGAAGGAACATGTAGGCCTGTGACACCTAAAAGGCTCAGGGCAAAATTGTGGTTTAGTTTTATCTCTGAAGCAGTGTTTGAAATTAGCCACGCTCCAAGCGTGTTTTGCAACTGGTGCAGGTCCGATTGCAGGTTGGCAACTGACATCTCCACCTGGCTTTCTTAAGCAGGTAAGCCGAAGAGCCTATTTATTGCATTTAAATCCCACTTTTTTTTGCAAGGAGTACATGGTTCATCCCCCACACCCAGTTTATTTGATGTTTCAATGCATTGTAAACAGCTTTAGATTTTTTCCCCTTTAAAATATAAAGTGGTATATACGTGACATGAATAACAACAGCAACATCAGCAACCCCACTGAAAAAGTAGCACTGGAACCTAATTCAAAGTGCTAGCTACCTTCAGAACTGGGGGTGGGGGACTGTGGCTCTTCAGGTGCCAACATTACCAAACATCAGAGATAACATGAGTTGCATTTCAGCAACCTATGGTAGACCACAGGTTTCTCATACCTGCTTTAGAGCAGTCCATGGCCTAAAAATGCTAAGAAGTTGTTCTCCCCACATGATCTCTTCCCCAGCACACACATAAGGCTACTATGCCATCTTGGCTGTGAGTCATGGAAGGCCTTGCAGGCCTTTTTCCTCCAGGCTTGGGTGAGCAGGGCCCTGAATGACTCCAGCTACAAAAGCTGAGGCTGCTGAGCAGACTCTTTGGCTGAGGTATGTTTCAGGGAAGGTTTTTTTGGGGAGGGGTGTTGCTGTTTTATATCTTTATTTTAGATCTTATTATGACTTATGTGGAAATTTATTTAATCTGGGTGGGTATTTTTTTAATTTTTAAACATTCTTTATGACTTCTATGATTGTAATTAAAGTATTTTTTTTATACTGTAAGCCACCTTTGAGCAATGTGTTAACTATGGGAAGGGGACATACAAATGAAATGATGTATGCATGAATGATATATGTACACAGAATAGAACATCTGAAGGTTTAAAAATGTGACAGGACCAGAAACTCTGGCCTAGTTAACATGTCACTTTAAACCAGAGTAAGGTAAAGGTAAAGGGACCCCTGACAGTTAAGTCCAGTCGCAAACGACTCTGGGGTTGCGGCGCTCATCTCACTTTACAGGCCAAGGGAACTGGCGTTTGTCCACTTCGCAGACAGCTCTTCTGGGTCATGTGGCCAGCATGACTAAGTCGCTTCTGGTGCAATGGAACACCAACACCAGGGCAGCACAGTACTGCTTAACTATAGTTTAAAGGTGAACCACACAGAGAATCATGGTCGCTTCACTCCTCCTATTCCTGCTGCTCCGTTCGTAAGAGCTAAGCCATGGTTTGCCTTAGTGTAGTCTGAACTCAGAAGTGTGATTTGTCTCTCTCCCGAAGCACAAGCTGTAACCAAGCTCATAGCTCATGGATTACGGGGAGGGTGGGGGAGAGAGAAACCACAAGCCCAGCTTCAGACAGAACTCCAATACAAACCATGGTTAGGCTCCCATAATGCTGCAGCACCACAGAAGGAGTGAAGCGGCTGTGATTTTCTCCCTGCGCACCAGCATGCTGCATTTTAAGACATAGTTAAGCTTAACCAAAATTCCAAGTGGCATGTGAATACGGCCAGTCTTATTGTTGTTCCAAGGTTGTAAAACACTCTGTAATGGCAAACTCTTATTATGTTTTAGACAGATATGCAATGTATTATTTCAGCAGTCTTGTGAGATTCCAGATCAGACACAGCTTTTATGCCTTTAAAGCATTGTGCCTTTTTCAACTATTTATTGGAGGTGTGGTCAAAGATATATTTTAAACTGCACTGAAGTCTCTACTATGAGGTTTAAATTTTTTTAAATGAACTACAGCTGCTGCCTCACTTTTCCTACTTCTCATTGTCCAAGAACACCAAAATAGCACTTTAAAAAAACACACCAAACCAATGAGTACAGTACTAATGGTAATGTTGGGTTTTAATTCACAAAGGTTAAGGTTGCAATCCTATGACTTGGGACTTACTCCTAAGTCAGCATACATAGATCCAAGATGTAAATGTGTTAAATTGGCGGGGGACAGGAAAGGCTTCTACTCATAAGTTGACAGAATAGTTGGTTTGTTCCCAAATTATGACACACTTATCATTACCTTTAAAGAAACCACCTTTTATTAGTTCCTAGTAAAAGGTCTTTAAGGTCATAAGTACATAGGGTATAAAATATTCTGATGTTCATGATTCAAACACTTTACAACTCCATCAGAAGAGAAGCTGTCTTGTAATATCTTAAAGTGATGTTTCTTTACGTACACACGAACCATATTATTTTACAAAACTATGGAACAGATGGTCCAGATCAGGTTCTCAGCTTTAACAGTTACACATTCTCTGTATTATCTCCTTGATCAACAACTAATCACAGATGGAAACATTTAAATATTTGCAGCCCTATACATCTCTTTGGGCACAGATGTCACCTGTTATATATGCTTGCAAGAAGAAAGTATTAGACCATCTTCAGCTGCCAGTAGCTATGGGAATTAAGGCTGCATTTGTTCCACCACTTCATAAATTAAATGCAGTTTTGGACTTGGTCTGCATGTCAGCTGTATTGTTTGTATGTGTCACTTGAGCATAGTAATAGATACAAGCTTTTCGAATGTCAGTGTGATTTCAAGCAAGCAAATGTATGGCCAGCAAAAGATGGATAGATGGATAGTACACATGTAACACTAACCCATGGTTTAGTGCTATGTGCATGAGCTGGAAAAAGCCTGAAGACACATGCACGCCCCATGAGATTTTTAGTGTTTACTTTAAGTTTCCATGCAACCTGGCTTTTAGGTATCTGAACTAAGTATCATGGTTTAAAATAAATACTGATAGGTTTCTAAACAAAACAATTTCAAACCCGTCATGAAGCTGGCTTGATAAACCAAAATTTGTTTTAAATCATTGCCTATTGGGCTGCTACACTAACAAGCCAGGATTTGTGGAAAGTAAAACTTGTATAGAATTCCATCAGACCATGTGGGAGGGGAGCAGAGGGGAGCATACAAGTCAAGGCTCAAACATAGCACTAAGCCAAGTTTTAGTGCTACATACATAAATACAAGCCAATTATTTCATTCTTTTAACCTCTGAGCAAAAATGGATGAAGTCTTAATATTTCATTTACATTTCTTTTTTTTCTTTCCTTTCTATAAGAAGCCGCATGGATCAAATCTACCATGACTATATGCGTATTTGCTCTGGTTCTGCATTCTAGGAATGTGCCATTCCAAGATGTATTACTGGCATGATGTGCAGAAAAATTCAACGTGAGAGGGCAGAAAATGAGGTCTTGCACAGGAAGCATAATAAAAGTTCTAGCTGTGTACCAATCTCCTTGCTTAAGGGGTTTTTGTTATGACAAAAAAGTTTGGCTAGAAAAGCTAATGTTTATGTACGTAAAGTTAATGTACTTAAGGTCTGTATATTCCTTTTACAGATACAGTCTCCCCAACTTCTTTAATACACTGTAAATTGGCAAAGATACAAAATAGATTAGAGCAGATACCTCCCCTTGGATCGTTACATCCAGTACTCACAATGGGGAAAATCACTGTGAATCAATTCCAGTTTTAACTTTAATATTTATTGAAAAGAAACAGTTTACTCAACTTCCACAATTTATTCAGAAAAGTTTTGAGGGTATAATTTATTTTTTTTAAAATGTACCAGTAATTAAGTTATTATACTAATATCAAAACATATTTAACGGGTATACACAATTTTTTTTGGGGGGGGGGGCGAGTTCCATTTAAGGAGCCTAACTCCACTGTTTAATGGTGTTATCCATAAGAAATTCCAAAAGGCATTATCTGCCAAGGACGCATGTACTAGTTTAACTCTGAAATGTAGTCACAATAAATAGTAATAATCTGTCAAAGACACCTTTGAACATGAATTCTTCCTTTAGCAGAGAGCTCACTATGTCTAGTGTTTGAGGCCTTGGCAATTTTTATACACGCAGAATCACAATTTTAATACAAATATTGTAAAGCAATGAAAGATCACTTTGAAAGCCGAAAGAACAAGGACCATGGAAGTAGCAGACAATTACAACTATACACACAATATACAAATAGCAATACTTTTTAGGAAAATGATTTAGTGCTCTTGCATCACAAATGAAATAATCCCAGCCCTCAACTACTAAATTCAAAGTGCAAGTTCAAAGATAGTTGGGACTTTAGCTGGAACACTAATGCCATTGTGTCCATACTAAATGTTTTGCTCAATTTGCATTTCTGGACATATTTTTTTAAAAGTTAGTGGAGTTAATATATCATCCCAAATAGTGACCCTTATTATAGCTCCACTTTCAAAGTTAATTTATTAAAGAAGCAAGACTAGAAAGCACTTAAGAATGACATTCCCTCAAAACTTTCCACTGGCTGGATACATGCACCTGCAAGTGCATCTGATAGATCTATGAGATCGACTAACTGTTTCAAATGGCAAGTAGGCATATCTATCATCAAGTCAATCTGCTCATCAGAAGGTGGGTACCACTGCTATATGAAGTAGCAAGGTGAAGACCATCCCTGCTCACAAATCCACTCATACAGTCCAGTCTACAGCTTGACAAAGCAAACTGGGACATTTACATTAACATCTGTTCTGCTCTTTGCACATGTCAACTGTTCCTCCAGCAAGTACAACAGAAGAACAGGGAATAGTTTGCCCTCCTGGTTATAGAAACATAGCCTACTTGTCAGCAACGATTGCAATATTCCACGAGTTGCCTGGTGCCTTATTTTTAAAGCGTGGCTGCCACTATGTACCTAAAAATAGGCATCCTGGGACACACATAGAATTTGCCACTTTTCAATTTATAAAGAATAGCAACATTGTCTTTCCTTTACAGGACACCTGACTTAAAAGTGGAATGGAAATATTTTTGTTTTCAGAGCAAGAGTCCTAATGAAGTTAGGGTAGTAACATTGTAATACTAAATGAAGCTCTAGAGTAGCAGCAAGCCCGTTGAAGAAAACTGCTCCTTTACACCATTGTGCTGTGTTGCCTTTTCTTGCCAGTTACATTAAGGAAGTGACCCTGGTTTGAACTCTCTGCTGAACAAGAGAAATAGAAGTAAATCACTGATTGGGGAACTGTATCCATTCAGCTATCTGCTCCCTCCTGGGGTCTTTCCAAATGGGATTTCTTTCAACTGGGCCAGAAACAGCATATCACAACCTCTAATCTTAAAAAACCCATCCTATGGCTTCATGACCACTTAACTCTCCCTTTCCCACTAAATTTTCCCCAGCAGAATACTCACTGTATTTTTATATCAAGATCCAAAAGCTGATCCTCTCATAATTTACCTATTTTGTGTAGGGATGGAGCTAAAGGTACTTGCACATAAGGACCCCAGTTTTCAGAAAACTGATAAATCCCAAATCCTTATTACTAGTTCAGGTGTGAATTCTGCAGTGGCCCAGCTAGAGAGACGGTTCACTTTCAGCCTGCTAGTTCAATGCTTTGGCTAGACGCGAAACAAATCTAAGAGGCCTTAAAAACTGTTTCAACCTTTCCACTCTGCAGGGATTGCGGGGTGGGGAGACCCCTCTTCTTATCAACTGATCAACAGAAACAAAATAGCCATGTGTACTCAAGAAGCACACTGAGTAAGAGTCAGTAACACAAGTGGGTGCCACATAACCCCCCCTTTAACTCTGCGAACCCCTGGCAGGCCACACACCCGTCCCCCCCCCCCAAAAGCCAGCAAGTGAAGGTCCCATAGCAGCAAAGCCAAGGGCTCCCATTCCCTCGCCAGAATCAGCAAACACCCAACCCTGTACTTTCCACCCTGGAAGCAGCCTAGTCCTCCCCCTTCTCCCTTTCTCTCTGCATCCCCATTCTCCATCCCTGCAAGCATCTTCGCCGCTCCTCCATTATTTTCCCCGAGGCCTTCCGCCTCCCATTTCAAGCCAAGCCTGTTAAAGGAAAGCAACACCGCCGAGAAGGGAAGAGAAATCGAAAGAAAATGCCAAGGCAACTTACCACCCAGGTTAAACCCCCGCTGCCGCCGCCGCCTCCTCCTCCTCCTCCTCCTCCGCCGCCGCCGCCACCTCCTCCTCCTCCTCCACCACCTCCTCCTGATTTTGCCATTTTTTGGCCCTCACCTCAGTATAAATAATTATAAATATATATATATCTACAAAAGCCTTTTTTTCCCCCAAAAGAAAAGTGGGGGGAGGGGAGAGGGAAGCCACCCGCGGCCGGCACAGGGCTGCAGGCGCGCGCACGCACACACACGCTTCTCTCATGCACCGCAGATTTGGGAGGGGGCGGGCGGCGTGTGTGTATGGGGGGTGGGGGGGTGTTCCTTCCCACACAGAGAAAGATCCTTTTCCCACCCAGCGCGCGCGCCCGCGCGCCCTCACACACACACACGCACGCGCAGTCCGACGGGCCCCCAAGGTTGCCCTCACGCTAATACGCGCGCGCGCATCCACACAACGAACAATTCCCCCCCTTTTTTTTTTCTCTCCCCTCTCTCTCACACACACTCTTTCGCTTTGTGGGCCGCGCGCCCGCGCGAACACTCACACCGCAGGCTCTCCTCCCTTGTCCCTCCTCCCTTCAAACGTCCAGCGCGCACGCGCGCGCCCACGGCCACGCGCGTAATACCCCCCCCGCCCTTTCCTGTCTCTATAGCTGGAGCTGAGGGCCACGGACGTTTTATTTCACGTTTGAGCTTTTCACCTCAGCCTAAAATAGATAAATAAAGGCCGGCCGTCTGAAGGACGGTGTGTGTGTGTGTGTAGAAGGGTGACAAAAAAAAATACCTCACACACACACACACACACACACGGCCCATGAGGGACCAGAATATGTCTTTTTTTAAAAAGAGCTCCTTTTCCGGCGCTGTTCTCGGAGGAAATGTTGGGCGGCGGCAGCGTAGACGAGACCCGGCTTGAGGACCTCGTCCACACGGGCAGCTGAGGAACCCGCTCGGCTCCGAATTGGGAAGGAAGGACCCGCGGAGGAGGGCGCGGGGCGGAATTAAAAGGCCGCCCGGCCTAACCGCCAGCGGCTCCCTACAAGCGCCGAGGCCCCAAAGCCTCAGACAATAACTGCGCTGCCCCTCCCCCCGCCCCACCGCCGTCCAGCATAAACCACCGCAGCCACCGAGCGCTCCCGGTTCCGCCCTTCCCTTCCCTGTCAACCAATTAGTGCCGCGCAAGTCTCATTTTCGGCCAATCGTTTAAAAAGAGAAAGCTCCCGTCAAACGGGCGTGCCTACGTCACCGCGTGCGGCAAGAAGACGCCTGCAATCGCTTGTACTTCCCCAATTGTGGTGAGGCGAGCCGTGAGGCCATGGCGCTGAGGTAAAAAAAAAAGCACGGGAGAGCCACTGGTGCCTGGTAGCTGCTCCCTTCAGCTCCGGGGGTCCCGGTCCAGGTCAGGGACAAAGCCTAACCGCCCGCCTAGACTAAGCTAAGCGATTTAAGTACTACTGGACCCAATGGGACCCGCGTAAACACGCATAGGGAAACACATGTATAGCGATTCCTGTTCCTACATGGGTTTGTGCACTTGGGAACAGCTCTTCAAAACATGCCCGTGAGGAAGGACCGTTCCCAAACACGATAAATCATAGAATTGTAGAGTTGGAAAGGAATCACGAGAGTCATCTAGTCAACCCCCCCCCCCCCATGCAGGAATCTCAGCTAAAGCATCTATGACAGATGACCTCTGCTTAAAAACCTCCAAGGAAGGAGACTCCACCACCTCTCGTGGGAGTCTGTTCTACTGCTGAACAGCTTTTACTGTCAGAAAGATTTTTTCCGAACGTTTAGCTGGAATCTCCTTTCTTGAAGCCATTGGTTCGAATCTCCTAATCCTCCCTCCAGAGCAGGAGAAAACAAGCTTGCTACCTCTTCCATGTGGCAGCCCTAAAGATATTTGAAGATGGTTATCATATCTCCTCTCAGTCTCCTCTTTTCCAGGCTAAACATACCCAGCTCCTTCAAGCGCTGCTCGTAAGGCTTAGTTTCCAGACCCTTGATCATCTTGGTTACTCTGCACACGTTCCAGCTTGTCAACATCCTTCTTAAATTGTGGTGCCCAGAATTGGACACAGTATTCCAGGAGTGGTCTGACCAAGGCAGAATAGAGTGGTCCCTTGGACACTATACCGGTACTTCTCTTGATGCAGCCCAGAATAGCATTAGCTTTCTTTGGTGCTGCATCACACTGTTGACACATGCTAAGCTTGTGGTCCACCAAGACCCCTAGATCCTTTTCACATGTACTGCTAGTAACCCAGGTGTCCCCCAACCTATATTTGTGCAGCTGGTTCTTCCTGCATAAGTGCAGAACCTTAAATTTGTCCATATTGAAATTCATTTTGTTTGCTTGCGCCCAGTTCTCCAATCTGTTAAGTTCATTTTGAATTCTGATTCTGTCTTCTGCAGCATTAGCGACCCCTCCCAGTTTGTTACCGTCAGCAAATTGGATGAGCATCCTGTCAATTTCTTCATCCAAGTCATTTATAAAGATGTTGAATAACAACGGGCCCAGGACAGAACCTCCGACACCCCACTTCTCGCTTTTTTTCTAAGATGATGAGGAACCATTAATGAGTACTTTTTGGGTTTGGTCAGTCAACCAGCTATGAATCCACCTAACAGTTACCTTGTTCAACCCACATTTTATCAGTTTCCTCACAAGAATAAATGGGGGACCTTGTCAAATGCCTTACTGAAATCAAGATACACTATGTCCACAGCATTTCCCTGATCCACCAAGTTTGTAATTCCATCAAAAAAAGAAATCAGATTGGTCTGGCATGACTTGGTTTTGAGAACCATGGTGGATCTTAGTAATCACAGCATCCTTTTCCAAATGCTCACAGACCAACTGTTGAATTATGTGTTCTAGGATTAATGGTATCAATGTCAAGCTCACCGGTTCATAGTTACCTGGGTCTTCCTTTCCCCCCTTTTTGAAGATGGGGACATTTGTTCGCCTCCAGTCTGTAGGGACCTCACTTGTTCTCTCTCCAACAATTCTCAAAGGCTCTGAAATTACACCCAGAAGCTCCTTTAGTACCCTTGGATGCAGCTCATCAGGCTCTGGAAATTTAAAGTAGATAGGTGTTCCCATACTACCTCTTTTCCTATCTTGGGCTGCAGCTCCCTCCTTACATCATTTATCTATGACCCTGAGATTAAGAATCTCATGCTCTACTAACTGAGCTATCCCATACGAATCTGAGATAAATATTTCATCAAACACCTTCAGTTTATCCTTTTCTCCCCCCTGCCCTTTCAGTGGTACTTTCCTGGGTTTGTGCCATTTTTCTCAAGGGCAGTCTGCTGAATCTTAAACTAAGTCAGGATGTTGCAAGAACATGGATAACTGTGGCACAACTATGTTTTGTCTAGGAGGAGCTGCATCTGCTACAGAAAGGCCTTTTGTGCACAAATACATCCCAAGCAAACCAAAGGCCTTCCCAGAACCAGCTAACAGTAGCTCCATGTTATGTGGATTAAGCTTCAGTTTATTATTTCTCATCTAGCCATTACTGATTCCAAGCTGTCATGTCTGATTCAGGTATAAAGAAAATATAGTTGGGAGTCATTAGCATATTGTTCACATCTCATTCCCATTCTCCAGACAGTTTCATCCAGAGGTTTCGTGTAAATGTTTATGTAAGATAAAAACTTGAGGTTTCAAAGCACAAGTGCCATAGCACCAAACCACAATGTCCTCAGTCTTCTGGAATCTGCCCACCAGGAAGAAGCAGAACTACTGCAAAATAGTACCTCCTATCTCCATCCTAGACCGATCATCCACAAGGATTACATTTTTAGTAGAATCGAAACAAGCTAATGAGAGGTCTATGAGAAGCCACAAGACCACACTCCTCTGTTTTATGTATTTATTTTACTTATTAAATACATACACTTCCCTTCATCCAAAGATCACAGGGCGGTTTACAGTATAAAAACACAAAAACACAGAACATAATAACAAACAAAACAATACTGTCTGCCACCAGTTTAAAGGGCCATACTGTTTAATTAGCCAAAGGACGGGAGAAAAGGGATTTGTTCTCCTGGCATCTTTCATCCATTGCAGATTATTTGTGAAGTGCCAAAGTCACACCTGAATACAGACTGAAATCAGATCAACTTCATCCAAGAGCACCCAGACATATGCAGACATAACTAATTCAAGCACATTTCTCCCAAGAAAGATTGGCAACCAGCCAGTATTTATTAAAATTCCCTGATATACACATATATAACCTTTCCATATCCCCGTACTCTGAAATTACTACAAATAAGGATCTGCATAAGGCACTACAAATGTTTATGTGTTGAAAACATAAACATATATAGAAACATTTTATATCCTGCTCTTCTATGAAGCAGTAACTTGGCAGCTTTTGCCTCTGGTTCAGAAGGTCTGGTTGAGAAAATGTGATACCATTGGTAAAACAGCAGTACTGCCTGCCCTACCTTGCCCAAGCCAGGTCCAAAGTTCTTGTATTCATTTATAAAGCAAGTTAGATGTAGGGTACCTCAGGGATTACCTGAACACTTATATCCCAGCTTGATCACTGAGTTTATCTACAGGAGCATCACTGGCTGTTTAGAGCTGGCAAGCCTCCTTTGACAAGAAGAAACCGAGCCTTTGAAGTAATCAGTCCAGTCCTGCGGAATACTCAACAAATAGAGATTTAGCAAGTGCCTTCTGTGCCAACTTTTACATGCCTGCTGAAAACTTTTCTATTCAGCCAGGCCTATGCAGGCAATTAAGAGTACATTCCCCCCAAATGGGTTACTGACCTTTGTTTTTAACTTTTAACTTGCTATGCATTTATTGTATGGTTTTATCTTATTTTCCAGATCATCATCAGAGCCTGCAGAAAATGCAGAAATAATGGTCTATTACCCTACAGGACTAGACAGCCATGCATGTCAGGTCATGGGAAGAATGTGATGAGACATGCTTATGCATTCACGAGACTCTCAATTCAGGCTGTGGCAATATTGTGTTTCCCAAGACACACAATTATGTTCCACCATTGTCAAACCAGTATTACAGCTTTCAGACATACGTTCCTGCTGTGCTCAATTCATATAATAAACCTTTATAATATACTCCAACCTTTATAATAAACCCCAACTTTTATGCACAACACCATTCATTTATTTACTGAAAGTATTTTTATGCTATACTTCAGCCAAAGAGGCTCCCAGAGCAGGCTTAAAATCTACAACGCAAGACACACAAGGCAAAAGCAAACCCAGGTACCAGCTCTGAATGTTGCAAAGTTCTTAAAGCGATCAGCTGGGTCTCAATAGTTCAGGGAGAAAAGCAGCAAAAAATGAGCTAATCTAACAGCAGAGTGGATGGAATAGCTCTGCTTCCCATCTCATGGAAAAGAAAAGCCACATCTCTTATATAAATGGAATATAGGACATTAAATGTGCTGCAGAACGAGCTGGTTTTAGCCTAAGCTTTTATGAGTCTAGGTAGTTTCCTACTCTGTGGAAACCGGTATCATCAATGGAGGCTGGAGGCCTTCCTACAGATAAGCTAAGGAAATGTTTTACAATGGATGTGGTTAGTTGATGGACTACAATTCCCATCATCCTTTACCAGTGGCCATGCTGGCTGGAGCTAATGGGAGTAGGAGTCCAACAACATTTTGAGGGCACCATTTTGGCTATCCCTCAGTGGCTGAACATTCCAGTCTCCAAGAATTAACATACTTTGACAAATATTGTTCAGAGTAGTTTAGACTACTAAGTTGCTGAATAGCAAGTTCACTTGATTTGCATGGCTGACACTTTCGAAAAGAAACTACACCCCATATATAGCATTAAAGCATTGATTTTATCTCATACAGTATTAGGTGCGATTTTGAAATGCTTTGGCCCAGCTGGTACTATTCACCTTGATTTTAGGACTGGGTCTGAGGACAAAACTCTCTTATTTTGGCTGCAACAGACTAACATGGCGATCCTCTCAGAAACTTTAGCATATTACCGGTATTCTTTTTTTCCTCTTTTTTTTACAATCCTGCTCCTTCACTGAACCTAACTCTAACCAAGTTTACTGGTCATTTTATTCATCTGATAATCTATAACCTGCACAAACTCATGCCACAATAAATGTGTTAGTCTGCAAGGTACCAAAGCCAGAGGGTTGTTATTCTTCACTATATGACAACTTCTTATGGAATGGTCTGTGCACAGTAGGTTCAAACCCATGGCGAGAATACCTGCAATTGAATTGTTAATGGACTGCGGATCCCTTCTAGGTTTCCTGATATACAGGATGTTTGGACTGTACCATTTTTAATTTATGAACTGTAAAGGCCCAAATAACATTCAAAACAAAGAATTATTTTCCTTCGAAAAGTGCACATTTCCCCAAGTGCCCATCTCTTTATATTTGTTTAACTTGACCTCTTTACTAAGCTATGTTGCCTGTATGTAGACTTCTGCTCACATAAAAATCTTCCATTAAATGGTGAACGTAAGTCCAGTTGTGTATGCCAAACTGAGTTCAAAATAGCTTACACTCTGGTATGTGTATAGGATTGCAGCATAATGACCATAGTAAAATGTAGGGTTTGAAATTTGACTAGTGGATCTATTTCTAATATTTTTATGAAAAGGTTTTTAGTGATTTAAGCATGATTGCATTTGCAGAGCTTCAGTGTGCCTTTAGAAAGTCAATATAATAAGCAAAACATGTTTAGACCCTTATGATCACTTATGCAATATGGAGGATCATTTTTAACTTTCTGTCCATCCTTTTGAATGCCAAGACACTGGGTTGTATCCAACGTTAGTAATACTCAGAGTAGACCCATCAAAACAAATGGACATGACTTAGATCTATTAATTTCAATGGGTCTACTTGGAGTAGAACTTAGTTGGCTACATCCCTATATACATGTCTATAATCGACTTTAGTTTCACATTGGTTTTATAGAATCATAGTAGAGCTGAAAGGAATCACAAGCATCAACTAATCCAACTCCCTGCAATGTAGGAATCCCTCCATTGTGGGACTCGAACCCATGACTCTGAATTTTTTGTTGTTGTTTAGTTGTTTAGTCATGTCCAACTCTTCGTGACCCCATGGACCAGAGCACGCCAGGCACTCCTGTCTTCCGCTGCCTCCCGCAGCTTGGCCAATCTCATGCTGGTGGCTTCGAGAACACTGTCCAACCATCTTGTCCTGTCGTCCTTGTGCCCTCAATCTTTCCCAACATCAGGGTCTTTTCCAGGGACTCTTCTCTTCTCATGAGGTGGCCAAAGTATTGGAGCCTCAGCTTCAGAATCTGTCCTTCCAGTGAGCACTCAGGGCTGATTTCCTTCAGAATGGATAGGTTGGATCTTCTTGCAGTCCATGGGACTCTCAAGAGTCTCCTCCAGCACCATAATACAAAAGCACCAATTCTTCAGCGATCAGCCTTCTTTATGGTCCAGCTCTCACTTCCATACATCACTACTGGGAAAACCATAGCTTTAACTATACGGACCTTTGTTGGCAAGGTGATGTCTCTGCCTAGATAGCATCTTAAAAAGCAGAGACTCAGAATTTAGCTATGCGCTTAAGTCTCTTTGAAATCAACAGATAAATGAGTCACGAGTCCAATGAGACTTGGACCAGGGCCATATCATCTACAGCAGCAAGTGTGCAAGAACAAAGCTTTCTGCAGCAACTTAAGGAAGCTAATAGTAAAACAGTGAATTCAGCAATCTTAGTGCACCTTGCACCAAACCCTGCTCTGATGCAACCCCCATTCATTTCTGTTGGATTGGCATTAAAACAACAGCCAGTTAATATTGTGGCATAACACTTTTTTTAAAGCCAGTATAAGCCCAAAGTGATTTGTGGCAGGCATGGAGCCCTCCCCAAAGTTTTTGCAATAACTTCAGTGGAGAGCCATACATATGTGAATTCCTAGATTTGCTTGGAACATCTTCATCTATTGACATGAAGTGCTTCTGCACTCAATTAATTTTATAGGCATTTTGGTACATACATACATGGGGACCTAGATTGTCATGTCTCAAGCTGACCCAAGACAGCATTTCTTGAGTGACTACAAGCAACGTAACAGAAGTAGCAGCTTTACAAAAACTGGGTAAATCCAAATTTATACAGTACAAGGTATGCAAAAAGATGTTTTTTATTTATCAAAACTCCATCCTTTGAGGTAACCTAATGTATCTTTTAAAATCAGAGGCCAGAACAGGATTTCAGGGACACAATACCTTTATTTTTTCCAACCAAGCTCCAAAATATTTAGTTCTAGTATATCTATATATATAAAATTTCATCTGGGGAGATTTAAGGAGGACTTAACAGTCATCAAAATTAGCTCTTTTGTCTACAAAGTTTCAATTCCGAAAGCCTAATAAATTCAAGCAAAAATTATATCAGGAGCTAGTAATCATTCTGCAGTTCCATAATCTTACTTCAATATTAGGAATGCAATAAATTGTCTGTTATAAAATTATGAGCAAACAGATGACATAAAACAACATGAGGCATTTTTAACAAATTCCAAAATCCAAAGTTGAAAGAAGCTAAAATCTTCATTCAGTTGTAATAAAAAAAACCAATCACCTTTCAGTATAGATTGAACATAAGAAAATATTAATTTTCAATTATATGCAACCTAAGAGTATGCATGTTTACTCAGAGGTAACTCCTACTTTGTTCAATGGAGTTTACTTTCAAGTAAATGTGCACAGAATTGCAGACTTAATTTCTCTTGCCTTTTAAATGCAAAGTGATGCATCTTTTCCCTTTGATATGTAACTATTTGGTGCTAGTTTTCAAGGATTTATTTTTTACATTAACAAAATTTGTTTCTTCTCAACAGTCATAAGAAAGATACAATGTTTTAGACAAGACGTCTTCACGTAGTTCATATATTTCTTTTATATTTTGTGCCAGAAGTCCTTGCTTGATACAGATGTCTTTTGTAAATATCTATCTAGATATTCAAAGATCACTGAATTTTAAAATGATCTCAAAACAATCCTCAGCCTCATTTAAACTTTGCCTAAACAGCTGTGTGTGTTGCCATGCAATATCACCATCCCCTCCACTTAGTTCAGCTTCCAAGATAACATCTGTTACGTTGGAAATACCAGGATAAGAATGAAGACTTTTATCTACAAAGAAGGGAAAGACAAAAAAGTTTTTGTTAAAAAAGCAATATGCATTAAATACCAATAAAAAAACATTAATTTTAGAAGGATAGTGTTAAAGAAACACTGCAAATTAGTTTTCGTTTAATGACAATTGTATGGACCATTGTCAAAATTAATTTATTATTCATAGGTTTTTTAAGCTTTATCTGCTTCAGGAAAAATCCTAGATATACTAAAATCAAATAGGGATTTGTGATGCCTGTTCCAATGTATAGCCCAAGACACAAGCTTATTGAATGTTAGTATTTAAACTGACTTAGGACTTCTCTTCTTTGCCCCCTCCCCCCCAGGTCACAGTCATATGTAATGTACATCTGATCTGCATTGTAAACATCTGGAAATTGGTGTCTCTGTTGTTGTTTTAATCATGCCAAAAATTATTCCAGATTGGTGGAGATGGGTTAGATGGGCCTACACTGTCTCCAGGACAGAAAGCAATTCAGAAAATGCAAAACAAGCACATTTAAAGGAATACGGTCATGCCGCTTTAATGTGCAATCATGCAAAGGATTTAAGGGGGGGGTGAAGAGAAATATGAAACCAAACAATGCCCATACATCCTTGGAGGGGAGGGGGTTAAGCAGAGAGCAGAAGAGGGTTAAAAAGGGTTCTGAAGGGGAAATCTCATTTGTTCATTCAGTTGCTGCAGTTCCAGCTAGGGCTGTTTTAACATTGTGATTTATCAGCAGCTACATATTGTGATGTACTGATACATCATGATGCCTGAAATTGCCCAGTCCCACTCATGCCCACTCCTCCCTCTACAAGGCCCAGCCACTGCGAGGGGCGATCGCTGAGAAGGCAGTGCTTTAAAATCGCTGGGGAGGATCTGCCTGCCTAGCCACTGCCAGGGACAATAATACTAGGCGAAAAATACCCAGAGCAATCAGTGCATGTCTTCTGGTCCTCACCCTCACATCATCATCCCTGCCACTTCCACCACCATCAGGCCCCTTCCTTGCCTCTTTCTCATTGAATACCGCACACACAAACCTCAATAACACCACCCCCTGCCCCTGCAAGGACCCAGAGAAATTTTCAGGCGAGAAGAAAAATATTTCCCCCCCAACAAATGCTGGAGAAGGATGCTGCAGGAGCAAGTCAGGAATCTGAGCCTATGGGACTCCACCAGGTTTCATAGACATGCTTCATTGGAGAGTGACGAGGCGAAAGAGTGTTGGGTGTGGTGTTTGTGTCGTGCAGGCAGCTGCTAGAAGGATTGATTGCCTCTGCTGTTATTATTTCATTGTTATTTTGCAATATGCCCTTCTCTCCCCACTCCCACTGAAAGGAAGTAGTTTTGGGAAGCAGCAGACCTAGCAATTTGAGCTGGGCAAGATAAGAGGAGCTGTTCCCAGACTATTACTTAAGTCAGCTGGTCATAACACAAAAAAGTATATTTCTAAGTGGCCTGGGCACTTTGCCCCCCCCCACTCTCTTTCTCCCTCTCGCTCCTTCCCTCCCTCCCTAGGTTGCTATCGTATCTCTTCCTGGGTTCCTCCTTCAGCCTCCTTTGTAGTTTTCACTTACAAAGAAAACAAACCCTGAACAGATGTTTCTCTGAGCGTGGGATCCTGGCATTGCATGCTCCTTCTGAGTTGTCGCCCCTTGCAGTGGCTGGGCTGTGGAGGATGGGGATGGGCAGGAGAAGTGACCAGGAGGAAGGGAGGAAGAAGGAAGGATGCAGCCCGTTTGCGAAGGAAGCAAGGCAGGCTTCCCTGGCTATACATTACAGGCTCAAAGATGTTATTGCAATGTGCTCTTCACACCGGTTTCAAACCGTTTATTGATATATCGCACAGCATTGGTTCCAACCACAGCTTTCAATGATGCTTCGCCAATGGCAGGAGACCAAAAGTTCTCCTGCCTCAGAATAATCCAATGTATGCAGCCAAATTCAAGATTCACGTCTAATAAAGACCCAAAACAAGCAAACCTATGGGCCAAAACCACAGGAGAGATGAACAAGGCAGTCTATAATGGGTGCCTTATCTAAGTCCCGTTTGCAGGTAACGAGATGAAATCAGCTTAATAGCTTCTATGGAACAGGTAGCAAATTATATTGTTTGTCAGGTCTGTCATCTATATAAGCAAGGAAGGGGAACCTCTGGCCAGTGGATGTGGATCTCAGGTTTTCCGTTTGGCCCATGAGGCCTTTTTCTTGGCTTCTGAGCTAGCTGCGACGAGAGGGTTGTCTCTTCTTCACAACCAGAACAGAAGTACAGCAAATTGGCTGGCAGGGACCCAGTCTAGGTTGGGAACCCAGGAGATGGAAAAGGGGCTTTAAATGGTTTGGCCCTTGCTGTGGGGTCCAGATCCTGATTGTGCTCCTGCGCCTGCAACTTGCATTGAGGGGGAAACTAAAGCAAATACTATGCAAATGACAGAAGTGTGTGGGGAGATGGATCTGCTGGGATATGGCCATGAGCACATTTGAGGGAATACAGCCGTTGATGGGAGAGTGGAGCAAGGGAGGTTCACTCCCCAATATGCAACAAAGAGCAGCTCAGAATTGTATACGTTCCTTTTTTCAATCCACAAAATCTAGAAAAAACAGTAGCATCCTATAGATGCTTGATCGAACTTGGCTCCCACTGCATTCAATGGTGCTCACTCCCAAGTAAGTGGCTTTAGGATTAAAGCTTTGGGATGCAATATTACCCCCACCTGCCTTAAGAGTAAGCCCCACTGAGAACAGCAGGGTTTACTTCTGAGGAAAGATGGGCAGGATTGTACTGTAAGAAACACCTGAAGTTCAATTTCAGCCAGTTACTTTACTGGTGACCTTGGGCCAGCTATTATCGCTCAGTCTCACGTCTGTAAAACGGAACCGATGGCTTACTTTGCATGGCTGTAATGAATAAGCATTATTAACAGTATAAGATAATACATAGTTAAAAGAATAGACGTAAATTAATCTTAATTGCTCTTGCTTTGCTTGCAAGTGCACTTTCAAAAAATGAGGAATTTCACACTTGCCTCCGTTTACATCAACTACAGTGTTGCCAGATCGCAGCATCCACCTTACTTTTCCACTCTGAAATGTCTGGCTGCTCGTTTTGACTGAAATGCTGTCAATTTTTAGCCCAACTGAGCCACACTCAAACTTCCAGCAGATGTAACCAGATAATGATCCTTCTTTTCGAGCTAAATAAACCTATTTAGAAACAAAATGCATACATGAAACACTAAAAAAAAACTTATATTTGTTAAAGCTACAATCTTGTAAAGCAAAACCTAAGGACTGTAAGTATGCAGCTGATGACAATTCTATGTATGTTAATTCAATGTACACCCCACTGAGCTCAATGAGAGTTACTCCCTAGCTAGCAAGTGTGTTTAGGCAAAACGGGACTTATTTTGGAGCAAACATACATTACTGGACTGAATTTGTAACAGCAATTATGAATAGCTCAATTTATTACTGAAACATACATAATAATACTTTGCAGAATTCTCATACATCATGTTGATTTTATTGTGGAACTGATTTGCTGTTTATGCCCAATGCTAAAAATGTTTTCTTCTTCATATTGTAATCTGCCAGACTCCTTTCCTTGGGTATGTGAGCTTATATGTTCCAACTGTTATTTAGATTCTTTAGAAATGAAAATGAGCTTGGCAGGACCTTCATTAATGCAAAGTGACTGAGATACTTTGGTGCTTTGCAGATGGGGAAGTAACACTTTGGATTAGGAAATTCTACCTACTCATGTGCAATGAAGAAAAAAGATATACTGTAAAGACCCTTTTGTGAAGCTGAAAAATTAATTTTCTGGAAAGGCAGGATTTCTTTTTTTACAGGCAGCTCTTGTATCAGTCCACCTTTGAATGGGAAATGTCAGACTTAAGGTTTAATATCTGAACAGATATTTGTTATCTTCAGCCAACTCTACCATCCTGCCTTGAAAGACACACTGCTTTTTATTCCCAGCTACTCTGGTCATCTGGCAATCTTATCTGAAGCTGGACATTAATATTTACCAACTCAAGCTGAACACCCAAAAATCCACAGAAGCAAAAAACGAAACAAAAAACCTTGCAGCTTCAAGATGATTACACTTAGAACGAATAAGTTTTATAAAATAACTTTCCTTGGTACAATACTCACCATTTTCCAGTCTGATTCAACCTTTCTCCACATAGAGTCCATCCTCCATACTCCTTTTTCCCATCCACTAATCTTTTCATTATTATTGGATATCCGTGTGTAACAATCTTCTACTATATTGTACCTAAGGTGGAGAAGCTTAGAGGCCTTCTCTTTTCCAGTTGGAATAAAAATTATTTCTTTGCTCTATTATGACCAAAGGTACAAATTAGGTTTTCATTAGATATTTATTAGTCACCTAATTACTTATAATAAATATATGCCACAGACACATGCACACACACACACACACATTTATACAAGTATATTCTAGGGTGACTTCAGAGATACAGTGGTACCTCGTGTTATGGACAGGATCCATTCCGGAAGCCCATCCATAACGTGAAAAGCCCGCAACTCGAGGTGCCGTGTCTGTACAGATGCGCAGGGTGATTTGGTGCTTCTGCGCATGCGCAAGCAATGAAACTCAGAAGTAACCCATTCCGGTACTTCTGGGTTGCCGTGGGACACAAGACGAAAACACACAACCTGAAGCGGACGTAACATGAGGTATGACTGTATCTCTGAAGACTGATCACCAGAGTCCACCCATTATCATATTTCCTGTTATTCAGTGTACTTTCCCCTTAACCTCATCCTGATCAATCTAACGGGGAAGGCCAAAATAACCAGCAAAATGATGCCAGGGTCAAAGAAACAACCACATGAGAAATGACTTGTTGCCAGGCGAATTCCCGACACAATTTGAGTTCTTGCCCAGGGAAAAATAAGAAGGTTGTGGAAGCAATCTTCTTGCCTGATTACCATCTTCAGAAACCAACAAGGCGGTTTGGCTTAGTAATGGAGCAAACCTAGTTTATCTTCTCCCAGAACTGTCACATGTTAGCAGCTGTTCTCGTGGGCCACCTCAAGTGACGGAGAAGAGGAAGCAATGACTCCTCCATTGCTTCAGCAGGGTATTGGGCTTCTTTCCAGAACTGTCCCCTCCGTACATGAGATCATTATGTAACAACATGACAAAATTGATACCACCATTTTCCATTACACCCCTCTTTCCTCCCCATTCCTTCCTTTCTCTTGAATCGTATACCTTAGATGGTACACCACTGTTTTAAATGCAAGAGGGTTTGGTCAGTAAAACTATACAAAGTGTATGTAGTGAAAATAAATGAACAGACCCAAAACCCTCTTGTGGAACCTTGGTTCTAGAACTTAATCCGTTCCAGGAGTCCGTTCGACTCCTGAAATGGTTCAAAAATCAAGGCGTGGCTTCCGATTGGCTGCAGGAGCTTCCTGCACTCAAGCGGAAGCCACATCAGACATTCGGCTTCCAAAAAACGTTCGAAAACAGGAACATTTCCTTCCAGGTTTTTGGTGTTCGGGAGCCAAAACGTTTGAATACCAAGGCGTTCAAGAACCAAAGTATGACTGTAACTGTATCACTTCTATATCCTATGCAGCAGTGAACACTAGATGTTAAATAGGAGGAGGGAGAACACAACATTAGCAGGGTAAATTGTCTTGTCTAGGATAGTTTTGCTATGCCTAAATTGTGAAAGGGGGGCTCTGGAGATACCAGGGGGCATACGAAGGAATCAGAGACATACATATACATTGGTATCTAATCTTCAGAAAGTCAATGACATTAAGGTGCAAGAGAAACATGCCAAGGGCCATTGGGAGACTGCGCCTCTGCCTCTCAGAAATGGCATGATGGCAAGGAGGAGATGGATCTGCCCCCATCCATCAGCCAGGATGGACAGACAAGTTGTCCTAGGACTGCAGAGTTGAAGGGCAGATTACTCTGGCCCCATCCCTCAGGCAAGTGACTAACAGCTGTGGGCTCTATGCTTTTGGGCTATATGAGTGCAATTACTATCTATTTTTAGTTGCCTTGGGGACAATTCAATCAAAAAGCGGGATAGAGCTCTTGTAGAAGGTCCAGCTCTGAGGGCCTTCTGGCGGTTCCCTCACTGTGAGAAGTGAGGGAACAGGGAACCAGGCAGAGGGCCTTCTCAGTAGTGGCACCTGCCCTGTGGAACGCCCTCCCATCAGATGTCAAGGAAATAAACAACTATCTGACTTTTAGAAGACATCTGAAGGCAGCCCTGTTTAGGGAAGTTTTTAATGTTTGATGTTTTATCGTGTTTTTAATATTCTGTTGGGAGTTACCCAGAGTGGCTGGGAAACCCAGCCAGATGGATGGGGTAAAAATAATAAAGAAGTAGTAGTAGTAGTAGTAGTAGTAGTAGTAGTAGGACAATACCCTGCTATACAATGATAAAATGCCATCATTAATCCTTCAGTCAATGGATTAAAACCAAAAACCTAGCACTTTTGCTTTGATGTCCACAAAACAAATCTATTTTGATTGCCCGGAACAGATGTAATTGGGACAGCTGACAACAAATTTTGGAGTGAATTATTACTTTTATCCTAACAAGTTACCTGCTTTACTTTCGATTGCTTCCATCTATATATAGATCAGTGGGCGTTCGGGTTCTTCTTGTTCTCAATAATGGCTAAAACAAATATTACTATCACTACATTGAAATCAATAGGACAAGTAACTCATGGCTAATTACAGCATGATTAAATTTCTCTGGACTGGGGCCCTAAAGTCAATAAGCTGCAACTGGACCATAAACTAAGAATTCTAAAATGATCACCAATCGATGCATTAAATACCTCCAAAGCAATTTCACCTCTGGCGACTCTCCAAGCCACTGATCCCGATACCCTTCCGCCAAGTTCTCCCGGCTTAGGGGTTTTAGGAGAAATGAACTCAACAAGCTCCACAATTATTCTTTCTAAGAGCTCCCTTCTCCTTCCTTCTGTCAAAGACTGCTGTCTCTGTGATTTCAGAAAGCAATGATAAAAAAATAAAATTAATTTCAACTGTATTACCACTCTCCCTGGTGTAACAATTTTTTAAAAATGCAAATCATTTATTTCAATACAATCTCTCTGAATGTCAGAAACCACTGCAGATGGGCCAGATAACCATGGTACATGTAAAATTGTATTATTGCATTGTTTGAACATAAAGGCAACAGGAAAGTAGGTTGAAACCTTTTCCACACTGCTTTGGACCAGTATCAAATCTTTATAATTTACTTGGAAATTAACTTTTGGATTTACAGGGTTTGTATATCTTTTTCAAACTCACTGCGTTTTGCTGAGCTCTAATGTTTTATTACATACGAGAGAAAATTCAAGGAAGGATAATGCCTGGATCAATTATTTTGTTCCACATAATTTACTGTCCTGGTAGCATTGGTCTTGATACGGTGATTAACCTAATGCATAAGTGGAAAGGTGATAGATGCCCAAATGAAGGACACTTTTTCCCTGCAGAGCCTCACACATTAAACTGAAAGGCCTAATTCAGTCACAATTCATGTAAGCCTCGAACAATTCTACTCATATATGGCAGAGATAGCCCCTTCAATGTATAATTCAGAAAGAGTTGAAAGCAATAGTATAGAAACAACAAAATATTTGGAAGGTGTGTTTGCTTTTGCTGTTGTTGCTGATAATCCTACAAAACAAAACATCCATTTCTTTTATGGGCAGAGCCAGGGTCTGCAACCTCCCTGTGGAACGCCCTCCCCTCAGAAGTCAAGGAGATAAAGAACTAGACAACTTTTAGAAGACATCTGAAAGCAGCCCTGTATCCAGAAGTTTTTAATGTTTGACGTTTCATTATGTTTTATATGTGTTGGAAGCTGCCCAGAATGGCAACCCAGCCAGATGGCTGGGCTATAATTAAAAAAAATATTATTATTGTTACAACCTAAGACAGCTGCCAGGATACAGGGTCCCAACACGTTGCACCTACGTTGACTCTTGCCCGATGTTGGTTGCTCCCATTCACCTCTGCCCCTCGTAAGGTTTCCTGAGCAGCATCAGGAAGTTAGGAAATGCCGTTTTCAAATTGTTGCAATTTCCCAGAGTGACACTACATTGTGGGGCACTGTGAGAATGTTAAAATACCAAGTGGTTCATAGGCACCTGCCACAGATTGCAGTGGTGAGGCAGGCACAGCTAGTAAGGTAAGGTAAAGGACCCCTGGACAGTTAAGTCCAGTCAAAGGCGACTATGGGGTTGCGGCGCTCATCTCACTTTCAGGCTGAGGGAGCCGGCGTTTGTCCACAGACAGCTTTCTGGGTCATGTGACCAGCATGACTAAACCACTTCTGACACAACGGGACACCGTGACGGAAACCAGAGCGCACGGAAATGCCGTTTACCTTCCCGCCACAGCGGTACCTATTTATCTACTTGCACTGGCGTGCTTTTGAACTGCTAGGTTGGCAGAAGCTGGGACAGAGCAGCGGGAACTGGGACAGAGCAGCGGGAGCTCACCCCATCGCGGGGATTCGAACCGCCGACCTTCTGCTCAGCAAGCCCAAGAGGTTCAGTGGTTTAGACCACAGCGCCACCTGCATCCCAACTGGCTAGTAAGCCACCTGAAACCACCTCACAACTGGCACAGGCCTTGGAAAGAGAACTGTAAAACGAGACTCAACGTGGCAGTTTTAATAATAAAAACTGTAACTGTTTTAAAACAGCGGTGGACTTTTTTTTGGTAGAAAATATGCCACTAGCCAAAACCAAAATTTCAGAGAGCATTATTCCAGCATGCTCAACTGTACATATGCAGATCCTTCAAATGGATGTGCTTAGGGTGGCAGAAGAAAGCCTGGAAGATTGCAGGCCTGACTAGTTGCAGGTGCTGTTCTGCCAACAACTCTTGCTGCCTGCTTCCCTGGTGTCACAAGCATTGCTGGGCAATATATGTTTTTCAACATCATTATGTATCAGCAGCTAGATACTATGATATGCTGATATATCACGACATCTGACTCTGGAATGTATTTTGGCTGCTTCTTCCTCTCCACCTTAGGGGAAGAAGCAGCAGCCAAGACAGTTCGTCCAGCCCTACCAAGCCCTGATCCCGCTCCAGCTCACGCGAGCCAGAGGGGCAGGGGACATCCTCAAAGGTGCAAGCAGGCAGGTAGATGGAGCCCGAGAAGGTGCGTGCTTGCAGCCTTCTCAGGCTCTGCCTGCCTGCGCCTTTCCCGCCTGCAGGCCATTTGAACTGGCACAATGCATTGCCAGCTGAACACCATACCAGTTTCAGACAATTTATCAATGTATCACCCAGTTCTAGTCACAAGCTGATACTGGTATGGCAAAGGTCCAACGCCATGATTTTATTGTCTTGTAACAGAGCCTAGGTCTTGCCGATCAGAAGGTTGGCAGTTCAAATCCCCACGACGGGGTGAGCTCCCATTGCTCAGTCCCTGCTCCTGCCAATCTAGCAGTTCGAAAGCATGTCAAAGTGCAAGTAGATAAATAGGTACCGCTCTGGCGGAAAGGCCAACGGCATTTCCGTGTGCTGCTCTGGTTCGCCAGAAGCGGCTTAGTCATGCTGGCCACATGACCCGGAAGCTGTACGCCAGCTCCCTCAGCTAATAAAGCGAGATGAGCGCCGCAACCCCAGAGTCGGTCATGACTGGACCTAATGGTCAGGGGTCCCTTTACCTTTACTGGTCATTCCAACCACATAAAAAGTCATTTCCCCCAAAAACGATAATAAAAAAACAGAAACAAAATTTCACAACACGTTGCCCTCTATTAACAACTTTGAACTGCGGGGGCCACTAGGGGGCGCACTGGAAGATGGCTGACAATACCATCTCTCCGACCCACACGGGGTAATTAAGAGGCTGTTATGGGAGTAGGCAGCCTCCCTTGTTGCCCCAAGGAAATGGGGAACACTGCCCTTGCCTGCTGTGCCCATAAATCACCCCCCTAATTCGAAAGAAGGGGGTGAGGGCCCTAGGCAGAATGCCCCCGTGTGGACCTCGGCTCTCCTGGATGCTGTCTCTGATCGCGCACTAGTTGCAGCAATTTGGAATAATTAATTACAAAAGAAGCAAATGCACATATTTCAAGTGAAGAAGGGGAGTGAAGTCTGCTAATTTAAGTGACCTCTGCGAAAGAAGACGACGGGCTGGAGAAACAGGAATATTTTACGATGAAGATACACCAAAGGCGGGGTATGTTGACAACGGGGCTGAATGGGGGGGGGGAAACCTTTTTTACTTTCCTTCTATGTGATTTACAAGAACCCCTCCTCATTAGAATCGTCGGTTGAACTGACCCAAGCAGGATGATTAAGGTCTGTGTGGAGATAAACTTTAACCAAAAGTATGCTTTATGGAGACCGAGAAGCAATAAGAGCTTTTGGGAATGGCGCAGCAATTAATTCGAGTCGCCATCTTGCCAAAGGATTTATAGCCGGGAGGAAGAATGGACTTGTTTTCAGACTGCATTCCTAGTGAATCTCCTCAGAGGTTTTGAGAAAGGAGGCAGATTGGTGAATATTAATGACGCTAAGACTGTTTTGATGTATGGAAGTGATGTTATATGGAAAATGTCTGGATATGGCTACTGGATAAAAAAAATAATATCCACGCAGGATTACAAACTGTTCTAACCAGCTTGCAGAGACTATCAGAGGTCACAAAGAGAAAGGAAAAATATATGAAAATAACAACAAGAGATGTGGAAAAATATTAAGAAAGGACTGGATAGTACTGTGAACATCATAAGGTTAGATTTGTGGACATTAAAACAGCAGTAAGAAGCAAGAAGTTGATTGGATCCCTTCAGAACTTGAAATATGGGTACCCTCAACAAAAATTTAAAATTCGGCTGTGTAATTTGGAATTTATGTAATTTGGTTTGATTTGATGTGATTGGTCGGTTAATAAAAAATTATTCTTAAAAAAAAACCAACAACTTTGAACTGCAACATGGGAGACATTCCGGACATTGTAGATTTGTCTTGGTCTAGTGCATGTAACATGTTTCGTTCTGTAGTTGTGTGATTTGTGCTTATATTGTATTGTGATGGCCGCTGGCTATAAACAACAAAAATCTATTGATTGACTGAGTCCCCGATTCAAGGGCAGCTTACGTTGCAATACTTGTGCAATTTTAACCAGCCTGCTAAGATAAAGCGACCTACCACTTTATTAAGGTTATTGATGGTTTCTCGTAGAACTGCTTCTTTGACCTGGGTCCTCCGTGGGAGCAGGTCCTCATGCTTACAAGAGTAGCGCCAGGTGACATCAACAACCTGAAAAGCATGTGTTGAAAAAGAAGAGGGGGGTAAATTACGAAGTATTACATACAGGATTTGATTTTTTTATTATATGCATATCCCATCTCCCCTCTCCCTGCTCCAAAGATGTCAAGATGGAGGCGTACAGGGCTCTCTGCATCTGCATATTATAAAAAAAACTGCGAAGTAGCTTCCTGAGAGCTGGTGAGGGCCGCAAGCGAGCTTCATGGCTGAATGGAGATTTCAACCCTAGTCTTCCAGGGCTTAGTTTGACCTTCCAGGTACGGACACGGGTGGCGCTGTGGTCTAAACTACTGAGCCTCTTGGGCTTGCTGATTGGAAGGTCGACAGTTTGAATCCCCACGATGGGGTGAGCTGCTGTTGCTCTTCCCCAGCTCCTTCCAACCTAGCAGTTCGAAAGCATGCCATTGCAAGTAGATAAATAGGTACCACTGTGGTGGGAAGGTAAACAGTGTTTTCGTGCGCTCTGGTTTCCGTCACAGTTGCACCAGAAGCGGTTTAGTCATGCTGGCCACATGACCCAGAAAGCTGCCTGTGGACAAATGCCGGCTCCCTCAGCCTGAAAGCGAGATAAGCGCCGCAACCCCATAGTTGCCTTTGACTGGACTGAACTGTCCAGAGGTCCCTTTATCTTTTAGTCTGACCTTCCAACCAGCACACCACACTGGCTATGAAGTAGCTCAAAGTTTCACTCACTGCAATATCAGAACTACTCCAGGAAAGAGATCCTCTTTCCTTTGTCAAGGAATGATCGAACTGCTTTAAAAATGCTTAAAGGGAAAACTTTCCCTTGTGAGCATTGCCTTTATTTCAAACCCACATTGCCTCCCCTACCTCGTCTTTAGAAAATGCAATAATGTAGGAGAGCTTTTTCCCCCAGCCCATCTCATAGAGGAGGGGTTTGTCGCAGACGTTTTCACAAGGGTCACAGTGAAGCCACCTCTGCTGGGATGAGGAATAAACTTCGGTCCACACATGATCTGCAGGAGAGGAAAGCCAGAGGAAAGTAACCAACATTGTAAAGGCACCTCTTCCATCTCAGGAAACTATAAGAGTTTGGATTTGATATCCCTCTTTATCACTACCCTAAGGAGTCTCAAAGTGGCTAACATTCTCCTTTCCCTTCCTCCCCCACAACAAACACTCTGTGAGGTGAGTGAGGCTGAGAGACTTCAGAGAAGTGTGACTAGCCCAAGGTCACCCTGAGGAGCGGGGAAGCGAACCCGGTTCACCAGATTACGAGTCTATCGCTCTTAATCACTACACCACACTGGCTCACTACACAGAGAGAGAGAGAGTTGTAACGATACCTGTCGCGTCCCAAATATATCTTGCTTCAAAGCCCACAGCTCTGCAGAAGAGGGTGAAGCAGTTGGACCATTCTCCGCAACGGCCACGCCTAGTTTCCAGAAGTTTCTCGGGATTGTTGTACCTGTGCACATTTTTTATTTTAAAAAAACGGGGGGTTGCTGTCATTGCCACGAATACCTAAAATCATTATCATAAGCTACCAACATTTTGAAATGCTACATTATTAAAATACGCCAGTTAAATAATTCCCTCCCAAGAACTCCCTCACACAGTGGTCGTGGGTCTTGAATTTGCCCCCCCCCCATCATTTTTGCATCAAAAATGTAAACCATCATTTTAATTTGTGGAACCACCTAGAGTGCAGTGACATTGAAGCAATATACAAATGTAACAAATAAAGAGGTAATATATAGGCTTCTTCCATGATCTAGCCCCTGCTTTAAATCCCCCAATCCCTACCTGCTATCAAACTAAGTACTGTATTTTTCTGTGTATAACCCCCCCCCCCCCGTGTATAAGACACCTCCTATTTTGGGGGACTCAAAATTAAGAAAATGGGGGGAGATTGCCCCCGTGTATAAGACTAGCCCCCTATTAAACATTAGGTAAAGGTAAAGGTACCCCTGCCCGTACGGGCCAGTCTTGCCAGACTCTAGGGTTGTGCGCTCATCTCACTCTAGAGGCCGGGAGCCAGCGCTGTCCGCAGACACTTCCGGGTCACGTGGCCAGCGTGACAAGCTGCATCTGGCGAGCCAGCGCAGCACACGGAACGCCGTTTACCTTCCCGCTGGTAAGCGGTCCCTATTTATCTACTTGCACCCGGGGGTGCTTTCGAACTGCTAGGTTGGCAGGCGCTGGGACCGAATGACGGGAGCGCACCCCGCCGTGGGGATTCGAACCGCCGACCATGCGATCGGCAAGTGCTAGGCGCTGAGGTTTTACCCACAGCGCCACCCGCGTCCCTTTTAAACATTATATTTTAGTAAAAAACCCTAGTCTTATACATGGAAAAGTACGGTAACTGCTGAACAAGGACATCCCATCTTACAACCTCTGCTGAAAGCACAGCCAACAGAATTCACTTTGGTATGTTGATATTTTGCATTTATTCAGACTACAGGGGGTTTAATCCCAACTGCCGCCTGCAAATTTCTGAAACATGGGATATCTGAATGGCGACAGTGCTTCTGAACCTATCTTGTAATGGGTGGTTGAACCTCCGGTCAGCCCTCTGTTTCTGATCTACAGCTCCCATCATTCCTGGACATTAGCCAGGCTTGCTGGGGATCATGGGAGTTGTAGTACAGCAACATCTAGAAGGGCCAAAGGTTCTACAACTACCATCACTCATGATCATTGTTTAAGCTGGCTGGGCTTGAAGGGAGTTGTGTGACAAATCCATTCTTCTATGCTATCTGTCAGCAAAACAGAAAGCAGGACTAAGAGTATTTTCATGGTACTGCTTCAAATGTCACTATTGTTCTCACATGCTATATAAGGGATTTGCCAATAAATAAGTGAAAAAGTGGCTTCCAAAAACATACAGTGGAACCTTGGTTCTCGAACTTAATCCATTCTGGGAGGCCGTTCGACTCCTGAAACCGTGTGAAAAACCGAGGCGCGGCTTCCTATTGGCTGCAGGAGCTTTCTATACTCAATTGGAAGCTGCGTCAGACATTCGGCTTCTGAAAAACGTTCGAAAACCGGAACACTTACTCCCAGGTTTTCGGCGTTCGGGAGTCAAAGCGTCCCGAGTACCAAGGCGTTCCGGAACCAAGGTACGACTGTACTGAGCGTACAGTTTCAAACACGGATCAAATTTTTAACCCACCTATGTCCTATACAAACCTTGGAAATCGGTTGCTGAATTGGCAATGGTTACAGAAGTGATTTTCAACCCTACTCGCGTCCCATCTCAGATCGTCTTCGCTAGGCGACAAATTTTCTTTAGATTCTGTCTGGCCCCCACACTTGCTGCACGGAAGGTTATTTACCCACTGGAAGAAATCACATTTAAACCAGTTCAGGAGCTCCAGCAACAGTATGTCCTGTTCGTTCAATGCATGTCCTGTAAAAATTTAAATAAAAGCAATTACAACGGAGCATGTGAATATCTAATGCACAGAATCACAGAATTGTAGAATTGGGAGGGAACCTGTGGATCATCTAGTCCAACCCCCTGCAATGCTGGAACATGTCGTTGTTCCATACGGGGATCAAACCTGCAGCCGTGGCATTATCAGCACCACGCACCAACCAATTGAGCTATCCAGGCTTGCTATAATAGTGTAATCCCAGGAATGTTCACCAAGAAGAAAGTCACTGGTGTTTACTCCCAGGCAAGCATGCACAGGACTGCAGCCTAAGCAGACCAGAAATCGGGAGCAATTTCCCAGTGAGGACAGGGAAATAATCATGGCAAATTATTTGACAGCAAATCTGGTATAGAACTTGAAAGTACAGGTGAAACTCAAAAAATTCGAATATCGTGGAAAAGTTCATTTATTTCAGCAATTCAACTTAAAAGGTGAAACTAATATATGAGATAGACTCATGACATGCAAAGCGAGATATGTCAAGCCTTTATTTGTTGTAATTGTGATGACCACGATTTTCTAATTTTTCGCGTTTCACCTGTATTACTGGTTTTCTAAAGACACAAATTAGGTACCTGAAGTGGGAGATGCACCTGGGGAGAGAAAGGGCTGTAGCTCAATAGCAGAGCCCATGTTTTGACATGCTAAGACAAACCTGACCTAGCACAGCAGCAAAAAGAACTGGGGAAGAACGAAGGGTTTATTTAGAAGCTCTATGGGAGCCCACACTGTTTGTGCTAAGCCAACATTTGGCTAGGCATAACATGTGAACCAGGCCAATGACAAAAAGGGAGCTGCTTAAAGAGGATCAAGTCAACGGTGATGGAATCAACATCAAATCAATTCTTTGTTTTCGGTCTACACAGATGCTAAACAGTAATTCTTAACTGCATATGAATTTGAGGAATTGGGGCAGTATTTATTTTAGATGTAAAATTCAGTGGTACCTCGGGTTACAAACACTTCGGGTTACAGACTCCGCTAACCCGGAAGTAGTACCTCGGGTTACGAACTTTACCTCAGGATGAGAACAGAAATCGTGCGGCGGCAACAGGAGGCTCCATTAGCTAAAGTGGTACCTCAGGTTAAGAACGGTTTCAGGTTAAGAACGGACCTCTACAACGAATTACGTACGTAACCAGAGGTACCACTGTAATATTCTTAAAGAAAACTTCATCAATGCCCCATACTTGGCAGCTGCTAATTCCGAAATGCTTCCCCTTCTGTCTAATTTTGTACATCGATAGAAATACGCCTACTTGTACACAAATGCTCTAGTTAATATCGTCATGTTTCCAAATCATATCTAACTTATTACCTCTGTCCATTTTCCTTGCTTGGATCAGCTTTTCATGAGCATTCCTGCTCAGTTCTTGGATTGGGATGCAAGCCAAGGCTTTCTTTTGTAAACTAGGGTTCTCATATACCATTACATGCAGAAAGTTTGATTGAAGTGTCTTCAAGAAGATTGATTCAAATGTCTGAAATGGGGGGTGGGGGGTGGAAATGTATCGTTTCAGTTGCCTCAAACAGATTTTCTAACAAGTTCTGGTCATTTGTTCTTCTAAATGGTATAAAGAAGTATATTCACATGGGAATGAGGAGCACAATCTACTGAGAACTGGAATCTAGAGAAGCACCAAAAGGAGGTAAGTAGAACATGACTTTCCTAACCTCTCCTCTGCTGGCAGCACCCCAAAACACCATTCTTGACATTCAGGGGGTCCCCTGAATAGGATGTGCTGTGTTTTTTGGGGGGGGGTCTGAGGGAGAGAGCTGATAGCCAAAAGCAGTAAAGCAGTTTTTGCCCAATTTTTAGCAATCCACATTCCTACTACCCCACAGCCCATCCCATTCAGGAGTTCCAACACTTGGGAGACGCTTATTGAGCACTCTGGGAAGCAGGGTGGGGGCAGGATAGACCTGCCACGCCTTTCCTCTGGCTTCTGTAAAAGCATAACTTTTTTTTAAAAAAATGGAGACAAACCAGGTAATTGCTTCCTTTACTCCTGAAATGGACCTTCTGTTAAGGCAGGAGAAATGCCAAGTGGTTCTGCTGGGTCTCCTTGATCATGGTCTATATGTGTATGAAGAAGATTGGTGTGGAGAATGAGAGGTTAAAATCAGGAATGGGGAAAGCTTCCACCTGCTGTTGGACTCCCAATTCTCACCAGTCCCAGTCAGGATGGCCCATGGTCATGGAAGAGAGGAACTGCAGACCAACATTGGGTGGGCCTCAGGTTCCCCATCCCTGGATTAAAGGTTGAATGCGCACAAAAGCCGACCCACGTACAGGCAGTGACAAATATTACTGCTTGAAGTGTGGTTCTAATATAGTCCAAGCAGCAGGCCCAGATCTGAGCCAAGTGAAACGCAGGGACATTTACTGGATTACTGGAACCGTCAATCATGGTCAAATATAAGGCAAACAAGACACAGCCTTCTTGATGTCTGTCCCTTTGGGAAGCACAACTTGATGCCAGTCAGGGCTCTCATTAAGAGTACTCAAGAGTGGGGAATCATCAGAGACCATGCCTGGCCCCTCAATATCTGGAAGTGAATCACCCCATGGTATGAGTTGGGCCCCATGGTCTTCAGTTGGAAGAGAAAGCAAAACAAAGCATTTGTAACTCCAAACCAGGTATGCTTTGGTTTCAGCGACAGACTTTCTGAATCTGGACTTTACAACACATGGGAAGAATCACAAAATGCCCCATGTTCTCCAGCCTGAGTGTGACTTTATTTCGTTACATATTAAATCAAAACTTGTTGTATTTCTCTCTCTTTTCCCTCCTGGTGAAACCTAATAAAACTCAGCGACCCTTGTCTTAGTTTCCTTCCATGTGAGGTCAGAAAGCTGGAGACTCCCCATTTATCTAGAGTAGATATGGGTAACTTTTGGCCCACCAGATGCCGCTGAACGACAGTTCTCGTGAGCCCCAGTGAGTATGACCAATGGCCAGGAATGATGGGAACTGTAGTTGTGTGACATCCAGAGTGCCAAAGGTTCCTCACACCTGATCGAGAGGTAAGTAGCATCTGCGTATGTACACTCAGCAACACGCACCAAGGTACAATCATGCAACAAAATGAGTGATTTCAGTGTGTGTCTACATCAGGAATGAAGAACCTCTGGGCTACAGGCCAAACTAAGGGGTCACAATTTGGCTCACAAGGTGGTTTCCCCCCAATCTCAATGTCTGACGCAATATATAACTATTGGCATTTCACAGACGGAGAGGCAAAAACTGTTCCCAAGAAGAAGAAGAGGAGTTTGGATTTGATATCCTGCTTTATCACTATCTGAAGGAGTCTCAAAGCGGCTAACAATCTCCTTTCCCTTCCTCCCCCACAACAAACACTCTCTGAGGTGAGTGGGGCTGAGAGACTTCAGAGAAGTGTGACTAGCCCAAGGTCACCCAGCAGCTGCATGTGGAGGAGCGGAGACGCGAACCCAGTTCCCCAGATTACGAGTCTATCGCTCCTAACCACTACACCACACTGGTTCCCAAGAGTTGCTACATGAATTAAAGAACTCAGCTCGAGGGTGAAACTTAAATTTACACATACTATTTCCTTGTTCAACATAACAGAGTTCGGAAGTGGTTACCATGACAGCAGGCTGAGCCGTTGGGTCCTGATTGGAATCAAGAGTTCTCGACGGCCGGTGTGCAACAGGCTGCATGTCTGTTACTCTTCTAGAGGATCCTGACATTTCGGTTGTATTCGATCCATTCAATCGAATATTTCTCTCCCCAGTAACTAGGTCTCGGATTTTGTGCAGCTGCTTAATCGATGTGTCGTCCTTAGGAAAAACGAGACAGGTTTCCCCCCTGAAATGGTAGTTACAAAAGTCAAGTCTTCTGTATTGAGATGCAAACAAAACCAAACCAAACAAAACAAAAACCAGCACTAGCACCTCCACTTGGCTTTGCACCTGGACTGAATTATTTACAGCACAATCCTAGGCATATCTACTCATACAAGTTCCACGGACTTTAGTGGGGATTACTCCTAGGGCGAAGCAGTGGCGTAGCGTGGGGGGTGCAGGGGGGGCCGGCCGCACCGGGCGCAACATCTTGGGGGGGGCACGCGCTCGCACTCGCAGCTCTCTGCCCCTACCTGGCTCACTCACTCTCTCTCACTGCAGTGCTGGCTGTGCGAATCCGATCCGAGCCGCTGGGTCGCCGCCCACTGTGGAGGGTGTGGGTGCCAGGCGTGCGGTGCGGAGAGAGAGCGAGGGACTATCTGGGGGAGGGACAGTGCAGCAGCCGCCCAGCGCAGCGCTGAGTGCGGGAGAGAACCACACCAGACCAGCCCAGGCAGCAGCAAGAAGAAGCTGGCAGAGGCGGCAGGTTAGGGGATAGGGGGCACAAATTACTTGCCTTGCCCCGGGCTAGGGGGCGCAAATTACTTGCCTTGCCCCGGGTGCTGACAACCCACGCTACGCCGCTGGGGCGAAGGATATGGGATTGCAGTCCTTAGTGCTTTCTCATCCCTGAAGAAACAACCCACGGCCCTGTTTGAATTAGTGACCATATGATTCAGATACACAGTGGACCCTCTGGTTACGTACTGCTCTGGATACGTAACTTTCAAGTTACGAACGTGGCAAACCCAGAAGTGTATTCTTCTGGGTTTCGCCGTTCGCACATGCACAGAAGCACTCTATTGTGCCGTGTGTGCGCGCACAGAAGCGGCGCCTCTGGTTACGGATTTTTAGGGGTGCGCACGGACCCCCGGAATGAATTAAATCCGTAACCAGAGGGTACACTGTAATATCCTGCTCTGGCCCTGCTCACACACTGTTCATACATCAGGGTAAAGTCTGAAGGGGGAAAGAGTGCTAAATGTGTAATGATCATGATCATGATAATATTAATAATAATACCACCTCACCCATCTGGCTGGGTTGCAGCCACTCAGGGCAGCTTCCAACACATACAAAAACATAACAAAACATCAAATGTCTTCTAAAAGTTGCTAACAGTAGTTCTTTGTTTCCTTGATATCTGATGGGAGGGCATTCCACAGGGCCGGCGCCGCTGTTGAAAAGGCCCTCTGCCTGGTTCCCTGAAATTGCATTTCTCACAGTAAGGGACCCGCCAGAAGGATTCAAAACATCTGGAGGGCACCAGGTTGGAAAAGGCGGTTTTATATGAAAATATCCCATCTGAAGGTACTCACCTCTTCAAACCCCATTTCAAAAGGACATTCAACAGCTCCTCTGACAGGCAACAATCTAGTGAAAAAGGCTTGGTTTTCAATCCGAATAGACTGATATTTTTCCTCATTTGGGTGTCTGATAGATTTAAAAGAAAAATGTAAGGATTGCTTTCAAGTTACTTACAAAACAGTGTTTTAATCCGATTAAGCAACCTGGAACACTGCTCTCGCATTTCAGCTATGGCTTCCTGCAGCACACTGGTCTTATCCCAAAAGGACTTTTTGGTGTCTACAGTGGTGTTGGGCAGATTCACAATTCACATGTGCTACCGTCAATTGTTTATGTAGCAAATTAAGTTTCAAAAGAATGGTTATGTAAGCTTTTGGAATATTTAGAATTAGCCAAATTGACAGATATAATAAGATAAAAACCAAAAAGTGAAGTGAAAAAGGAATGGGAGTGCCTAAACGAATTCCTTAAAAGCCAAGGTTCGAGGACAGAAATCTGGATGAGTCTGGAATAACCTTGTGAAGTGAAAGGATAAGAAACAGGGATTTATATCTAGATGCTAGGAATGAGATGATAAGGAAAACAGGAAGATACAATGAGAGGTAAAGGAGGTGCTGTGTGATTGGTGGAAGTCAATGTTTTCCTTTTGAGTGTTTATATTATTAATTTGTAAGATTTGGATTTGTTTTTCATATGCTCGTCTTTGTGTTTTGTGTATTGTTATTTTTCGTTTTGTTGTTGTGTGGAAAATACTAATAAAATTTACTATTTAAAAATAAAAATAAAAAAGTTTCAAAAGATCTTTTCAGGTCTTTTATTGCTTATGCTCTCAGTAACTCTGTACGACAAGCCACTGTTACGATTTTGCACAATGGAAACGGAGGGTCAAAGCCTGAAAACCTGAGGTCCTGCTGGCAATCAGTGTAGGCCATACCGGGCCAGAGGAACAAATGGTCTGACTTAGAATCATAGAATTGTAGAGTTGGAAGGGATCCTGATGATCTAGTCCAGGCATAGGCAAACTCAGCCCTCCGGATGTTTTGGGACTACAACTCCCATCATCCCTAGCTAACAGAACCAGTGGTCAGGGGTGATGGGAACTGTAGTCTCAAAACATCTGGAGGGCCGAGTTTGCCTATGCCTGATCTAGTCCAGCCCCCTGCAATGCAGCTATCCCATATGGGGATCAAACCTGCAACCTTGGCGTTATCAGCACCATGCTCTAACCAACTGAGCTGTCCTAGGGGTGTCATCTACAGTGGTACCACAGTTTAAGAACAGTCCGGTTTAAGAACGATTTGGTTTACAAACTCCACACAAATGGAAATAGTTGCTTGGTTTGAGAACTTTACATCAGTCTAAGAATGGAAGCCAAACGGTGGAAGGGCACCGACGGCGGGAGGCCTCATTAGGGAAAGCGCGCCTCAGTTTAAGAACGGTTTCGGTTTAAGAACAGACTTCCAGAATGGATTAAGTTCGTAAACCGAGATACCACTGTACCCGGAATTTCCTGCACATACCCGGAATACAGCAGCCGGGAGCAATGTCCAGGCAGAAATTGTCAAAATGTCTGGGAAAATCTGGACCTAATGCAACCCATGTCGACAGTGTGGTTTTTGCTGATTTCCCTCCAAAGCAGCTCAACAACTTTGGCAAAAAAAAGAGAGCAGCTCAACAACTTTTGTGTCCAGGCTGGTACAAGGTTTCTATGTTCCTATGGTTAGAACATGAACCAATGTCACTTCGAGTCTCAGGCTGAAAGTCAGGTGTGACACACACCTGTGTGTATTCATGCTATTATTATCATAATCACCACAATTATTATCATCACTGCCACCACTGTTTTTAAATCAGCTTCAGGAAGCTGCAATCTTGAGTGGAGGACTAGTACTGCTGCTAAAACTCTCTTCTCTGGCTGTTGCACCACTCAAAATTATCTCTTCCCCCAGCACAAGAAAAGACCGAAAAAGACCTTTTTTGGGATAGAAAAGACCGAGAAAGACCTTCTTGGGATAGAAATTCAAGAAACGAATAATAAATATATATTTTCTCCAGGGGAGGAAGTAGATAAAGAAAGAGATCTTAAACAACTGGAGGAAAAAACAACTGAGTAACACACCTCAGTTCCCCATTATACTTTCCAGTTTTTCATTCAACATTGCAACCTTGCAAAAGACTGCTGTTAGAAAAGCATCAGAGAAAGATGCCTAGGACCTAGTGCCATGAAGCTGAGAGAAGCCATGAAGCCATGTCGTGGACTCAACTACGTGGCCTTAAAATCCCTTCCAGTCTCTATTTTCCACCGGCAAAAGATGAATAATGGGGGGGGGGGCGGTTCTATGTGATGATGATGGTCACCAATTTTAACAGCTGTAAAAGAGGATTAGACTAATTCAGGGAAGAGGCTACCAATGGCTAAAAGCATGATAGCTCTATACTACTTGCAGGATCAGAGGTTATTAGGTTAAACCACAGAGCCTAGGACTTGCCGATCAGAAGGTCGGCTGTTCGAATCCCCACACTGGGGTGAGCTCCTGTTGCTCGGTCCCTGCTCCTGCCCACCTAGCAGTTCAAAAGCACATCAAAGTGCAAGTAGATAAATAGGTACCACTCCTGCAGGAAGGTAAACGGCGTTTCCGTGCGCTGCTCTGGTTCGCCAGAAGCGGCTTAGTCATGCTGGCCACATGACCCGGAAGCTGTACGCCGGCTCCCTCAGCCAATAAAGCGACAGGAGCGCCGCAACCCCAGAGTCGGCCACAACTGGACCTAATGGTCAGGGGTCCCTTTACCTTTAAACCAGTTACTGTGGAGCAACAGGAGAGGGCAATTTGGTGGCTGCTGTCCTGCTTGTAGGCATCCCATAGGCATTGGAATGGCCACTATGGGAAAAACTGGATTTGGAACTAAGCAGACCTTTGTTCTTGCCTCATGTTCTTAATACAAGATTCTTCCTCATCTGTGTACAGCTGGAAGTCGGTATTATTATCACAGATGTCGATTCTATCAGTCACACCCCAATCCTAAGTATACTTATAATGATCTCAGTGGAACTTATTTCCAAGTAAAAGCATACTCAGAGTTGAATGTTTTCAGATTACGAAGCTGCAGTTGCTCTCTTAAATGCACATTAAACATTGAAGCCTTAACAACATTTTCTCAGATGTTCCATAACTATGCTTAAGATTTCATCCATGGAGTCCAATCTTATATATATAGAAAAGCAAGCAGAGATAAAACCTGGCTGTTCTCCACACCATGGTAACTCACCCCGCCCCACTTAGATTACCACAACATATTGTTCTGGGTTTGTCTCTCGGAAACTTCAGTCTGTTCAAAATACAGCTCCCAAGATGCTAACTAGGACCAGCTGTAGGGTATATAGCTAGTCACTATACTGGCTTTTGAATTATGGTGCTGGAGGAGACTCTTGAGAGTCCCATGGACTGTAAGAAGATCAAACCTATCCATTCTGAAGGAAATCAGCCCTGAGTGCTCACTGGAAGGACAGATCCTGAAGCTGAGGCTCCAATACTTTGGTCACCTCATGAGAAGACTCCCTGGACAAGACCCTGATGCTGGGAAAGATGAAGGGCACAAGGAGAAGGGGACAACAGAGGACGAGATGGTTGGACAGTGCTCTCGAAGCTACCAGCATGAGTTTGACCAAACTGCAGGAGGCAGTGGAAGACAGGAGTGCCTGGCGTGCTCTGGTCCATGGGGTCACGAAGAGTCGGACACGACTAAACGACTAAACAACAGCAACATACTGGCTGGTGAGCCATTTCTGGATGCGATTCAAAGTTCTTGTGTTTAGTTAAAAGTAAAAAATGGCTTGGGACTGACTTCTCCCAGATGCTCTTGCCCAAAGGATGCTGTCATCCTTAAGAGACCTTCTTCTGCATTCCTAAACTTCCCATATTAAGAAAATGCTCTCAGTTAGATATATGTGAAATGCCTGCTCTAGGGATGCATCCCTAGTGTGCCAGGGTTCGAAATTAGCAGGGCGCCAGGCGCATTTTGCACCTAAAGATTCTTCATCTGCGAGCACCTCAAAAAGTATGGGCGCCATTTTTTGTGTGCCTGGCTGACACTCAAGGATTACTGAAATGCATGTGCTTTGAAGCTTCAAAGTATATGTTAAGGATAGACAATATGTTAACGAGTTTAACAATAAAGAGTAGAGTGTTTTGAAAATTGGAGTGTGGTACCAATATTTTTTTATTGTAAACACCAAATTAAATACGTATTAACCATTTCTGCTAAAAATAAGATATTAACAATGTGTCAGTTATGTGATCTGCATATTAATTCATGCTTATCAAAATAATAAATAAAAAGTGTTGCTCACACACACACACCCCGTGGCGACTAGACATTCTGTTTTGGCACCCACTACTCAAGTCCCATGGGACGTGGGTGGCGCTGTGGGTTTACCCACAGTGCCTAGGACTTGCAGATCAGAAGGTCGGCGGTTCAAATCCCCGCGACGGGGTGAGCTCCCATTGCTCGGTCCCTTCTCCTGCCAACCTAGCAGTTCAAAAGCACATCAAAGTGCAAGTAGATAAATAGGTACCGCTGCTGCAGGAAGGTAAATGGCGTTTCCGTGTGCTGCTCTGGTTCGCCAGAAGCGGCTTAGTCATGCTGGCCACATGACCCGGAAGCTGTATGCCAGCTTCCTCAGCCAATAAAGTGAGATGAGCGCTGCAACCCGAGTCAGCCACGACTGGACCTAATGGTCAGGGGTCCCTTTACCTTTACCTTACCCAAGTCCCAGAAGCCATTTGGCTCCTAGCTTTTCTCTCCCAGTTTCTAACACTGCTTAATGCCAAATGTTATGTTCTGTCAGCATCAAGCAAAGCTTCTGTCTTTATTTTTGGTGCCTAGAATAGCCTTTAACAATATGGTGCCCTCCAGATGTTGTGGACTACAACTCCCATCAGCCCAAGCCAGTTAGCCTAGATCTCCCAGCACATAATCTAAACTGATCAATATGCATGGGTTTTATTGATCTGTATTGATTGTTCCAACTAGCAGGAAAGGATTCTTACTTCTGTGAATCCTCACTTCTAGGGACAGACTCCATGTGATCATTCTCTCTTCCTCTTGAAGTGTCTGTCCCTGGGCTCAGAAAAAAAATGACAACCAGTTGCTGAACCAGCTGTCATTGCCACATAAAGAGGCTTGAAGAGCTATTTTCCCAGCTTAGGGAAGTTTTGGGCATCAAACTGGTAACAGCAATCTGTTGTATTAAATGCAGCAACCCCATTGCCCTTTCATTATACAAGTCTTTAATCTTTCTTCACAGAAATCTAACTGAAATATATGGAATTGACAGCACAATCCTGTATATGTCTACTCAGAAGCTGGTAAACGTAAGAAGAAAAAATTGATATACCGGTAGGTTGTACAAAAGGAGCATCACTAGCTATCACACATGTCTTTAATGCCAAAACCTTTCCCATTCAGACACATAAGAACCTTATTTAGTAATGAGACCCGATACCCTTGTAACTTTAACATTAACCCTTCCTAACCAGAACCCATTTTTACTATTAAAACAACCTGAAACACCATGTTATAAGGCATCCAAAATAATCAGATCTGCACACCAGATTGAACTAGAATTAGTCTGATGTAGCAACCCCGGAAGTCTTAAAACACTTCCTATTCCAGTGATTGCTTAGGCAAAAGTTTACAGAAGGAATCCTAATAAACAGGAACTAAATAGGAGTGGCGCAGTAAGCCACAATCTTAAAAAAGAAGTGACATTTCTTGCATTAAGTTCCAATTTCATTTTATTCTGTAGAGTGTGCCGGTCTGATTCTTTAGAATACCTCAGAACCAGATATCCTGGGATCTTTGAAAAGTCATTTTAACTACGGTACTTAGAAGGTAGATTCAGTGTGTAGATCAACATGATTCCCATTTGGTCCTCTGAGGGCATTTCAATTATGCAGTTTGATATGCAGCTACTCAATTAAATTTCTGGGCAGTGTTTTCAAACAGCTGTCTATTGTAAAACAAGCACTCTTCAAGGCTGAATTTCTCTTGGTGTGAATTTAGTTACAGTATTTAGCATTTTTCAAAAGCAGTGGTTTTCCCCTCCTCCCCTCCCTTCCCCCAGTCATAAATAATAACCTGCTCCATTACTTTAAAAGGTGGATTCTTAAGATTTCTGGAGGATTTCCACACCATTCCATTCTATACCTCATATAAACGTTCTGGTTTGGGGTACCTTGGTAGTGTTCCAGATTGTTTCCTCGGGCTTCTTTAACACACCCCAGTATTTTGATTTATTTTATTTTTTGCTTGTTTCTAAAACTTTATTTCTAAAATGGCTGCTCTGGGCCTTTCTGTTGCATTCTGTTGCCTCTCCTGGTATGCCCTGCGGGGGACCTTAAGGTCCACAAATGACAACACTTTGGAGGTCCCAAGTTGAAAAGTGGTTAGATTGGTCTCAACTAGGGCCAGGGCCTTTTCAGTACTGGCCCCGACTTTTGGAACGCTCTGTCACAAGAGACTAGGGCCCTGCGGGACTTGACGTCTTTCCGCAGGGCCTGCAAGACAGAGCTGTTCCGCCTGGCTTTGGTTTGAACTCAGTCTGACCCTTATGTTTCCCTCCCCTTATGGTTTTGATCTATGGGCTACTTCTAAAATGAGGCTGCATTTTAACCTGTATATTAAATTGGTCCCCCCCCCCATTATGTTTTTACTGTAATTTTACTGGTGTTAGCCGCCCTGAGCCTGCCTATGGCCGGGGAGGGTGGGATATAAAAAAAAAAATTATTATTATTATTCATTCTGACATCTGTACCCGGAGATCTTAACTCTCTGGCCTGAAAGCACCATAACAAATTCAGTGGAGAAGGAAATGCACTCTGTATATCCACAGAGGTTCTTGTAATTTATCACTCCCAGGCTCTCTAATCTGCATGGTGCCTGCTACCACAAACAGGTTCTTCAAAATTAAGATCTACCAGGAATCACAGCAGGCCAGAAGCATGTGTCTCACAGTTCAATAGGAGCACTGAGATGCAGTTTCATATACCCTGATGCAACGAATGGGAACAACGGTAAGGCCACACAGCAGAAGCAATTGCAAGACAGGGGGCTTCGCGACTGCTATTTTTAAGCAACTGGCCCCACAGGAGGGAGAGATCTGGTTGCAGCTGACCCAACGCAACATGGGCAAACCGATACTCTGGGTAAACAGGGCAACGTCAAGGCAATCACTGCCTCGCCCGCCCGCGGCACTACACGCAGCTCTCCATCCATGGTCCAAAAGCTTTTCTTTACCAAGACGCGCCGCCGTGTCCCAGCGGCCTCCGCGAGGAGACGACACAGGCGCAAACCGTCTCACCACCCTCGGCACTGTTGTTTGCCGGGCCCGTCCGCACCCCCTCACCTGATGCTATTTAGCCGCATAGGTAAGCAGCAAACGGGAGGCCTCTAAAAACGTCTCTGTGGGATTCAGGGACGAGCGCGTCGCTGCGGAGGGTCCCAGGGCGGCCGCCATCCTCCCACAGCGGCCCTTGACCACCCCGGGTGTCTTTGCCAGCGAGCAAGGAAGTTGGACTTTGCGGTGCGCCCGCCCGCACTCAATTCGGGATAAAGCTGCCTCAAGCGGCGGCGGCGGCGACTCCAGAAAGTGAGGCGAGCGGGCGGAATCCTCCCTCCCCTTTCAGAAACTTCTGTGAACGCAGCGACGTTTTCGCTCCGCCTCTGCGCGTTGGTTTATTTATTTATTTTTTAGGGTTGTTGAGCATGCGCAGTAGCGAGAATGACGCCACTGCCATCACATTCGAAACTCTAGTCTAGACCTTATTAAAGCTCAAGAACCAGCTTCTTTCTGGTTGTTATTTTCACTAGAAATGCGAGTGGTCAAACTGTAGGCACTCCCTTTGGGTTAGAAAGAAATCAGGCTCCCTATTGTTTTCTACATTTCCCAGGTTGATTTGTTGAAGGGTTCATTGAGCTGGTTTATGCTGTGATCGCATGGCTATGTTTTTTGCAAAATAACATGTTTAGTATTTTAGCTCCGCCCCCCCAAAAGGTGGCCCATTTTTTTTGGTCAGTCGTGTCAGGATTTGTCATTTGTGTGTGTTTGCAATTCTGAAACAAAGTTATATATATTTAAAAAGAGAGAAATAAATCAGACTCACCTATATTTGTTAAGTGATCTATGCTGCTTGGAGGGAGTCAATCCTCATAGCAGAATGAAGCAGGTGCATTTATTGTGTCATGTGGTCAAGCACATTCTTCATCCATCATCGTAGAAAATGCACCAATTTTGGCATCACGCACGCTTTCATCCCAGCTGAAAACTGCACCACGTTACATCTTCTGCACGTTCAGATGAACGGATCTGTGTCTTCTGTATTGTGCAAATCTAATTCCGCAATTCAGATATTCAGCGCTTTTCAGCCACTGAAATGGCTGGTGTAGGTGCCTGTTTCCTCATTAATGGGCAAGCGAAGGGTAAGGGCAGTGCTTTTTTTCTAAAAAAAAATGTTTAGGGGGTACTCTCATTTTGACTCAAGAAAATCACCATTTTATAGTTCAAATCGGGAAAAATAAATATAGTAAATGGACAATAGTACAAAGATTCACAAAATGTTTAGGGGTATGTGTACCCCTGCATCGTCCAAGAAAAAAAGCAATGCAGATATTTATTTCGAAATTCTGCAGATGGTTTTAAAGCCCAGCACAAATGTAATCATAATGACGGAGGCTGCAATCCTAGCCACACTTGGCACAGAGTTAAGTCCAATTACAGTTAACCCTGTGAGATTTTCCTTACAATAAACATGCTTAGGATCTGGCTCCATGTCCCACTGAAAAGTCTTGTTGCTTTTGGAAGAACATGCAGTACACTCCTATGCATGTTTTCTCAGAAGTAAGTCCCACTGTAGTCAATGGGGCTTGCTCCTTAGCAGAAGCATTTAGGATTGCAACCCTAGTTCACAATTAACTTTTGCTGGATAGGGGGCAAAATCTTGCTAGATGTGTTATTGAAGCAAGAAAGGGGGTATTTATTCTGCATGATACAATTACAGCTGGAGGGTATAATCTGATATATGGTGTGCATTTGTTATTCACACAAAATAGCAAGTATTTTGGGGAAATCCTTCGGTTTTTTTAATCCATGGATTAATTTTATTCTTTTATCCGTCTCTCTCTCCCATCTCCCAATAAGTCAGAAGGCCCATCTGATTTTCTATTCGAAACCTTTCCACCCTCTTTTCTCTTTGTCACCTCACATGTTTATGGAAAACCTGTTGTCTAAATGCAGAAAAATCTGAACAACCACACAGCTGGTTCTGTTTGCCAGAGGGAGCTGCTGTTTCTCATGCAGCAGCACTGCATGAGGTATAATAAACTGCCACTGAAGATGAGGAGACCTTGAAAAGCAGTTTGCGACATTCAGTTTTTGAATTCTGCTGCTCAAAAGCATGCGGGGGGGGGGGGAGAGCAACAATCCTAAAGGGAATGTCAAATCCCTTGGGTGCCCCTAAACCGGTTGTTTATTTATATTTATTTATTTATCACATTTATTTCCCATCTTTCCTCCAATGAACTCAAGTTGGCATTCATGACCCCCCTTCCTCACCATTTGATCCACACAACAACCCTGTGAGGTAGGGTTAGGCTGAGTGTCTGTGATTGGCCCAAGGTAATCCAGTGAGTTTCATGACTGAGCAGGGATCTGAACCCTAGTCTCCCAGGTCCTTGCCAGAGAAAAAACAGGAAGGGAAACAAGTATATGAACTAATTTGTCCAAGCTTTAGAATACAGTGCAAACTGAGTTGCTTGTGATATAAGCTAGTTATTGTACCAATTATTTTGATTATTTGTCTCATCTGCCATCTATATCATAGCGATGTCTCCTAGCAAACTGTGACCTAATAAGTTATTGTAAGCAATTTCAGTTCAAACCCTGCAAAGGCTGTATATTGGGACTGAAATATACAGTCTTTGCAGGGTTCCAAGTGAAATTGCTTTACCTCTTAATTGATTCCCATCTTCACAAGAGAGCTGAGCAAGGTCGAGTTCCAATTTCAGAGAGTTTCTTGAGCAGGTAGCATAAGAGCAGACGGGCCTTTCTAAAAAATATTGACTTGGAAGCTGCCATGTACATTTTAATTCTTGTGTATTGACCCATTCATTATTTTGGCATGTAGCCCAAAGGACAATTTCAGCATTGTTCTGTGTTAGAATAATTTGGAAGTACAGTGGTACCTCAGGTTACATACGCTTCAGGTTACAGACTCCGCTAACCCAGAAATAGTGCTTCAGCTTAAGAACTTTGCTTCAGGATGAGAATAGAAATTGTGCTCTGGTGGCGTGGCAGCAGCAGGAGGCCACATTAGCTAAAGTGGTGCTTCAGGTTAAGAACAGTTTCATGTTAAGAACGGACCTCCGGAACGAATTAAGTACTTAACCTGAGGTACCACTGTATGGTCACCAGGCCTTAAAAAGTCCCATATCCCTGGTATCCAAGGCTTTTTTTAGCCGGAACTCACCAGAACTCCATTCCAGCACCACTCCGTTGGGTGCCATTACTATTATAAGAGAACAAGGGAGGCATTCATGGTGAGTTCCAGCACCTCTTTTTCTAGAAAAATAGCACTGCTGGTATCAAATTGCAACCAAAAAATTCTTTAAATGAAAAACAGGCATGGATTAGAAAGAACATCTTTGTTTCTTTTAAATGTAGTGCACCCACAGTTTTTCTCCACAACTGATTCCGTAACAGTTAAGAATAATAGAGTTGCCTTTTTGTCCTACAGGAATTCATTTCTGAAAACCGCCGCCATGCTTCTCCACTTCTCAAGAGATGTCTTAAAAACAGCATGCCTCAATCTTCAAGGTTCCCAAGTACATCGGTGTTTGAGAATCATGAGAAAGCCTTTGAGCACGGGCGCAACTCCTCGCAGCCGAAGGAGAGTGGTTGTCACAGGCATTGGGTTGGTGTCACCCCTAGGTGTCGGAACGGAACTTGTGTGGAACAACCTTCTCCAGGGAAATTGTGGGGTCGTTGCTCTTGAAGGGGAGGAATATTCGGCCGTCCCATGTAAAATAGCCGCCTGTGTGCCGAAGGGGGTTGGCGAGGGCCAGTTCCACAGAGAAAACTTTGTGTCGAAATCAGAGAGCAAGGCCATGTCATCTGCCACCATCATGGCCATAGCTGCTGCCGACTTAGCAATAAAAGACTCTGGGTGGCATCCTCAATCTGAACTGGACCATTTGAATGCTGGTGTGGCAATAGGGATGGGAATGGTTCCGCTGGAAGACATTTCTGACACGGCCTCCATGTTCACAACAAAGGGTTACAACAAAGTCAGCCCGTTCTTTGTTCCAAAGATCTTGGTCAATATGGCGGCAGGTCATATTAGCATCAGATACCAGCTGAAAGGACCCAACCATGCCGTATCCACGGCCTGTACTACAGGAACACATGCTGTCGGAGACGCCTTTCGATTTGTAGCCTACGGTGATGCTGATGTGATGTTGGCTGGGGGGACGGAGGCTTGCATTAGCCCCTTGTCTCTAGCCGGGTTTGCCAGAGCTCGGGCTCTGGCCACTAGCTTTAACTCAAGCCCCCAGCTGGCTTGCCGGCCATTCCACCCGCTGAGGGAGGGATTTGTCATGGGAGAAGGTGCCGCAGTTTTGGTTTTGGAAGAATATGAGCATGCTGCACGGAGAGGAGCTAAACTGTACGCGGAAATTTTGGGCTACGGACTCTCAGGTGACGCTTGCCACATAACAGCCCCTAATCCAAATGGGGATGGTGCCCTCAGGTAAAAACCACGAACATTTAAATGATTGTAAAGTTGTTTTCTATATTGGGAATCAATCCATGCATTAGAAATTCCCTAATGTTTCATACTTATTTTTGAACTTCCCAGCCCAGTCTGGAAGCTGTCATATATATTGAGTCAGACTGCCTTAGATAGCTCCATATTCACTGGTATTGACTGCTGTCCAGGGTTTCAGGCAGCAGTCTCTCCTAGCCCTACATTGAAATCTTGGAAATTGAACATAGGACCGTTTGTACACAAAGCTTGTGCTCTAGCACTCAGCCATGGCTCTGCAGTGTACTCTGAATTCTGTGACATGTAAACAACAACAACAACAAGAATTCATTATTTATACCCCGCCCATCTGGCTGGGTTTCCCCAGCCACTCTGGGCGGCTCCCAATACAATAAAAGATCAAAGATTCAAAACTTCCCATGTCTTCTAGAGGTCAGATAGTTGCTTATTTCCTTGACATCTGATGGGAGGGTGTTTCACAGGGCGGGCGCCACTACCGAGCAGGCCCTCTACCTGGTTCCTTGTAACCTCAATTCTCACAGTGAAGGCCCTCAAAGCTGGACCTCATTGTCTTGACTGAATGATGAGGGTGGAGACGCTCTTTCAGGTATACAGGGCTGAGGCCATTTGGGCTTTAAAGGTCTGCACCAACACTTTGAATTGTGCTTGGAAACGTACTGGGAGCCAATGTAGGTCTTTTAGGACCGGTGTTATATGGTCTTGGAGGGCGGCCACTCCCAGTCACCAATCTAGCTGCCACATTCTGGATTAGTTGTAGTTTCCGGGTCACCTTCAAAGGTAGTCCCATGTAGAGCGCATTGCAGTAGTCCAAGCGGGAGATAACTAGAGCATGCAGCACTCTGCCACCAGATGTCTTCTAAAAGTCAGATAGTTGTTTATTTCCTTGACACCTGGTGGGAGGGCGTTCCACAGGGCGGGCGCCACTACCGAGAAGGCCCTCTGCCTGGTTCCCTGTAACATCACTTCTCGCAGCGAGGGAACCACCAGTTATATTTTGTCTGTCATAGATATTATTACTTATTGGGGACCCTCAATTTATTTTTGGGCACTCCTCTGCCCCACCTGCAAAAGAGTGTACAAAATTGTATGTGGCATAAAGTGTATGCAAATTTTATGCAAATTTATGCCTTCTCTTTTGAGTGCAGCAAGGGCCTCAATCCATATACAATATACCAGACCCAGAAAATCTTGTTTGCTCACCTGGCCAAACCATGATCTCTCATTCAATACTGCCTTGAAGCCAATTGTGAGAATTAAGTTAGAAAAGAACTGTGAAGCACTTTGTATCTGTTCAGTAGTCTTCTAGAAATGATTAATAATATTGCAGAAGTAAAATTAATCCCCCTTACCCATTTTGAATGGCAAAGGACATAGGACAATGTTTACCTACGTTAATTAGATATGCTTGTTCAGTTTCAAAGAGACATGGCTGCTACTAGTGTTTGTGGAAATATTATTTCCTTTTAAAGATGGCAAGTAACACAGCAGAACATTCAAGATAATTAATGCCTTCGGCTCATTAGGACTGAATTTTCCACTTCGGCATTAGCTTGGCCATAGATTCTATGGAATATTTCAATTAACACGACCTAACATGCAAGACAAATGCATTTAGCCCTGCCTTTAGGATGTATCCTAAGGAACTGATTCTTACTCATTTTCATCCACTGAGGCTGCATGTTGAATACAGAATGGTGATCTTGTGAAGTTGCACGATGGATGAATGCATGATTGTAGTTTTAGGGTTTAATCGCTTTCATGCACAGTGGTTGCATTCACATGCAACACTAAACCGTGGTTTAGCGGCACATGGATGAGTCTCCATGAAGCTGAGCAGAGGGCTGAGGTCACGCACTCCTCCTCCTACACAGTTGGGAGGAGGGCTTGTGCCAAGTTTAGTTTACTTTCAAAGAATCTTGGCTGAGTATTGTGTGGGAACTGATTAAATCTGCGAGCCACCTTCCTTGCCCCAACCTCCAGCCCTGGGAGCCTTTCCCAGACCATGACTTTGAGAACAGCAGAAGCAGCTGGGAGGAGAGGAGTTCAGGTATAGGCTTTTGTTGTTTTTTAAAAAATAATTTTAGGTTGTGTGTCCCTGTTTCTTAATTTAATCCTTTTGCATCGTTTTGTATGATTTGTGGTGTTTTATGTATTACGATTTGCCGCTATTTTTATTGATTATGGATTATTTATTGTAATTAATAAGTGTAAACTGTTTAATTATTACTTGCTGATGTTTAATTTTAGTGTGTACTATTGGATTCTAATGTATTATTGAATACTGCTTTATTTGGTATGAGTTGTTTATTTTAAAGTTACTGTGACTTTTTAAATAGGATCTGAATGTTACTACAGTGGTACCTCGGGTTAAGTACTTAATTCATTCCGGAGGTCCGTTCTTAACCTGAAACTGTTCTTAACCTGAAGCACCACTTTAGCTAATGGACCCTCCTGCTGCCGCCGCGCCGCCGGAGCACGATTTCTGTTCTCATCCTGAAGCAAAGTTCTTAACCTGAAGCACTATTTCTGGGTTAGCGGAGTCTGTAACCTGAAGCGTATGTAACCCGAGGTACCACTGTATTAATGTTTGATGTTTTATTATTATTTTTGTGTGTGTTGGAAGCTGCCCAGAATGGCTGGGGCATATTATTAAAATAATAATAATAATAATAATATTCATAGTTAGACAGTGGCAAAGCTAAACTTGACAGAAATGGTACTTCCAGCCACACTGGAAGAAGAGAGAAGGCAGAAGAGTGTTTGAACTCGATGCTTGGTTAGGTTCGTGGAGACCCTTACGCGTGCTGCTAAACCCTGGCTTAGTATTCCATGTAAAATCAGGCTAATGTATGAACTTAAGTAACAAAAATCTCTTTCTTTTTCATTCTCCTCCCCTAGATGCATGTCAGCAGCAATGAAAGATGCTGGAATTTGCCCTGAAGATGTAACATACATCAACGCTCATGCCACCTCCACTCCACTAGGAGACGCCGCAGAGAATCAGGCTATTAAAGGACTCTTCAAAGAACACGCATATTCTCTTGCAGTTTCCTCAACAAAGGGAGCAACAGGCCATCTTTTGGGTGCTGCAGGAGCTATTGAGGCAGCTTTCACTGCTTTGAGTTGTTACCATGGAATTTTACCACCTACTCTAAATCTAGATAAGACGGAAGCACCGTTTGACCTCAATTATGTTCCGCTAGTACCCCAAGAATGGAGAAGTGAAAAGCGGCGTATTGCTCTCAGTAATTCTTTTGGCTTTGGTGGAACTAATGCAACACTGTGTTTTGCTAATGTTTAGCTTTACTGTCCATGTATGCATTATTTTTTTAAAAAGATGATCTGTTAATGGCCTGAAAAATGTGTAGCAATGCAAACCTCTGTGTCTCTCCCCACTTGTCCCTGCCCCAATTCATTCCTTTTTTCACTTTTATTCCTTTTAAAGTTTATACTCAAACAAACAGTAATGTGTACTTATAATGTTTAGGCTGAGGGCATCTTTCCATAAGTATTTAAGAGTTTTGCTCCATATCTGCAAGCAGAAGGAAATCACAATTCGTAACGGCTTCCTGTTATGGGGGCATCCACATTTATCAAATGGGAAGCAGTATGGGTTTGTTGCTCAGTTATAGTGCCAAACCATAATTTAGAATTATATTGACCCCAGACTCGCCTTCCCTCCCTTTCTAGGCCGATATTCCCTCCAGAGCTTTCTTTGTAGCAAACCATAGCTTGCTGTTCAAAGAGGCAGGTTATGCTTTGCACTCGCCTGTGAACTAGGATCACAAACCAGACCCAAACCCTGGTTTGGGACAAAGCCCAAGGCTTCTTGGGACTTACTCATAGAAATGCCAAGCTATGTTTTGCTGTTATTATTGGTATTTTTTGTTGTTATTATTCATTTATAAAATACCCAAAATTTCCTAGGCACTATACAAACACTCCAGAATAATAAAGCCCTTCTCTGTGGGATTACAGTTTAAGCAGAGGCAACACAAAAGGAAAAAAAGGGGGGGAGGAAGTGGAAAGAAAGCAAGAACCTTACATAATTGTCATTATGATGACTGGGGTAAATGGTGACAGCTCTGGGAGGTGGGGGTCCAAATGGCAACTGGTTTCTCAGCCAAATTAATGGAGCGGGTTGTGCTGTAGCAAGGTGGAATAGCTCCTAATAGATGGCAGCTTAGGGAGATGAGGAGCCAAATGGCAGCAAGACTCTTAGAATCTTATCAGTCTTGAGGAGCTCTTAGTGAGAAGGTATAAGCCTTCTCTTCCAAAGTGACCTAGAAAGTCCAGTCATTCCTGTACTTCACTATATGAAGGTGAGTAAACGTGGAACACAAGACTATTCATGAGCACACACCCTCCCGACTTGTCCTCCAGCTCCTTGCACCAGCGTAAAACCTCTTGGTCGCAAACATTGCTTCAAGTTGAGTGGAGTGCTGCTACCAAAAGCCCTGGATGGAAGGATAGTTTCTCCAAAGAGAGAGAGCCAGTGTGGTGTAGTGGTTAAGAGTGGTGGACTCGTAATCTGGTGAACCGGGTTCGCTTCCCTCTCCTCCACATGCAGCTGCTGGGTGACCTTGGGCTAGTCACACTTCTTTGAAGTCTCTCAGCCGCACTCACCTCACAGAGTGTTTGTTGTGGGGGAGGAAGGGAAAGGCGAAAGTTAGCCACTTTGAAACTTTGAAAGTGATAAAGCGGGATATCAAATCCAAACTCCTCCTCCTCCTCCTTCTTCAAACAAGCAAGGGTCTTTGAATCATTAAAATGTTTCCTTTTGCAAAGTATTGAAGTTGGGAGCTCCTCACCATATACTGTCTACATAATTCGGCAGATGATTACACAGCACAGTTCAAAATGCATTCGCCGCTCTCATTTTGACAGCGACAGTAAAAGAATAATAAAGAAATCCTCAATAAATTTCATATTGAAAAACATTACAGTGGAAGCATGTCTCAGTGAAAATGGAGGAAAAAAATATTTGTTTCAACTCTTTGGAGTTAGTGCATCTAAAGCATAGACAATATTTACCCAAAAAGCTGTGTCTTTCATAACATCAAAGAAATATATGTAGGTCATATGCTTTCTCCCAAAAACCTACCTTCACACTGAAAGCAGATGATTTCTTTTAGGCTGTATGCTGTTTATGTCCTACTCAAAGTTGTGTAAAGAGTTTTTACAGTTCTCCATCTTTGTAACCCTATTTGGAGCAGGGATGAACATGCTCGCTCTAGGCCCTCACCCTACAACCTGTGGAGGGCCACTGTGTAAAACGGGGGTCATAAAATGTGCAAGGAGCATTCACAACTACAGAAGGCTTCCTTTTTCACAAGAGTGCCCTCCCTTGAGTTGGGGAGCAATGGGGACCACGAGAGGGGACAGACCTAGCATGCTGGTCCCTGGAGCTGTCTGCAGAACGCTAAAAGGTAAGGCCTGAATAGGACTTACTTGCAGCTCAAATGTAGCTCATTGGAATTTGCTTTCAAGTAATGCATTAATATTTAGAGGTGGAGATGGTGGTCAGATCTGAGGCGAATAGATCGCCGCCAGAAATCCAATTATTAAAATACTCTCTTCTGTCGAATTAGATGCATGAAAGTGTGGGAAGCAAATTCAAAGCACACACCAAAACCGCTATTTCCTGTGCTCTAAGGTGCTCTAACCTATCCATTCTAAAGGAAATCAGCCCTGAGTGCTCACTGGAAGGACAGATCCTGAAGCTGAGACTCCAATACTTTGGCCACCTCATGAGAAGAGAAGACTCCCTGGAAAATACCCTGATGTTGGGAAAGATGGAGGGCACAAGGAGAAGGGGATGACAGAGGATGAGATGGTTGGATAGTGTTCTTGAAGCTACCAGCATGAGTTTGACTAAACTGCGGGAGGCAGTGGAAGACAGAAGTGCCTGGTGTGCTCTGGTCCATGGGGTCACGAAGAGTCGGACACGACTAAACGACTAAACAACAACAACAAGGTGAGTTGAGTGCTTCTCCAGAAGGTAAAGGACAACTGCATGCCACAGCACTCAATGCATAAAGAAAAACTGCTGTCTTATGGAGTGGGAAGAAGATTTGAACATTATTATAGATTTGGACGTGACCATGTCAAAGCCTGCAGGTAGTTCTTCCTGGTTTGGAGAAGTCAATCCCAACTACCTGGAGGTCTTCCTGAGCAATTTTGTTCTAGGTGCAAGCATGCATCAGTGTCACCATTGAGATCTGCCAATGGTAGTAATGCTTAGGGACTTTTTACAAAGGCTTTAGAACTCCTGGTTCCCACCCAACCCCACAGTGACTCCACACAAGCAGTCTAGAAGGTCTGACCCTGGGCTACTTACAAGATGGAGCTTCTCTTCTTTTGATCTCTTGCGATGCTTTTTCAGACTTATTCCTTGAGGTCCAGCGCCGAGGGCCTTCTGCGAGAAGTGATGTTACAGGGAACCAGGCAGGGGGGCTTCTTGGTAGTGGCGCCCACCCTGTGGAATGCCCTCCCATCAGATATCAAGGAAACAAACAACTATCTGACTTTTAGAAGACACCTGAAGGCAACCCTGTCCAGGGAAGTTTTTAATGTTTAATGTTTTTAATATTCTGTTCGGAGCCACCCAGATGGGCATAGCTGTCAACTTTTCCCTTTTCTTGCGAGGAATCCTATTCGGAATAAGGGAATTTCCCTTAAAAAAAGGGAAAAGTTGACAGCTATGCAGATGGGTGGGGTATAAATAATAAATTATTATTATTATTACTGTAGTTCCATACTGGGACTTACTTTGTTTGCTATCTGCCTGCTGCATAACTTTACAGCCACGAGAGCCCTGTTTTCTCTCAATGCCAACCTTAATCTATGCAAAAAAAATTCTCAAATTCCAAGTGTTGAACATGAGTTACGGATACTGTAGGTCTCCTATCTGCTGATCTTAGGCTGGAAATATTACTTCCAGAGCAAGTCCAGGCGTGGTATTCTAGGTGGACGGGATGATTTACTTGAAGGCATGTCTCCACCCCCCATATTATCCAGCCTGACATTGAGGTCCAGCTCTGAGGGCCTTCACTACGAGAAGTGAAGTTACAGGGAACCCGGCAAAAGGCCTTCTCGATAGTGGCGCCTGACCTATGGAAAGCTCTCCCATCAGATGTCAAGGAAACAAACAACTATCTGACTGTTAGGAGACATCTGAAGGCAACCCTGTACAGGGAAGTTTTAAATGGTTGATGTTTTATTGTGTTTTTAATATTTTGCTGGGAGCCGCCTAGAGTGGCTGGGGCAACCCAGCCAGATGGGCGGGGTATAAGTAATAAATTATTATTATTCCCCTCCTGAATGTGACATATGGCCTCTTGGTCTAGTCAACATGATACCCTACAAATGTTGGGACTGCAACTCCAATTGTCCCCAAACATTAGCCATGCTGGTTGGAATTGTTTGTAGTACAACATCTGGATGTTGGTTACCCCTGGAAAAGGCAGGCATTGGGTGGATTCAGAAGAAGAGCTAAGATGATGAAGCCAAATGATTGGTATTTTTCTGAGATGTGACAAGATGAGCAATAATCGCCTCCCAGGATTCCTTTAAATGTGGGATGTGATATTCCAGAAGTCATTGGGTGTGTGTGTTAAAGCTAAGAATTAATTTTGTTGCTACTGGAAATGATGACTAAGGCTAACCCCACTTACCAGGGAGTAAGACCCACTGAATGTATTAGGAATTGCTTCTGAGTAGACAATGGTTACGACTGGGCTGTAAGTTTCCAACAAATACACAAACACACACACACACTCCTGAAGGAACTCAGGTATACTGGATTTCAAAAGCAGACACAGCAATAATTGAGTTTTTCTTTAATTTTTATATTAAAGACTGGAATTGATTATATATGGAATGCTACAGGGATTAACATTACCTTGATTTCTCATCTTCTTTTTTTGAGTCGCTTTAATTGCATAACTGAGCAACTCCTTCATGCTGCCTGCATACCAAAGGGAATGGATGAGAAAACCATTTCTGTTATAGAAGGATTTAATCTGTTTCAACAGCTCAGCTTGTTAAAGAAGTCTAAGGTAAAGACCCAAGAAAGGATGTATATGGATGGGTCAATTAAATCACATACTAACCCACTTGGAATGTGGCTAACCTTTAGGAGCAACTTTGGAAAAGAGTCAGGGACTGCAGTAGGAAGGACACCAAATCTTCATGCCTTGCCAGTTCTGGTTTGCAGTTTCTATCAACAGCTTTCAAAAGAGCCAGCTTTCTAGACATATGTGCTTTTGGGACCTGCCTGCAATAAAATACTAAGAAAGAGGCATCAAATTGACAGCTGTTTGCAAAAACGATAGGAAGACACAACAAGGAAAAGTAGCTGAGAATATGCACATTTAATGCACAGTTTATGAGCGTTTTAGAGCTCTATAAAGATAATTTGATGTTAAACAGCTGATCATTCAGAAATTCAGTGCTGTCACAGGCTTTTTTTTATTTTTGAAGTGGAAAATCACTGATCTCAAATTGCCAATCTAGGGGAAAGCTCTAATTGTAAGGGATATTACCTACTATTAATAATTGTAAGCAGGGGAAGTTTTTGTTCTATTTTGCTTTCTGCTTTTCAGCACTGCAATTCTTTTTGGAACTGTAACCCCATTTGCATTCCGGTACCATCATGGATCCTGTGGAGATGCATAGTGTCCAGATCAAGGGAAGTAATAGTACTACTCTATTCTTCCTTGGTCAGAGCACACCTGGAATACTGTGCCCAGTTCTGGGCACCACAATTTAAGAAGGATGTTGACAAGCTGGAATGTGTGCAGAGGAGGGCAACCAAGATGATCAAGGGTCTGGAAACTAAGCCTTATGATGAACGGTTGAAGGAACTCTGTATGTTTAGCCTGGAAAAGATGAGACTGAGAGGAGATATGCTCTGGGTACTCAGGCTGCTGGCTTTAATCTCAGTCTACCAGCCTTTCTCAACCTGTGGGTCCCCAGATGTTGTTGAACTACAACTCCCATCGCCCCTAGCTAGCAAGGCCAGAGCTCAGGGGTGATGGGAGTTGTAGTCCAACAACATCTGGTGGCCCACAGGTTGAGAACCTCTTGCAGGTTTGAGATTCTTGACCTAGTCTTGGTTGCCTGTGCTCTTCCTGTGCATTAGAAGGACAGAGTCTAGTTTGGTCTCATTTGCCTACCATTCCTAGTCTCTCTGCCTGATCACTGCAAACTTGCCTTGAATTTATTATGCTCATAGCTGCAAAAGGACATTTTTATTGGACACTGTTGGAAATCTGGATTTTTAAAAACAAACTTTTTTTTTAAGGTGGTGAGATATTCTAAACCAGTTTCTAGCACAGCACTATCTCTGTAGCCCAGTGGAACCCACTCATTTTGGAACATGCATCTTGCTAATTGAGGACCAGTCTTAATCATGTTTGGGTTGCACATAATTTTTTAAAAGATAGATATTGAAAAGCCAGACCCTTATCAGACAAAATAAAAATGACCACACGAGGGCACCAAAAGCATACCAGTGTGGTGGTTTAGTATGATGGAGAAGCACTAAAAAATAATAATAATAAAAATCTTCCGAACTAAATTAAAACACGTTTCTTTTCACTAGCAGAAAAAAATAATTATGAAACTGGTTATAGAGAAAGAAGGAGGGCAGGATGGAAGGAATTTTTAATTGGCTATATGCACACATAGTTTCCAACATACCACCTTCGTAGGTTTAGGCAAGCATTAGATACCCAATTTTGGGAGAAGCTTTACAAATCTACTGCTGATCTGCATCAGAATATCATATGAAACTCAGACAGTATTGTCAGAGTATTAGAAATCTGACATCAGCACTAACCACAATTTAGAAACTAACATGATAACACTACAAACTCCAGTTCCAGGGTACTCAGTTGTGAACTAAAGGTGGCTGTTCTTGCAGGAAGAGAACTTCAAAGGGAAAATCCAGAGTGAAAATTCTCATTAACACTAAACTCAGAAAAACAAGGTGCAATATATATTGCTCACAGCTTATTTGTTTGAGGATGCAAAGCAAGGAACAGGAGCAGCAATAAAACACCCCAAAGTATTAATAAACACCCCGTACATGGGAAAGGGACGCGGGTGGCGCTGTGGGTAAAACCTCAGTGCCTAGGACTTGCCGATCGTATGGTCGGCGGTTCGAATTCCCGCGGCGGGGTGAGTTCCCGTCTTTCGGTCCCAGCTCCTGCCCACCTAGCAGTTCGAAAGCACCCCCAAGTGCAAGTAGATAAATAGGTACCGCTTTATAGCGGGA